AGGTGGCTTGGTTGCTCGACGAGGTTGGCTGCCTGTGCTCCTTGAAGTATTGCGGTTCGTACTTGGCGATCATGTTGTGTAGAGCAGCGGTGAGGAACGGGAGGAAGCGGTAGTATCCACGGAGAACACCGTCGGCCAATTCTCCTTTATTCCAAGACTCCAGGTGCTTCCAGTCAACGTAGAAGGTGGAGAGCTGGAGCGCGCGCATGCCGTGGATCTGGGCGACATAGTATTTGTCCGTGGTGACGGCGCTGGATGTTGGGGCAGAGGAGGTAAAGTCCTCAACAAATCTGTCAGGCATATCGTCAGTTATGCTCTTCGGAGAAATATCAAAGCTGGCAGAAGTGGTACTCACTGCTCGATGAACTCCTCAAAGTGCTCCTGAACCAGTAGGCCGATCCTGTCTTCGACCTTGGGAACGTTTGAGGCGTCCTGTATCCTTGAGCCGCGCGGGACCTGGTCGTCAGCGAAGCCCTCGGCCTCATCGTCGCTGGGAGCGCCCATGCTCTCGGAAGGGGGCACTCGTGGCCTGCCTGCAGAGGAGCTGGGCATGAACTGGCGTCTAGGGGTACCCGCCGCGCGGGACGGGGCGTCCGACATCATAAAGCCGGCGTCGCTTGAAGCAGCCATTGTTATTGTCTCTGGTGTTGCGACTGCTCAAATTGTGTTCGTCTGTTCGGGTATGATGCAGCAGCGCTGGCGGTGGGGGTTAAAGGCGGTGATGCGGGATGGTGATTTTTGGGGGAGGTGGGATTTTGGGTGGTGGGATGCGATGGATCCTTTTTCGCAGTTGGAGACGGCAGAATTGGCCAGGGGCTTAATTGATTTTGACGCGAGAGGGGCACAAGTCGCGTTAGGACGCGTTGCTGCTCAGGGGTGTCGCGACAGCGTAGATTGAGTACAGTGGCGCTAGTCTCCTTCGGGTTAATTGTTAGTGTATGCTGGTGACTAGCACTTTGATGTCAGGTCTCTGCAGTTGATCATGCACATCCGCCCAGTACAATGGATAGTTGTTTTGCATTTTTGTCAATTGGACAGAACGATGATGTTGATGATTTGTGAAATATTTGGTATTTTGCCTGCCAGAATGCGGCGCCTTCCTTTCCAAACGCCTGAACAATGCAATTATGCGGCCATCATCTGCCCAAGCAATGTGACTAGCCAACGAACTCATTCTAGCTGCGACACTCTCTTAGACAGCAGCGTAGAATGCAGCAATTCTTTTTCGTGGTCAGCATTAAGATTGAGTGCCCCCGTGACCGCCCGACTGGCCTCTCTTGATCACCTCCGTGGATGGGGCTTCTGGGTTGAATGTTCCCCAGCAATTGTGCGCCACCATCTCCTTATGCGCCGTTCTTGTTGTCTGGTGACGAATATGAGTGTATCTGCATCATCAACATTAGTTGGACGAGATCAAAATCGGAACCGAGTCACCACAAACCTGGTCCGCCACTGTGAGCCACTCCTCGATACTCCTGACGTATGGATCCGACGCAGCCTCGGCGCTGGCCTCGTGCCCCCAGATGACCATCTCGTCAAACTCGGCCTTGACGTCCATGGCACCCACTTCAACTAGCGGCTCCTCCTCTTCAACCTCCTCCTCGACTTCGGACTGCCTGTTCTCGATCTTGTCGCTCTTCTCCATCACTAATCCCCTGTACTGCTCGGGCAGCTTAACCGTCGTTCCGTGGAGCTTCCTTCCTCGAAAATATGCTAGGTCCTTCCCATCTGTGATGGAGAGTCAGGATGGTGCTTCGTTGCAAGGGGAGAAGGGGAGATGTGCGAACCATCTGTCTTGGTGGGATTCCAAAAGGAGGAATCGACCTCGCCAATCGGGCCGTCGTGATGGATTCGGCAAGGCAGGAGGTTGGCCACCGCCTTGCTCTTGCTAGAGTCGCCGGACTGGATAGAGAGGATTGGTTGCGACATGTTGCCTTCGTATCTGGTTGAACCCGCAGGGGATGAGAGTTGTAGACTTGCGATTCTTTGGACCGAGTATCACACGACGCGTCTTTTCCGGAAGAGACGCGATCTAAATTCAATTAAAGCCGATAAGGCGTCTCGATAAGCTTATCGGAATCGATAAGACAGGTCTTGGCTTGAGAAGAGAGGGTGTGGTGCACGGTGCACGAGCCCCCCTCCAAGACCTTTCCTCCCGCTGTTTCAGTGGCTTCGGGCCAGGCCAGCCGCAAGGATTGTACTGTATGTACGCTGTATGTATCCGACCACATCATGACGGCACGACAGTCTTCCTCGTCAACACTACCCATGCGTGCACGCTTCGTTCACTGGCGGAGACGTTCTAAGAGTGTGGCAGACGGGGAAGCTACAGGCGCACTTTGAGTCAGGCTGCGCGCTCTGGCTGGGCTGAAGAGGCTGGGTGATGTTACAAGGCGCGCTGCTGCTGAGAGACATGCATCGTGCTAGTTGACACCAGAAACTTGTCCAATCCTCGATCAACACCCAGCCTCCTTCGAGACCCGAATGCCTCGTCTTGCATCTCTAGCCGTTACCACAGGGATCGTTCCCCATGGCCCAGGGAACAAGGCACATAAGCCTTAAGACGGTCGATCCCACGGGCGGGTTAGGTGTCTTGAGACAAGTACGTGGTCAATTTAGTTACATACCCAAGTTGCTGCAAGACCGGATGTTAAAACACCCAGAAGTTCCGCCCCAGGCCCCCCAGCCACGTTGACACTTTTCTCGTAATGATTCCATCCTTTTTCTTTATTCCTTACAAAAATCCAATCTTCTCAGACGTACAACTCAATGCCCATCTGACTTCTGACTTTTTTCCCTTCCTCGGAATACGAAGTTCGGAGTCGAGTCCAGCACGAAATCTCAGCCATGCAATTGGCGGCGGCGGTGGAGAGGATCAAAGTCTTGATGTCATTGACATGAGAACAACCCCTGCCGAATTTCCAGAAGCACACAAAATGCTCCGCAGACCCTGTACTTCCCCCTCCTCGGCTTTTACCATCTACGGGGATCAGCCCCAAATCGGGTTCGACGCCTCGTCTAATTCGTTGTAGCTCGCCTCTCTCTCTCACACGGCGAGGACTCGAGTCACTCGACAGCTCCCGCAGAGCCGGTCATCGAGCGTTTCTCTGCTGGATCGGAGCTCGCACCGACGGACGGACTTTTGTTGAAAGATGGGAAACCGGTGTCAAAGGAAAATCGTTGACGGCTCGACTGGCATTTCACTCCAAAGTACCTTACCCAGTTGGCAAGCGGACTAACCCAAGGGGAATGTACGACTAATCCACCAGCCGTCCTCGCCGTAGAAACGAATGCTGCCGCATCGCAGGCCCTGCAGGGATCTGCCAAGTGCTGCCACTGCATCAATGCAGATATCCTCACTCGCTCCAGCAGAGAAGCCCCCCATTGCTTCTCTTTGCTCGTGAAAGCGCATTGTCCCAGTCCCTGAAAATGCGTGCGCCCATGTACAGACGAAGGAAAACGCGCAATCGAGGTCAGCGTGCTTGATGCAAAATAAGCATCTTCATCCGATGGCCGATGGACTCCTGAATCGTCAAGCCTGCCCTAGGCTAGGCTCCGTTTTGTTTCGTCGGACTGGCCCTCTGCCAGCCGGGGACAGGCAGCGTTCGACGGCTTCTCGAAACCTGCAGCTCGTGCTTCCATCACTGACACTAGCAGCAGTTCGATGGCTGAACGTGGCTCCGGCCGGACGCTCCGGGGCGGCGCACTGGCCGGTCTAGTGTCCATGGAGGCTAGATGGTGGTGGTGTTGGTGGTGGTGGTCCAGGACCTCGTTCCGTGGGATGGATGTAGGTACTTTGGGCAATGTAATGGTTCTTGACACGAGCAGCGAATGAGCTTGCTCAAGGCCAAAAGTAAACTCCGATGAAGGCGCACATGCGTTCGATGCCATGCGCTCGGCTCGCCATGTCTCCGTTGGTACCAATTGACATCATGCCGTCTTAGCCCTGCCCTAAGAAGAAATGTTGAGAGTTTGAAGCTGCTGCTACTCTGCTCATTCACCCTTCTTCTCCGTTGCGGTTCTAAATGACACGCAGCGAACACTTCTGAGGAATCACCCAATCCACACCAGACGATCGGTGCCTTATTGCATCTGGATACATATGTCTGAAGAATCTGTACAAGGATACATCTCAGGTTCAAGCCAATGCCGTGATCGTCACCCATAACGTCCATCGACGTCCTCAATGAAACAAGCGATGGCCAAGGCCTCTGCCCCTCCCGAGAGATTCCCGTCTGAGCTACCCCTGCCGCACCCACCATCCCACTCATGCTCATCCCAGTCGGGACCCTCTCCCGCCCACATTTTTGGCCCTCGGGCTTGCGACGGTACCGATGGGCGAGACAAGAAGCACGCGCTCGTTGCATCCGTGACAAGAGAGAAAGGGCAACAAGACCATTTGCCGGAGGCCCTTTTTTTCTTCTGTTCTCTTCTAGCTAGAGTGAACACCTATGCGCCGCGGGGCTGGCTCCTCTAACCACCCCTCCCAGCCGTTGTCGCCCTCCAGAAGAAATGCTGTGTGGTGACATAGTGTAGGAATAAAATGATCGTCCCGCCCTGCCTCGTGGTCTCAGATGTGAACACCACAACGTTCTGACCTTGCCTTTGCTGCTGCTGCTACTTCTGCTACTGCTGCTGCTGCTACTACTACTACCGTCCTGCCAATAGCTAAACCTTCCGCATTTCTCAACCCTCCCTCCCCCCTCCAATCCCAAGTCCAGCCCCCCTCCATCACCGCGGAACCAAAACAAAGCAGATGCAAGATCCCAGAGTTGTACCTTGAGAACTTGCTTTAGGTTCCCTCGGCGTCCCGCCCAATCCAATTGACGGTAATTCGGTTCGTCCCCAATTCGTACCACCGCCTTTTTGCGCTTTCCCGTCTTATACGTCAATCGGCTTTTTTTCTGTTTCCCCCGCGCTCCCTCAAGAAAGTTGGGGAGAGAGAGAGACATATAGAAACCAACTGAGTTTTTTTTGCCTTTCCTCGAACGGAACCGATTATGCCCAAGCTGCCCTCTCTCGTCCCGGCGGCCGTAGCCCAGCCGCTGTCCCGTGGGACGGAGCTGGTGAGAGGTGCGGTCGGGAGCCTGACCTGGGGCCCGGCGCTGTCCGTAGCCAAGCCCGCCATCTTCTCCGTGTTCTCAAAGATTGAGCGCGGCACGCTGCTGCTGGTCGACGAGCCCGCCGAGTCGAGGCACGTCTTCGGCCAGAAGCTCGGCGCAAAGTACAACGAGACCCTCACCAACGGTGACCACCATGTCCCGCGCCGCGCCGACGCCGTGCCCCGCGTCGAGCTGGTCGTGAAGAGTGATGCCTTCTGGATGCGCCTGTTCCTGTTCGCCGACATGGGCTTCGCGGAGGCGTACATGCTCGGGGAGATCGAGTGTAAAGACTTGACCGCCTTCTTCCAGGTCAGTAAAATGTTATCCTTGCGCGGTATTTCATTCAATTGCCTGTCACAGTGAGCTAATGGGTGAGCGGGCGCAAACAGCTGTTCATTGTCAACCGCGAAGAAATGGGCAACGGGACGACGTGGATCTCAAGCTTCTCCGCCGCGATCTCAAGCCTGGCCCGCACCACGAACACCCTCTCGAACGCGCTCCTCAACATCTCAGCACATTACGACATCAGCAACGAAATGTTCGCCGCCTTCCTCTCGCCAGATATGACGTACTCATGCCCCATCTGGCAACCGCAAACCGACCCGAACGCGCCGGAAGAAAGCCTGGAGGCCGCGCAGATGACCAAGCTGCACCGCTTCATCGACGGCGCGCGCATAAAGGCTTCGGACCATGTGTTGGAGATTGGCACCGGTTGGGGCTCGTTCGCGATCGAGGCGGTGAAGACGACGGGCTGTCGCGTCACCAGTCTGACGCTGTCCAAGGAACAGCAGGCCCTCGCGGAGGAGCGCATCGCGGCGGCAGGCTTGAGCGACCGGATCGAGGTGAGGCTGATGGACTACCGGGCGCTGGAGGTGCCAGAAAAGCCATTTGACAAGATCGTGTCGATTGAGATGCTGGAAGCCGTTGGGCAGGAGTTCCTGGCGACGTATTTCGCGTGCATGGACAAGCTGCTGAAGAAGGATGGCGGCATCGCGGTGTTCCAGTGCATCACCATGCCAGAGGGTCGCCATGAGGCGTACTCCAAGGGAGAAGAGTGAGTGAACGGCAAGGGCAGGGCTTACACAGAGCGCCGCGCTGACGAGCAACAGTTTCATCAACCATTACATCTTCCCCGGCGGGTATCTGCCATCCATCACCCAGCTGCTAAACCACATTACGAACGAGTCGAGGGGAACGCTCATTGTCGAGAAGGTCGAAAACATTGGTGGCCACTACTCAAAAACGCTGCGCCTGTGGAAGGAGGCGTTCCTGCAAAACTTTGACGAGAAAATCCGGCCAGCTCTGAAGCTGGAACACGAGAACATGACCGAGGAAGAGATTGATGTATTCAGGAGGAAGTGGGAGGTGAGAGGATGCACCATCTGGTGATTCCTGGTCTATGCTAATGAGTCCTCAGTATTACTTCACATACTGCGAAGCCGGATTCCTGACGAAAACGCTTGGCGATGTTATAATAACGGTTGGCCGCGAGGGTGCTTTGGAGTTGATGGAGGGTATTGCTCTGTAAAGGGATTATTCTGAATTGAAGAGGCGGAATGCATGGCGTTGCGGCGATTGTGGTGAGCCCCCGAAGGCTCAGGCGGTGGTAATGATGAAGGACATTCGGGGTCACGACTCCGACGCAGCAGAGACCGTAGGCAATTAGACTTGAAGCTCATTTCTTCTTTTTAGTCTTTCTTGAGTTTGGTTTCGGTTTTGAAGATGCGCCCCCAGAGCCGGGAAAGCGATTTGCGTGATCGACGTCAAAGGCTTGTTTGTGTTTGCGGAAGAGCAGCATCGTTACCCTCGCGTCTTCAATACTCGAGTGAGCGCCGGTCTGTATGGTGACTTTCAGAATCTCCTCTGCTAATTTCCTCAGCGCTGGTTTCCTGCTGTTGGCGAACTTTTTGAAGCCTGGGTGGTTGGAGGTGTCGCGGATATCCTTGATTGAGTGGCTGAGCTTGAGAGCGTCCAGGTCGTGCTTCACATCATGGCCGACCAGTATCCTGTCCTTGAGTAGTGCGGCAACCTGTGTCTGCACCTCATTGAAATCTCGCGCGAATCTCATGTGCTTCGGCAGTATACCGCTCACAGCGCTCCGCCAGTCGGTGACCTTTTCTTGCGGCTTCACGTATGAGTCGTAAACCTGGCGGCCGTGAAAGTCGACGATGCTCACCCGAGCCAGCACAGACTCGTACCCTCCTTGCCCGACGCCGACCATTTCGCAGTCCATGGCGATGTACTTCCCAACGTCGAGTCCATCTGTAAGACCGGCGTTGACCTTGTCTTTATCTGATGCAAGCATCGAGTTATTCTTCAGCCCCAGACCGTACGCCTCGGCCAGCGCTTCTGAAGAGACGTCATTATCTGCAGCCCAGAGCGCGAGAGAAGGTGTGGTCCTGAGTTTGGGGTCCAGGTCGACTTCAACCTTGGAACTCTGTGCAACACCCATCCGGTCGCCCTTCGGTTCGGTGGGTTTCTGGATGCTCTTCTGGCTAGGTTTTTGAGCGGCTTTCGGGGCGGGATTGTTCTCAGACTTGAGCTTCTGTTTTTTGGTTGGCTGCTGGGTTGAAGAGTCCGCCTTTCTCTTCACTGCCCCGGTAGTGGAAGAAGGAGGCGCGGCCTTGAGTTGAGCCTGAAGCTTCTTCCAATTTGATGACAGCTCAGAAGCCATGATATCGAGCAAGACGTAGATGTCTTTGGTTTGAAGGCTCACGCCTAGCCCAGCAAGACCAGAAATTGCCCTCGAGATGTCGTACTTGATTGCTGAGAAAGAGTCTAGAGTCGAGTGCCAACATCGGGTTGCTCGTTCGAGAATTAGCGAAAAATGAGAAGATGCAATTAACGGAGCGCGGAACGGCAGTGTGGAGCAGCGGGTCCCATTTACATGACAGGGGTTCGTGGCAATTTGTTCACCGCCTTTGCTTAAATCGCGTTTTCTGCCACACCACCTGCCTCTTCCCGCTTCCACCATCATCTTTTGCGACGGAACGCAGGAAGCTCAGTCTGCGACGAAAATCATCAAACAACAGCCACAACCTCGAGCATTCATCATGGCGGCACACGGCTCCAACGGTGAAGCCACAGTCGGCTCTGGAGAGCCCAGACAAAAGGGCAGGGCCACGCCAGAGACAATCAGGTACGTCATCTCTTCACCCCACCAGAATTCCCCATCGGCCACTTCGACTAACCCATGCACCATAGAATAGGATGCATTGCTATGGTAAACAAGGAGGGCGTCCCTCGCCGAGCCGAAATTCTTAGTATAAAAGAAACGAAGAGCGGACGTCAATTCTACTGCAACTTCGACAACTTCAACAAGCGTCTCGACGAGTGGGTGCCGACCTCCCGCATCGACTTTGACCAAGATGTCGAGTGGCCGAACCCGGACAAGGACAAGCCTAAGGATGCAAAGACTAAGAAGGGCACGGCGACGTCTAAGAAAGCGCAACCCGCCAAAAAGTCTCAGAAGAGACCCGCAAAGAGAGAACAATCTGCGCCCTCCGAGGCCACGACACCGCACCCATGGACCGAGTTCGTCGAGTCGCAAAGCCAGAAGATGACCCCCGCAGCCGAAGAAAGTCAGGCACAAACCCCCGCGACGGGTGAGGCGAGCGCGACACCAGCGGCTGTCGGTGACGAGATGGACATCGATGGAGACGACGGAGATCAGAAGGAGGAACTTGGTGGCTTCAGCCGCGAAAAGGAGATTGAGAAGCTTAGGACGCATGGTTCCATGACGCAGAACCCTGCCGAGATTTCGCGAATCCGAAATATTTCTAAAGTGCAATTCGGCAGGAATGACCTGTTCCCGTGGTACTTCTCACCGTACCCAGAGGTCTTCAACCAGGAGGACGTTATATACATCTGCGAGTTCTGCCTCGGGTACTACGGCGACGAAAAGGCATTTTCAAGACACCGACGCAAGTGTACCTTGCAACACCCTCCTGGAAACGAGATCTACCGGGACGACTCTGTTTCGTTCTTCGAGATCGACGGCAGGCGGCAGCGGACATACTGCCGCAACCTGTGTCTACTTTCCAAGATGTTTCTGGACCACAAGACACTTTACTACGATGTGGATCCCTTTTTATTCTACGTGATGGCTAGTCGGGACGACAAAGGCTGCCACATTATCGGATACTTCTCAAAAGAAAAAGAGAGTGCAGACGGCTACAACGTTGCTTGTATTCTGACGTTACCGCAGTACCAGCGGAAAGGCTACGGTCGCTTGCTCATTCAATTCTCGTACGAGTTATCCAAGATCGAGGGCAAGCTCGGCTCGCCAGAAAAGCCGCTCTCTGACTTGGGTTTGCTGAGTTATCGACAATATTGGGGTGAGAATATTCTAGATCTGCTGGTGGGATATAACGAGCGCGAGGAAAAGGCGACGATTGAAGCCATCTCATCGCAGCTGGCCGTCATTCCCCAGGATGTGGAACACACTCTCCAAGCGCTTAAGATGCAGGTTTATCATAAGGGAGAGCACAAGATTGTGATTCCTGAGAAGCTCATCCAGCAGCGCGAGAGGCAAAAGGTGAAGCAGAAGCGTCTCATTGATCCTAGTAGGATTCAATGGAAGCCTCCGGTGTTCACTGCTTCTACAAGAACGTGGGGATGGTAAGACAGAAAAGTTGTCAAGGCTAGACAGACACAACTGCAGTATACTGTATTTTAGCAAACATGATACCCCTGTTCTTTGCTCATAACTCTTGATCATCTTATGAGCTGAAGCGTGTCATGTTGGAATACCTCAGAGCTGGCGTGGTCTCATGGATACCATGCCACGCTTTGCGAAATATTATGGGGCGAGGACCGCCCATTCCTGCGCTCAAAAAGGCATGTTAGCCGTTGGGGTGTTATCTCACCTCCGCAGTCGGAGCGTACCGCTTTGAACTTCACTTTGACACCAAACTACTATGACATAAATAATCGCCTTCTCCTCCAAGCACCAAGTCAATTCTCCCCCGCACTACTCACAGAGACCTCGGGTAAAAGAGGTAATGAAGCGCAGCCTGTTCAAAGTCCCGAAAGATCTTGTCCAGATACCTCACCACCGGCCCCTCACCCACATCGCCCGCCCCTCAGTGTCCCGCGCCGAAACCCACATCCGTACCCGCCCCGCGGCCTATCCCGATCCTATCCGCGTCTCATCACATCGTCACCTTCTCACTCACCAGTATTTCTCAACGTCTCAATTTCAAGGACGAGAAACCACAATGAATGCCTCTCTCAAAAAGAAACCCATAAACCTCCTCCGGGGCTGGCCCTCGCCCTCCCTCCTGCCCGCAGCAGCACTCTCCGCCGCCGCCGTCAAGACCCTCGCCGACCCGGCCGTCTACGTCCCCGGTCTCCAGTACGGACCGGACCCGGGCTACCAGCCGCTCCGCGACGCCCTCGCTGAATGGCTTTCGGCGTTCTACCCGATTGCGGGGTCCACGCCCGAGGAGACCCAGGGTCTCCTTTCCGCGGCGGAGGCGAGCAACGATACTGACCTTCCGCACCACCCTCCCGACGTCAGTCGCATCTGCATCACGGGCGGCGCAAGCCAGAACCTCGCGTGCATATTGCAGTCCTTCACGGATCCGCTGTACACGCAGAACGTGTGGATGGTCGCGCCGTGCTACTTCCTTGCGTGTCCCATCTTCGCGGATGCGGGCTTCGACGGGCGGCTGAAGGCTGTGCCGGAGGATAATGAGGGCATTGATCTGGAGTACCTGAGAAAGGGGCTCGAAGCCGCTGGGAAGGGAAGCGATGATGTGAGTATTTATCTTTCGCCATTGATATGTCATATGAACATGAGAAGTAAAGTAAGCTCAAGCTAACACACATCTCCAGCACTTCAAACAAGCCAAAAAGCGAAAGCTCTACCGCCACGTAATCTACCTCGTCCCAACCTGCTCCAACCCGACAGGCAAGACAATGTCCCTGCGCCGGCGGTACGACCTCGTCCGCCTCGCCCGCCAACACGACGCCCTCCTCATCGCCGACGACGTCTACGACTTCCTCCAGTGGCCCAGGACACACGCCCCCACGGACGGCGACGCATCCTACCCGCCATCGATGCGCCTCCCGCGCCTCGTCGACATCGACCGCGCCCTCGGCGTGCCGCCCTCCTCCTTCGGCAACGCCGTCTCCAACGGCTCCTTCTCCAAGATCGTCGGCCCGGGCGTGCGCACCGGCTGGGCCGAGGGCAGCCCCGCGTTCGCGTGCGGCCTATCGCAGACGGGGTCGACCTGCAGCGGCGGCGCGCCGAGCCAGCTCGCGGCGATGCTCGTCGCGGAGCTGCTGGCCAGCGGGCAGGTGCAGCGGCACCTTGACGAGAAGACGCGGCCCGCGCTGGCGCGGCGGCACCGAGCGATGATGGAGGCTATCGCGGAGCACGTGCAGAAGCCGCTGGGCGGGACGGTGGCGGTGCGGGAGAGCTCTTTGGACGGGGCTGGGGTGTATGGTGGGTATTTTGTGTGGTTCACGTTGCCGGAGGGGATGTCGAGCCGGGAGGCGGCGGTGAGGGCTAAGGAGACGGAGGAGTTGGTTATCGGGCACGGGGCGCAGTTTGAGGTGCACGGGGACGAGGAGGCGGCGAGGTTTGGGAGGGAGATTAGGCTTTGTTTCTCATGGGAGCCTGAGGAGGATGTTGTGGAGGGTGTTGTACGACTTGGTAGAGTGTTGAAGGCTATGAAGGATGGGGTTGAGTGGAAGTCATCCAGTGCCTTGGACGTTGACAATGTTAAATAGGAGACTTGACCAAAGAGAAGGTAAAAGTAATATTCTGATTTACGATGGCGACCCGATGAAGGTCTGAGTAGGTACGTCACGAGCAGCGAGCCAGCTTAATGCAAAATTCGATTTAGGTCATGAGAGGCCCTCTGGGTATAAAAATGCAGGTGAAGCGAATCCAGTCGCCATGCCCGATGCTCCTCCGTCAATCATCTTACAGCGAACCTCTATTTACGTGTGGTTTACAGGGTTGTCCGTCTCGTCTACACTTGATAGGGTTTGGCCTCTGTGAAGATGAGATGCGGCTTGCGTTTGGCAATGTCCAAGATTGTCTCGGCGAAAACACCGTTGGCCCCTGAAGTAGTCAGTATCGTCACTGCCAAGTCGGTTTAGATCTCAAGTTCTTACATGCAAACCAGCTTCTAGTGTATGAAGTGATGTGGTTGACCTCGACACTCTCATGCACCAGACCCAGACGGGCAGAACGCAGCACGAGGTCGAGGCACTCTGTGATCTCCTCATCGTTCTCGGATGTTTGGGCCTGGATCAACAGACTCATAGGCCAGGCGTTCGATAGACCGATGTGGGGTCCTGACAGAGTTAGTGTACCACTCTCATGTAGAAATGACTTTCACTCACCTCCAATTCCATGGAAAGCACGTCCCTCGAGATAGTACGGGTTGCCAGTTTTCTCCAGAAGCATCTTTCGTGTGTTCTGGTAAGTCCTGTCCTCTGGAGGCAAGAATCCCATGAGAGGCAGTGCGAGAAGCGAGGGATAGTTGGCATCATCCATGAGGATAGACGAGCCGTATCCGTCAACTTCGTACGCGAACACATCACCGTACTTCTTGTGCTTCACCACGCCGTGCTCCCAGACACCATCAGTGATGGTCTGGCTCCACTTGGCCACCTCCTGCGCAAGTACGTCCTTCCCAACGGCCTTCAGAACCTCCGCCGTGCGCTTCAACTCGACAGCCATCATGGCGTTGGCCGGGATGAAGAAACCAAGAATGGTCGCATCATCGCTGGGCCTGAAAGCTGATCTCACGAGACCTGTTCCATTGTTGAGCGGGTTGCCTACGCCCTTGAGATTCAATGTTTCGGTTCCGAGGTCCGTCTTGCGCTGGAAGGTGTACTCATTCCTCTGGTACTGACCCGTCGCCGAGTCGAACGTGGGGTGTGACTGCTGCTCCAGCACGTCGAGCACCGTCTCAAGAGCAAGGTACCATCTCGGCGTCAAAAAGTCTTTGGAGTCGGTGTGCTCGTAAAAGTCATTTCCCAGAGCTAGGAAATGCGCCAGCGAGTCCAATTCGTACTTGCATTCAAACACGAACGAGGGCTCGTAGACTGGATGCACGGTGTCGTCCTGTCCGTTATGACTCGGCTGCAGGTTCGCAATCGGGGGTGGCTGGAAGGCATTGCAGTACGGTGACTCGATAACGTACTCGGACTGGGTGTTGATGGCGCCGAGGATGAGCTTGAAGATGGCGGGATCTTTCTTGGCCAGGGCCTGGTAGGGGGACAGCTGGTTCGTGCTGTCGCGCAGCCACTCTGCAATGATGTCTCCCGTGATCACGAAGGATTGCGGGCCCTCCCACTTGCCCTCGTCGCGCAAGCTTCGGCCATTCAGGTCGACAAATCTAGTGTCCGTCCCGTCGGTGTGGAACTTGACCGTTGTGTCTGTGGTTGAGGGAAAAGCATTCTCGAAAAGCCTAGCGAGGTCGGGGTCCTTCATTCGGGATGTCACATCCTGGATGACCTTCTCAATCGCTTCAGAGTGGAATGTACGGCATCGTGGATCGGGTCTTTGGTAGGGGAGACCGAGAGGGCCTTCGCTCAGGGGCTTACTGTAACCAGCAAGTCAGCATCAATTCCCAAGCAAGGTCAACCGCAAAGAGAGGTCTGCAACATACTGGGGATGAGTAGAGTACTGCTCGTAATTGGGGCACGCGCCGCGGTCCTCGCCAGTAAGAGGCTCTTGCGCCGCGGACACATGGCCGACAAGAAGACCGGCAAGCGGCAGCAGCACGTCGACAAAGGTACGGAGGGACATGGCTTCGAGGCCGAAAAGGCAAGCAGAAGAAATCCGCGGTATGTCTTATTTCCGCATGGGTATTGCCAGCAACCTCTCGAAGGGGAGAGTGGTTCACCGCAACAAGTTGTTTTGGAGTTTGATGTCGAGCGGACGGATGCAAGAAATTGCTACGGGAGCTCCCACACCACGACAGCCAGGTGTCCGCTGCGCCTGCGCTTGGCTGGGGCCCGGGGGGGAATCTCGTCACTGTGGTCCCTTGCAGGAGCTCTGACAGGGGGCCAAACGCCCCCTTAGCGTCCGGCATTAACGACCTGGATCCACTGCGGGGTGCGCGGGGCCGCCGTGCCGCCTTCACGTCCGATCTGCCGTGTTTGATGTTGCCGCCGGTGCTGATAAAACATTTGTTTGTTTCTCTTCCGGGATCAACTCATCAGCCTGTTTTCCCGCGCTGTAATTTTTAAAGCTCCAACTGAGACATGCAACTTGCTCAATATTTGATATCATATTATCAGTTAACTCTGACATCGTCTTCAGTATTCCTTCAATAAGGTAATATTACGTTGTGATTCGATGTCCATCTCCGAGTGACATGCAAGCCCCCTATTCTAGCCATTTACACCGGAACTTCAATCACTTCTTAGAGAAGAACGACATGATGTTGCCCTGCCCCTTTGGCGCAGCCTTCTTGGATTTCGAAGCCTGGCTGCCGGAGCTTGGGGCTGTCGAAGGTTTGGGCTTAGCAACTGGAGCGGGAGTTGATTTCGGTGCTTCGTCTTCTGAGAACTCCTCCCAGACGGCCTCTTCCATAGTAACTGGTAGCCTAAAGTCAGTATCAAGGATGCCAATACTTCGAGACAGAACCTACCCAGATATCCTTCATCGTCCATGATCTGCTTCTTTTTCATCACCTTCCTCTTGCCGCGCCGTCTGCCGTCGCCGCTGCTAGCAACGACCTCGGACTGCTCTGGTTCCTTCTTCGCTTCAGGTTCAGGCTCAGGTTCCTCCATTGGCTCGTCTTCGGGCTCCTCCTCCTTCTCCTCAGGCTCTTCTTCTTCTTCTTCACTTTCCTCCTCCATCATGCGCTTCAAGTCGGCCTCGCGCTCCTTTCTGGACTTCCTTCCATCAGAGGAGGGTTTGGCAGCCGGAATATCCTCGTCATCGTCTTCGCCGTCGTCGGATAGAGCAGGAGAGTCGTTGACTGATGGTGCCTTCTTCGGTGCTTCCTTGGGTTTGCTCGCAGCCTTTGCTGCGGCCTTCGCAAACGAACCCATGATACCTGAAGAGCCGCTCTTCTTCAGGGGGGGAGGTGCTGCACCCTTCTTGCCGGCAGCCATTGAGAATGGAGACTCCTTAGCAGCAGGCTTCGCCTCTTTCTTGACCGGCTCCTCTGCTTTCTTGTCGGCAGCGGGCTTTGCCGTGGCTGGGGACGGTTCCTTCTTGACGGGCTTGGCCGCCGAAGCAACAGGCGCGGGCGTAGGAACTGGCTTGCCTTTGCGATCGCGCTTTCGAACATTAGGATTTGTGATAGAGCCGTACGTCTCCAGCGTGGATATGCTGTCATCACTGGATTGCTCGCGAACCTGCTGGGCAACGTCTGCTAGCATCTGGGGTTCCTTGGTCTTGTTAGTGCCTGAGTATGCCAGGGGCCTATTGCACCTACTCTGATGGGATGACGAGCCAGACTGTAGACATGGAACGAAGAAACATCTTCGTACGTAGCCAGAACCTCTGTGAATTTGCTTTAGCACATTGCCCGACTAGGCTATCAATAATCATTCTTACCCTTCAGACGATCGCCAGGAACCAGGGACAAGGAGTAAGTGACGACATCTTCGGACAAAGGCTCGACATCGGGAGGAGAGCTGGTCATCTCGACATCGCCGTCTTCTTGGACGTTCTCCACTTTGCGAATGCCATAGATCAAGTAGGTCGCATGGATGGTGCCGGGGCGCATGGCATTCTGGGATCGGTGAAACTCATACAGCATACTGGAGAAAATGAGCAGCTATAGTGCGCAGTAGACGTGGAAGAACTCACGCCTTTGCAGTATTGACATGAGTCTTGAGTGCCCTGCTAAGACTTCTGTATGTGACCTAGACCATTGTCAGTACCGAGCTTTAGCAAATGAGATGGAGCGCCGTCTTACAATTTTCTCCTCGCTGAGGACCTGGTCCGCAAGGTACTTCTTGTACTCGTCCATTTTCGGAATTGTGTGGTGAGGGTGCCGATGTTGTTGAATAGCAAGGCGCAGTGCGGAGGAGTGAAAATGCCCTTGGAGTCAAACCTCGCCCTCTCGTTTTCACGATGCTCTCATGTAGGAGGGATGGTGAGGGTTGGTAGGACGCGATCAAGACGCGTAAATTGATTTCTGGGTACGTACCTGCTTAGAACCACTCAGGCAGGCGCAATTGGTGACGTGATCCACTTAAACACCTGCCCCTGTAGCCCGGTACCTGGCCTAGGCCCAGCGCGCCGCCACTCTCCTCGACGCGACTTTGACGTTCTTTCTGAAAACTTGCGGCACACCTACTTCGCATAGGCCGCGATCGTCTTTAAACCGTTCACAGCCTGCCTTACCGGTGCCTTCCTCAGGCCAGAAGTGCTGCATACTCTTTTGCTACGAAGTTTCGTCCAGAATCCTCTCGATCAACGACATCGCTCGCCCGGCATGGCGGACAACTTCGACGACGTCCCCGACTCCACAGACTGGCTCTCGACGCCTTTGTCAGGGCTCTCGGCCGTCGAAGCCGCGCTGCGATGCCAAGTATGCAAGGACTTCTTCAAGACGCCCATGCTCACGTCCTGCTGCCACACCTTCTGCTCGCTATGCATCCGCCGCGCCCTCTCCAATGAAGGCAAATGCCCGCTTTGCCGCGCATCGGACCAGGAGCTGAAGTTGAGGAGTAATTGGGCCATGGAGGAGATTGTCGAGTCGTTTACGAAGGCGAGGAAAACGACGCTGGATTTCGCCAGGACCGCCGGTCAGGCCTCCGCCGGAGGCTCGTCGCCAAAGAGGAAGCTTGTGGAGGAAGAGTCCGCGCCGGAACACCAGCCCGAGGCGAAGAGACTTAGGAGCTCAGCGAGACTCAGCAGGACAAGGGCGGGCCAGTCAACAACGGTGGTAGACCTGGAGGAGGAACACAATCCAGAGCCCACAGCAGAGGAAGAGGACGACGAAGCAGACGACGCAACATTCAGTAAGCCAAACCCCCATCTTTGCTAGTCTACGCCCCTCACTGACAACTTTCCAGCACCAGAAGATGGCCTCGTTCCCTGCCCGATCTGCCAAACCCGCATGAAGCAATTCCAAGTCTTCAGCCACCTCGACAAATGTCCCGGCCCCCAGCCGCAGCCCTCCCGTCCCAGCGCGACGAGCCGTACCCCGACGCCGAACACGCCCGCCCGCGGCGCCGCTCCCCAACGCCAGACTCCGGCTCCCGAGCGCCTCCCCGCCATAGCCTACTCCATGCTCAAAGACGTTGCCCTACGCAAGAGAATGTCCGACCTCGGCCTCTCCACGAACGGCACGCGGCAGCAGCTCGAGAAGCGCCACAAGGAGTGGGTGACGCTGTGGAACGCAAACTGCGACTCGGCGCGCCCGAAACGCCGCGCGGAGCTGCTGCATGATCTTGATGTATGGGAGCGCACACAGGGTGCGAAGGCGCCCATGTTCGCGGCCCGTTCGGGGGCTGCAGTCAAGGATAAGGAGTTCGATGGCGCGGCGTGGGCCGTGAAGCACGACGACTCGTTCAAGGACTTGATTGCGAATGCAAGGAAGAGTAGGGCGCAGGCGAAGCAGAAGACAGAGGAGGCGGCTGCTGAAGATGCTACGGCACAGAAAGAGTCGGATGCTGCTACGCCAGGTGTCGTGGAGAACACAGAAAGGGTGAAGAGTTTGGAGATGGTTGAGACCGCAGGAGCGGAGGTCACGATGGTTGACCTGACGGAGCCATCTGTAGACCCGGTGGCCACTCCCGCTCCCGAGGCTGCGATTTCAAAACCACACTCATCGGCATATTACTTGCAGGACGGCTTTTCAGAGCAGATACCCACGGTGGACATTGGCGCAACAAATAGCCAAGAAGCACGGTAAACGTTCTGTTGTAAATAATAGCATATACGATGTCGCTTCATTATGATACCCTCCAACATAAATGTACAGAATTCCCAAACGCCACCGTCTATCGTGAAACACCGTACATAGTACACAAGTCATGATCTCTATGCCGCCTGTGGCTGCGGCCGTTCCTCCAACTCCAACTTCTCCAGGCCCTCTGCCGTCTCCCTCGAAGGCGTCTTCTCTCCCTCAGGTTCCGTCATGGGCGCCTTCAGCCCTTGCATCTCTGCCTCGAGTCTCTTCTCCATTTCCTCCGCCTCCTTGGCCTCCTTGGCCTCCTCCGCCTCTCTCCTCGCTCTCTCCTTGGCCTCCTCGGCTTCTTTCTTTGCCCTCTCCTTGGCCTCCTCCTTCTCCCTCTCCTCGCGCTCCATCTCCGCCAGCTCGTCGTCGACCTCCACCTCGTCTGCCGGCGCCGCGTTCGCATCCGCAATGATGTCGCCCACCTCGTCCACCTCGCCCATCTGCTCCCGCAACGAGGCGACCACGTCTCCGACCCGGTCCGCCCCGCCGACCTTCTCGTTGAGCCCCTTGAGCGCCCCCGCGCTCGCCTCCATCACCTTGACGAGCTGCACCTGGTCGCGCGCCGTCTGGATTCTCGCCGCCACGTCCTCGAGCTGCCCCAGCGTCGCGAAGCGCGTCTGCAGCGAGTTCTCGGCCACCTTTTTCGACTTGAGCGCCGCCATCGCCGCCACCTTGTTCTTCTTCGCGACGGCCTCTTTCGCGGTGACGGTGAGCTCGTCGATGCGCGTGGAGAGCAGCGCCGTCTGCTTCTGCAGGTCCTCGATGAGCTCCTTCAGGGATGACACAGCGGCGTCCTCCTCCGTTATCGAAGCCTCGTCCTCGTCCGCCCCTGTGCCCTTGATCTTGACCACCTTGCCGTCGTACACCACCAGCCCCTTGTCGCGCGACAGGAAGACGAGGAGGATGTCGACGTCCTTCTCGGATAGCCTCCTCTGCTCGACCAGCGCATCCGCAAACGTCTTCTGGAAATGCGTCTTCGTGTACGTGCGGTCGAACCTCGTGTCCGCGGGGCTGACCTTCTCCGCGAGCTTCTTGGCCGTGGTCTCGACGTTCTTGAGCACGACGAACTGCCCCTTAGGCAGCTTATCCTCGCCCGACGTCGACCCGCCGCCGAAGCCGAGCTGCCCCGCCGCCCACGACACGACGCTCCACGGCACCTGCGACCACGTCTTGGCGTATATGCTGTCCTTTGCGCCGAGGAACTCTTTGACAGGGTGGAGGTCCTTCTCAGCGACGGCTTCGCGGACGACCGTACCCAGGGCGAGGGGCCGGCCGAACTGTTTGCTCTCGAGGGCGCGGAGGAGGTTATCGTCGACGTCTACTACGAGCAGGTTCGGCGCGGAGAGCTGCGAGGGTATCCTCCCTTCCCAGGCCGCGCGGGCGAGGGCCTGCCGCCAGGCGCTCATGTTTGCTTGGAAGCCATCGGGGTTCAAGGTTCGTTGAGGGCGGAAATCGGAGTAGAGGGCGGGTAGGCGTGCTCTGCCAGTCTGGTTAGAAAACTCAAGCTATCATCGAGGTGGGGAAGTAAGTCAGACGAACTTGCGGAAGTTCTGGTCGTGTTCCGTGAGGAAGTCTGCTAGGTCGCCCATCGTGACCGGGTGACGTCGAGAACGGCTGCGGAACTATTTGTTGTTTTGATTCTCGTAGGAGCCTCGTGGCGGGTACTAGCAGGTGAGGTAGTGATTCTCGAAAAGTCTGACGAGAGCCTGCTATGGAGGGCCTTCTTTTGAAGCGACGTTGGAAGGTTTAAAGGTCCTGTGATCTCTCATGAAAGACGGAAGGACGGGGGAGCTTCCATGTTGGCCCGTGGTGGGGTGGCGCCTTATCGGCGTACTTTTAGCGGTGCTTCCCCCTATCGGTTGCCTGTGAGATCACTGGGAAAATCCTGGGGACCCTGGCAGCTGCGGGTACGTACAGGGATGACGGGCTTCGAAATGCCTCGAGCGTCACCTCATGAATGCCAGATATCTAAGCTTGAATGAGAGGTCCTCGTCACATTCAGTAGTCACTCGTTGTACGCGGAACCTCAAGCCGGAACACATGGATAACAAGTCACGGAATGAAACGGTACAAGCTCGTTCGTAAAAACGGTGTAAATGCTATTAGCCCGCTTCATAAGAACGCATCTACAACCCCAGTCACCCAGCGCCATCCTCATACCAGATCATGTCTTTATCCGAAATCATTTTGTACAGAGTCGTCAGCCCCCTCGTCCTCGGCCGATTTCACTTTATGTAACGGCGCCGTCTCGAGATTAGCAGCCTGCGGCCCCGCGCGGCCCATCATGCTCGCCCTCCGCGACCGCAGATCCAGAGCCTCGCTCTCTTCGTCCACGACAACGGCCTCGGCTTCTTGAGACGCCGATTCGTCGCCAACATCCTCGGCCTCAAGCGTTTCGTCGATCTGGTGCTGCAGACCTGCCACGAAGTCGTTGGCAACGTCAAACTTGGAGATGCCGTTCTCGTGCGGGAGGTCGGACCATATCTGCCCTGCCTCGTTGAGACAGCGCTGCGACTGGATGTATTTTTGCTGGAGCAGCCAAGACTCGCTGGCCAGGATACACCACATGGCCGACTTGCGCTTGCGGTGGCCCCATGAGCCGGACCCGACGCCGGGTTTGGCGGAGTAGCACACGGCAAGACGCTCCTTCATGAGGGCGTCGCCGATCTTGCCTAAGATCTTCGAGTCGAGGAGTCGGATGCCCCATCTGACCGCATCGTCGACGCTACTTCCGCCTCTGAGACGTAGGAGCTCGATACCCAGGGTGAGCGAGCGCAGAGCTCCGAAAGGGGCGCTGCATCGTGTTTGGTACGAGTAGAAGGCCGCTTCGAGCATTTGGTCAATCGTTTCGGCGCGAGACTTTGAGGAAAGGTTTTGCGGCATGATCAGGAGACTGACGGCGGCCATCTCGTTGGTTGCGGCGTGATACCGCCACGCCTTGGCGTCGCTGAAATCGGATCTCAAGAGATCGTATGTCGAGTGCGCCAGCTTGTAATCTCTCAGCATGAAAGCGAAATCAGCAAGCTTTCGCATGATGGCTTCCGAAGCGTCTGGCCGATAGAACCCCGCAGGGTCATAGCTGGTGGATGATCCACTGCCGACCACCGATGACCTCGAGCTGCTGCCGAAGCCGCCCCATTTTCTTGATATGCTCATGAACCTGCCGGTGATACCTCTTCTCCGAGATGCAACCTGGTCGTTCCATAGAGACACATGCCGCTCCATCGTAGGCACAATAGACTGTGTCACCATTTCCCTCACAAACGTGCGGATCGCTGTCGCGTCAGACTCAAAAATGTACCTCGTCGGGTCCTCAAAGTCTTCCTGGTCCTCGCTGTGTCGGATATCAACCAGCTCTTCGGCCGCAGACATCCAGTCGCTGCGGGGAAGCGGTATGCTGTCGTCGTCGGTCTCGGCGCTTTGTGTGCTTCGTAGCCGTAGCAAGTGGCAGTGCAGGCCCAGGTGGCGCTTCATCTGGTCAAACAGAGCCAGTGACCGTGTTATGTCGTCGCGCTCTTCGTCGTGGACCAGAACGTAATATCTCAGATAATCTCCATCCACCCAGACCGGCAGCTTGTTTTCGCCGGAGCTCGTGTCGTTGTACAGTTTCCGCAGATCCTCGATCGGCGAGGGGCTTCTCGAGCTGATAGCAATGACGCACGCGACCGGATGCGCAAAGGTCTCATGAGGTGACACCTGGATGCCTGAGAGGAGCCTCCTCAGGTATAGCGAGTAGTATGGCGAGGTAGCCTCCACGTCCAACCCTTGCCTCGTGAAGGCGCCGTGGTGCGGAGTATGCAAGAAGGAATCCTCCGCGTAGGACAAATGACGATCGACGACGGCCTCGACATCTTCAAGGGTGTTCCTCGACTTGAGCGAAGACCCCGGTTGCCCGTTGGCCTGCGCGCCGCCTCTCGCGCTCTCCGGCGAGTCGATGTTCTCTCCAAACTTGACGAACCGGATGGAATAGTCCTCCCATGTCCTGCTGGCGCCGTTGCTGTCTCTAATAGTGACCTTGCCCTGCACCTGTTCGCCAAACGGCCTCAGCAGCTCCCACAAGCCGTTCTTGAACCCCTTCTCCTTCGCCAGGTCGTTGGTGTCCTTGGAGGTGTAGATCGCAACGTGAGGAACGTACGCCTTGACGAGCAGGTTGCGCGGATCGCCGGGGCTGTCGGACGAGATGTCTATCAGAGATCTGCCCGCCGGGCCGCCGAAGACGGAGCCGGACATGGTGCTGCGGGCTGGCGAGCCGCGTCCCATGGGCGATCCGGACCGTGAGCCCGGCGGGGTCAGGGTCGAGGCGAAGAGGGGCGCGGCCGAGGGGTGCGATCGGCGGTGCGGCAGGCTGACTTCGGACTGGGACAGCGGGTGGCCCTCCGGCACGGACTGCCTCTTGGGCAGCCTCACGGTGGAGGCGGCCATCGGCAGCGCCTGGATCGCATCGGTTGGTGACGCATCGTTGTCCGGGGACTGCATGGGGGAAGTGGTGGTGGTCCGAGGTATATCAGCCGCGGGAACGACTGATACCCTTTTCCGGCTCGGATTTCTCGCAACTTCTGCGGATTTGCGGTTCTTGTCGATATCGTGGGGGTTGGGAAGACGCAGCGGTTGCGGCTCTAGATTAGACCTCGTAATCCGTTCGAGTGGCTTCGGGCGACGTAATCATAAGGGGGGGAGGCTCTCTCGAGGGTGGATCGCAGAAGAAAATGCGTGGTTGGATCAGTCCGGAAACTTGAAAGTCAGTCAGCACCATCCGGATCGCTTCCACAATGTGATCGTATAAACATACAAAGACTGTTCCATCACGAAGCCACGAAAGGTACAGCAAGCTGCCAGCAATCCAAATTACCTCCAGAAAGCCGTCGTTCAGGCTCGGGGCGGGAGACATTTGATCCTCCGATAAGTGACTAGCGCCCCGTCACATGCACGTCTAACCGCGGAGGAGAGTGGGGGACCCTTGTCCCTTCCGCGGCCCCTGCCTTTTCTTGGTTCTGGCGCCCGTGCGTCGCGAACCGGTTGTACAGTGCAGGTTGCAGCTGCATTAGCAGCGACGCATCCAAGCTCGCGACTTTCTTCTAGATCACTTCCACCCAGCTTCCAAAACGATACCCACCCCCATCCGCATCTTGCCTTTTCTAGAAGTCACAACCTCCAAACATGCCGTCCGACCTCTCCTCATACCTAGCCACGCGCTACCTGGTAGCAGATCCTAAGCCCTCCAAGAAGCGCAAGCGCAAGGCCGCGACCGAGAATCAAGGCCTCATCATCGCAGACGACGACGACAATTGGGGCAAGTCCGCACAAGACAACGATGACGACGAGAGCGGCCCGATGCTCGTGTCCGGGGCCAAGTCAGCAGAGTTCCGCCGCACGAAGAAATCAAACTGGAAATCCGTCGCCGGCAGCGGGCCCTCGAAACAAACAGATGACGACGAGAGCGCCGCCGCCGCAGACGCGATCCTCGCCTCGGCGGCCGCAGAGAACGCCGCCGCCGCGCAGGCCGACGACGAGATGCCGGTGGTAGAAGGCGGCGGCAACGATGCCGGGGTCGTCAAGATGAGCGACGGCACGCACGCGGGCCTGCAGAGCGCCGCGGCGGTTTCGGCACAGCTGAAGAGGCGGCAGCAGGCCGAGGAGGCCGAGTTCGCGAAGCTGAGGAAGTCGGGCAAGGAGCAGGAGACGGTATACCGCGACGCCACGGGCCGCAGGGTGGACGTGTCCATGAAGCGCGCCGAGGCGCGGAAGCTAGCGGCCGAGGCGGAGGAGAAGGAGAGGCTGGCGAAGTTGGCGCCTAAGGGCGAGGTGCAGCTCGAGGAGGCCCGGAAACGGAGGGAGGCGCTCGAGGACGCGAAGCTCATGAACTTTGCCCGGACGGCGGACGACGAGGAGATGAACAGAGAGCTTAAGGAGAAGGAGAGGTGGAACGATCCCATGGCGCAGTTCATGGTCGAGAAGACGGGGCCGGGGGCCAAGGGGAAGAAGGGGAAGAAGAGGCCAATACACACAGGCGCTGCACCGCCAAATCGGTATGGCATTCGACCGGGTTACAGGTGGGATGGCGTGGACAGGAGTAACGGGTTCGAGGGAGAGAGGTTCAGAGCATTGAACCGGAAAGAGCGGAACAAGGGGCTCACTTATGAGTGGCAAATGGACGAGTAAAAATCGCACATGTTACGGTGTTAGAACGCCGTGGTTGGCGAGGAGTTTGATGGAACTCGTTTAATGATCATGGCATGGCCAGCCTCCTTCACGTTTGATCTTGAAATTCCGACATACACCCCCGGTTTGTGACTCGCAACCAAAATCAGCATCCCTACCTCCTTGGCTGAAAATGGAAGTTTAGACTGTCATAGTCACAGTGGCCGTGTTTAGCCTGGCAATCACTCGAAGCTAAGATCAGTGGCAAAAGCTGTAGATTTCGTAGGGGACAAACATGAGAGCTAATAGACGAAATAGGCAGACTGAAAGAAGCAAGCCTGTTCCTCGCCAATGTATCATGATACGGTAGCTCTAAGCTCTAAGTCTATCTGGCCGATGGATTCAGGAAAAGGTAACCTGTTCCTGCGTGCCGGCGGCTCGGACACGGCGTACTACCTATGACTTGCGACGTAGTACCTTATCAGGCCCGTACAGGCAATTCTCTCTGACGAGCTTGATCCAGTCCTTGCGGTCCATCTGCCCCGGACCGTCTCCAATGCGACCAGCGAACTTTCTCATAAGATTTCCAATGGTAATACCATTTGGAAGCTCCGGCAGAGCATTGATAATCTCCCAGGGCTCGACAGGGCCGGGAGATCCAGCGCGTGGAGAGCCTTCTGGAATAGGTGAACCAGGCTTGGAGCCTGCCGCAACGAGTCAGCATGTCTTGAGAGTTGAATGATTGGATGTCTGAAAGAAGACTTACCAGGTGCAGCGGGAGCGGGACTACCGGCCCTCGATCCCACAGGGGTTCCTCTTGCGCCACTTCCAACGAGCTTGATCTTCTTCTTCTGTCGCAGCTGGCCATCAGACATCTCTCCTGCCGTTGCTTCGCCATCACTCATCACACCCTTGCCCAGGTTGCTCTTGCCCGCCGGGCCTTGCGACAAGGGAGTCGACGAACGGCTTTGGTGAACAGAAGCAGTCTGCTTCTTGATCTTCTTGCGAGAGGACTCGTTTCCACTAGATTCCGACAAGTTGGGGGAGCCGGGACGCTTCAAGGATTTGCCCTTTTTCAGAGCGTCTGTATGTTTCGGTCGGCCAGACGGGGTCGTGTTGCCCTTGGAAGACACACCCGAGGCGTTCTTGTCCTTTGAGTCTCCCTTCTGCTCGTCTTCCTTCTCCTTGTCCTTGTCCTTATTCTCATCATCTTTCTTCTCCTCGTCGGAGTCTTCATCGCTCTGGGTCCACAGTTAGCAAAAAGCTGACAATGCGTCTCGGGTCGAACGTACCGAGGAAGACTCGAAAGGATCATAGCCACTTGAGTCGGATTGATAGATGGTTTCCTTCTCTCTTTTGATGAGCGCCTTGGTAGTCCGCTTGCCCTCTTTGCGACGCTCCTCCTCAGCCTTTCTTTCTTCGTCGAGCTCCTTCTGAACTCTGTTTTCATCAGCATCGCCAAAGAGATTGGCACCCATCTGGTCACGGCGAATACGTTCAGTCGCCTCCTTGAAGTCCTCGTCATTGTCGACTTCCAATCCCGGGGCTTCGTCGTCGTCCTGGAACTCATCTCCTTCCATGTCGATCTGATCGTGATCCATCTTCTCCTCGCGAGAAGCGGCACGGAAAGTGCTGCTCTCCGTCTTGATTCTTGCCGGGCCGTAAAGTGCATGTCTAGTTGCCTCCCACTCCTCTTGCTCACTCTTCTTTTGCTTATCGCGCATGTACCAGCGGCCGACATCCGTTTTCTTGCTCATCAAGGCCTCGGCTTCTTCCAGTCTCATCGTGTTGAAGTGCGGCTTCGCCGTGAATTTATACCACTTTTCCAGGGGAACAGCCGCAAACTTCCCGTCTCTGGTAGCAACAAAGGCGACGGTGGTCTCTGACAACGGAGCTACGTAGGATCCAACCCAGACATTCTTGCCATCAGCGTCTTCAAGATGCCAAGGGAGTGCCTCCTCATATCGCAATTCCTGTTGCTTCTTCTCCTTCTCGGTTCTGGGTTGTCGGTGGAATTGCACATCCTCCTCCTTCTTTTTCTTTGGCGCGGGTTTCTTGTCGAGACTGGGGTCCTTGAGACTCGGCGCACTCTTTGCCAATTCAACGGCGCGAACAGCCTCGCGCTCAGCCTTCAGCTGTGCCAATCTCTCGGCCTCCTTCTCGTCGACCGGCGGTGGCTCGGGTGCCTCCTGCTTGACCTCGCGGCCAGGCGGCGGTTGACGAGGATCGCGTCGCTGGAGCGTCACAGGTCTGGTGAACTCATCTTGGTTCGTGGGGTCGATTCCTTTCTGCTCGAGGTCCGCCTTGGAAGATGAGAGCTTCATTATGTGATGTCGAATGCCGTCCTTCAATGCCTTCTTTGTGGTTACGATCTTGTACTCTCTCACGTTGGCCGGAGGAGGATCGAGCCAGCCACCGTTTGCCGCTCTTCTAGTTTTGATTTCATCTTCGGTCTCGGGACGCTGATGACCGAGATGGCCTGACGCGCCCGGAGAAGGTCGAGCGCCTGCTGCACTCTGCAGGGTGTTCGGCGCAGGACGCGAAGCCGCGGGTCGGGGTTGGCCAGGGCGTTTTCGGGCGACTAGAGGGTCTCCGCGAGGTCGTCGCTTGATCGGAGGAGGGCGAGGCGGGCCGTTGGGGTTTTGGCCGTTCGGCATGCCGGGCGGTGGCGCGCTCATCTCGAGGGCGTAACTTGCTGCTGGCACACTACCAGCCGACCGTTATTTGATGGAGCCACGGGAGTCTCGTTGCGAAGGCGTCGAAATTTCGATTTCGGTGAGGCAGTCGGCACCGTGGAGGCCAGACGAGTCGTGACGTGAACGGAAGAGACGGCGCTGCGGGCGCAAAGTAGTTGAAGCACGCCGAGGACAAGTAGCAAGGCTATGCAGTTGAAAAGTTATGTCTCTGAAGAATGCTTTAAACTCGCCCAATAGAACTTTCCAAGTATTTGCTGCCGATGCAATGTGGATTGGTAGTCGCGAAGAGGGAGATGATGACAAGGAGGAGAAGCGGCGACGAGGACGGCGTGGTAGCGGGAAGAAGGTTATTGGAAGGCGCGCCTTGGAAGTTGAGCGCACCTAGGCAGCCAGCCCAGCTCGGGGGAGCTTACAGAAAAGCTGGTACTAGTGGGTCGGCTGCTATTAGGACGACCTGCATTGTATCCGCCTGCTTCTTTTTGGTGCGGAGTACTTGCACGTCTCAGCTTTTTGCAGGGAACTGTACCTAGGTTTTTAGCGCGGGTGGCTCACAGTGCCTGGCAATCCACCTCAGCAGCAGGAGCCGCATATGGAAGGGGCTAGCCTTGCTGGGGAAGAACGTCATAGGGATGAACTTGCGACCATGCTGCACGTTGCGATTGTGTGTAACTCATCAACTCAGGTAGGGATAAATAGTAGAGAAGCAGCTTGAGGGGCGTCCATGACTGCGTCAAGCTACGTAAATGTCCGCTTTTGAGACTGATTGAACTCGTTTTCATCGTTCAAGTTATAAGCTCAAACTTGGCGCTGGACCAAAATTACAACCCCAGCTACAACGGCTGGAGCAACGGCGAGGTATTGCAGTCGGATGAGACAGAATCAAAGGACGACTGACAGCATTTATTCCAGGGGCAAGATGTATTGATGTAAGAGATTGCTAAAGGCTGCAATTATCATAGCAATGTCATTCTATGAATCAATTATATTTGCGCCTGTGCTTCATCTACACGACGTGTTCGTATCGCGCGTGTGACAGTTGATCACTTGACACCTCGACATCACTTACCTTTTCAACACGCTTCCAATTGAGTCGGAAAGCTTATACCACCAACTCTAATCAATCCAGGGACTTTACTTTGACCTCGTTCCTGCCGTCCCATCAAGGCCAGTCGACGCCGACCAAGCTTCGCACAGTCCAAAGACGCCCGAGCACGCCAAACTTACACAGTATCCATTCGTTCTACACTGTAGCCCCTCACCAAGGGATGTACCTTCCCCACGTCCAGCTTTCACCTCACTCCAGATTTACACTGCACGCTTGAATGAGGTGATCAGCAATCGGAAACTGTTTTCTACCCTGCAAATCAGCCTTCCTCTTGGTCAAGTCGATCAATAGAACAACAACTACCTCATACCTCAACTCTCAGCCACCGGCCATGTTCCCCAGACGTTCCTGACCAGGTGAGAATGCAGTGCTGCGGGCCCGTAGCAGAAACCTCAAGCTCACTCAACCCCACAGCAACATCACCATCGCCAAGCTCTGGCCAACTACATCGCATGAGTACGACCGCAAGCAGACATCGCCATCATGCAGAGTAGTGACGGGCAGCCTGCCGGCCCCAGTGCCCTCGAGAATCGCCTGAGAAATTTGATTCTCACCAACGCTCCCTCCACAAACGACCCGCCGCAGTTCTCTGACACCCCGCGAACGGCCGCACCTCTCCCTGTCGGTGCTGCTTCTCCGCAACCCGCCAACAATGACAACTCTGCCTCGGCCCCCGTTGATGGGAAGCTCCCAGGCTCGCCCAAGATTTCTAGAAAGCGCCCCAATCAAGCCCAAAGACGCCAGATGAACGCCCAGCTGTCAATTCCCATTGACCCTCGACCTTCGCCGCCTACCCATTACGGAAGACCTTTTTCCGGATCTCCAGGTCACTCGTCTCATCCTCCCGGCTTTCACCAGAATGGCGGCAGATCTCACCACGCGGCGGCCCCTTACCATGGCCAGGGACAGCCGCAGGGTCAGTATGCTGGAATGCAGCCGCACACGCCAAGGCGTGATGGACCTCGACACCCCGGAAATCTAGACACCTCTCGCTACCATGGTGATCAGCCTCACTTCGCGCGTCAGGACAATGGATCGCCCAGATATCCGCGCAATCCTCACGGTCAGCTCTACAGTCCCCGTGGCTCCCAGCACCAGTTCCGTCCCGAGGAGCTGGAGAATCAGGCCGCCTACCTGGAGGGCCTCTGCAGCACTCTTGTCGCTGGCGCGGAGATTGAACGCGGCGAGATCCTCGAGAAGGAAAACTTTCGACTCAAAATTGAGCAAGTCTGTCGGGTTGCCATAGCCGAGTATGAGCAGCAACAGAATAACATTGAGAACTTCCCTCCTCAGTCCGTGGAGTTGAAATGCTTCGGCAGTCTTTCCTCAGGTTTCGCTACCAAAGCATCCGACATGGATCTTGGCCTCGTCTCGCCGCTTTCCCAACCACAACCCGATGCCGCAGGCTCACCCATTCCCAGGCTCATTGAGAAGGCTTTCTTGGAACTCGGCCTTGGCGCTCGTCTTCTCACTCGAACCAGGGTGCCGATTATCAAACTTTGCGAGAAACCCCCCGAGAGACTGAGACTGGACCTGCTGGAAGAACGAGACAAATGGGAAAAGGGCATTGTCGACGTCGACCATGCAGACGCAGCCGATGAAGATGAGCATGTCGACACTGAAGCTACCCATGCCAAGGAGGCTACCAACGATCAGCCAGACGACTCGGCTGATCATAAGACAGACGCAACGTCCCCCACGGCGGGAGATGCCTCCGAGTCGAAGCCGAGCATGCGCCAGTCAGCCAACATGTCGCTACCCGCTTACTATAATGTGGCGAAGCGGGCATTGAGAAAGTTGGGAGGCCGTGACGTTACTGTGTCGAACTGCCGCGAGCTGACTGAAGAAGACTACGTACTCCTTAACAAAGTGTGCGAGGCCTTCTTCGCCGGTCTTCACAATAGGGAACTGAAGAACAGGTTGTCGGCTTATCACTCGCTGTCCTTCAAGCCACTCGCCAACGTACCCAACTACCGTTCGTTAGCCGGCGTCTACGCGCAAATGGAAGGCGAAAGAATCGTCATGCTTTGCGAGGCGAACACTATCGTTGCTAGTGCTGAGGATGCTGATGATTCTGCTAACGCGCTCATCGCAGCTTGGAAGTCCCTCCAAGATCAGCCACACTTTGGCATTGAGCCGCTGACTTACACCAAGCATCTTCAAATCCAATTGGAAAAACTCAGAAAGCTGCCAACCGCACAACTGCTCACCCTCGAGCAGAGCCAACACGAGGCCGCTGGCGCGTATCACAACAGAGCCTCCAAAGTTGTGTCGCAGCTCAGACCCCGCGATGCCGCCAGCTTGGTGGCTGCCCAAAATCTCATCATCGAGAAATTCGCGTCCGGCATATGGATCAACAGCATTCGTACGCAGGTCGCGGAGTTCATCGAAGCCTCCCCCGCGAATATCAGCATCCACGCCGTCGCCCGCCGCCACAAGAGTCTGCAACTCGCGTCAGAGCTCGAGAAGGCTCTGGACCATAATTTGTACGATGCCACTCTCGAAAGCGATATTAGAGATTACATCTCTGTCCTTCGTGGTCCCATGCGTAAGAGCAACGCGGAAGATCCTCATTATGACTACGTCATCCCAGTCACGAAACAAAACATCGAAACCATCAAACGCATGCGCGAGATCAAGGACCCGGCTAAGATGTCCGTCAACCAGCCCCGCGACCCTTACCGCGACAAGCTTGAGTTTCCCAAATCCGGCGTGGGCGTTCAGTGCGATATCAACTTCTCCGCTCACCTGGCCCTTCATAACACTCTGTTGCTGCGGTGCTACTCCCACACCGACCCTCGCGTCCGGCCCCTCGTCCTGTTCATCAAGCACTGGGCAAAGGTCCGCGGCATCAACACACCCTACCGCGGCACCCTTAGCAGCTATGGCTACGTCCTCATGATGCTGCACTATCTCGTCAACGTCGTCCAGCCCTTCATCTGCCCCAACCTCCAATCACTCGGCCCAGCCCCGCCGCCCGAGGGCATCTCTCCCACCGGCCTCGATGACAGTATCATGTGCCGCGGCCGCTTCGTCGGCTTCTGGCGCGACGAGCCCGAGATCCGCCGCCTCGCGCAGATGAACCTCATCAACAGCAACCGCGAGTCCATAGGCCACCTCCTCCGCGGCTTCTTCGAGTACTACGCCCAGAACGGCTCCATGAGCACGTACCCCGGCCGCGGCTACGACTGGGGTCGCGACGTCCTCAGCATCCGCACTCCAGGCGGCCTGCTCTCCAAGTCCGAAAAGGGCTGGACCGGCGCCAAGACCGTCATCGAGTACCGCCCCAACGCTGCAGTCAACTCACCCAGCACCGAGGCCCCTCCCGCAGCAGCGCACTTTGCTCTCAAATCACCCATCGACCCGCCCACGCCGACCACCCCGTCCGCCGCGACCGCATCACAAGATGCGCCATCCCCGACCGTCGGGAGCAAGCCGGCCGTCGCCACGCCCACGACCGCCGCCGCCGTCACCGCCGCGTCCCACAAGAACGGCGAGGTGAAGGAGGTGCGGCACCGCTACCTCTTCGCCATCGAAGACCCCTTCGAGCTCGACCACAACGTCGCGCGCACCGTGACGCACAACGGCATCGTCGGCATCCGCGACGAGTTCCGCCGCGCGTGGCGCATCATCAAGGGCGCCGGCACCGGCAACTTCAGCGACGAGCTGCTCAAGGACGTCGCTGCGGTGAAGGAGGAAGACGAGAAGAGTACGTTCGTGTCGCTGCTGGACGAGATCCACGGGTGGGAGCTGTTTGAGTGAGTGAGGGAACGATTGTGTGTATTATGGGAAACAGAAATGGCAGTATATGGGATGTAACTTTACTGTGTTTGTAAGAAGAAATGTGACATGTGAGGACGGGCGGACGGACTGGAGGGCATGCTCTTTAGGGACGATGTCACGAACGGATCATGAGAGAAAAAAAAAAGAGGAAAACCAGAGATGAGATGAGATTGAGTTGCTTGTATTATTATTACCCTGTGTAACTACAGAAAAAAATCCTCAAACCGTTACCAGTTACTGGCAAAGGTAGTGAATCAAGTTGGCACAAGTCAAAGAATATTTCACGGAGGAAAAGCATGTTCGAAGGTTTCTCTTACCCCTCGCCCACCCATCCCGGAGGTGGTGAACGCCATAAAGGCAGACTGAGCGAGGGGTCTTCTTTTAGTCGAAAATTTGATCTACCAACGCTCCGTTAAGGACTTCTTCTGGGATGAAGATAGCCCTTGCTGTCCAGAAGACAGCATCGTTGGGGGGGAAGAGACTCTCCTAGGAGATTGTCCAAGAAGTCAAGAAAAGGAAATATTAGTGTAGCACACACGAGACACACACACCGTAAAGGTTGCGGTCGGATGAGGTATCAAGATCATAATTCATGTCTAATACTGACCATGTTAAAAAACGTTTCAAGTGGCAGACCATTCCCAGGTCGCACTTTTGTGTTGCCGCCATTCTGGCTTTTTTCCACTGTGCCGTTGCCGCCTCCCAAACGCCGCGCTAGAATGCCATCACACCTCCCAAGGATGCCAATGAAAACGCACACGATGCCCAGAGTCCAGTTCTTAGACCAAGAAAGAAATGCAAGAAAAGAAGCCGTGATGTTCTGGCATAGAATGACATGATTCCGCCTCACGCTCTTTTGCTGAATTCTTCTAGTCCAGGATGTGCTGGTACAAGGGAGAGATTGACTCGCCGTAGTGGTTGCGACGGATGGCCTCGGCGAGGAGGAAGGAAAGATCCAGGACGACAAGCTTGGGGGTGCGCTTGGCCTGGTCCTCGGGAATAGGGAAGCTGTTGGTCACGATGATGGCATCAATGCACTCGCATTTCTGCATCTGCTCAAGACAGTCACCACCAAAGACACCGTGGGTCGCCATGCAGTAGACCTTCTTCGCGCGGCCCTTTTTCACCACAGTCTCGGCCGCAGCGATCCAGGAGCCTGGCTTGTCGATCATATCATCCACGATGAATACGGTCCTGTTCTTGACATCGCCGACCAGGGTTATCATGTGCTCGACCTTCGGGTCCTTGAGGACCTCATCTTCCTCGTCTGACTCAGGAACCGCGTCGCCGGAGCCGCCCAGCGCATGGGGCTGAGGAGCGAAGAAGGACGATGCCTGAGACATAGCCATCGGGTCGTCGTCACGGACGCTGCCGCCCGCGGTCGAGGTAGCCGGCGATGGATAGTCGTCGTCCACGATGTGGCCTTGGACAAGACGTCCGTGGGTGACTTCGTGAGCGCGGCGGTCATCATACTCCGCATCGCCCTCCTCGTCGTCATCCGTAGCACCGTTGGTGGGCTTGGACTGTGTAGGGGTCGTTGGCCGGTCATCCATGGTGCTGGGATGAGAGCGCGGGGGGTTGGTGTGCTGAGGCGAGCCGTGGGCGTCGGCCCTGACTCTAGCAGCGCGACCGGTGGCAGGAGGGGTGGTTGGTCTAGGGGCAGGCGGAGTGCGACTGCTCTCCAAGACAGGCTCGCGGTCGAGGTTGTCAAGGTGGTGCATGATCATGCTCGATGTCATGTTGCCACCACGCTTCTTCTCGGTAGTGACCATTCCAAAGTTCAGCTTCAGGGCGTCCGCAAGCGATGTCACACGCTTGGTACCGCCGGCGTTTTTGGATACGACAACAGCCTCCTTCCAGTTCGGCACGTTGTGGCGGATCCACCTCGCCAACAAGGGCTCAGCGTGGAGGTTGTCGACGGGACACTTGAAGAAGCCCTGCATCTGAGACGCGTGGAGGTCGACGGTGACGACGTGCTTAACGCCAGCGACGCCGAGGAGGTTTGCAAGCATCCTCGCCGTGATCGCACCGCGGTGGGACTTCTTCTTGGACTGGCGGCTGTAGGGGAAGTACGGCAGCACAGCTGGAAGGGGAAGGGTTAGCGACGCGATAATAGTGGGTTGAGTGAGCAAGAGGTTGTGCTTACCAGTGATCTTGTTCGACGAGCCGCCCTTGCAGGCCGAGATCATGATCAACAGCTCCATGATAGTGTCGTTGACATTAGCGCTGCCGGACTGGACGACGAAGACGTCCTTCTCTCGGACGCTGGTCAAGATTCGCACGCTCGTCTCGCCCTTTTGTGTGACGGGTTAGCCTCAACAGGGAGTCCAAACAAGTTTGGAATTGGTCCAATCAAGGCAAGAGCCGGAGAGAGAAGAGGCCGCGACAGGTCGCGAGTCCCATCCTCGCCGACTCCCCGCCGTTGGTGTTGACGGCAGCAGAATTTTGTGTCTTTTGGGGATTGGCCAAAGAACAAAGATCGCACTTCAGCTTACATTGGAAAATTGGGTAAGCTCCGCCTCGGCAGGAGCCATACCCAGGTTCTCACATATTTGAGTAGTGAGGGCCGGGCATGAAGAGCCCGCGAAGATGAGAGTGCCGCGCATTTTGCGAAGAAGAATGCGAGAGGGTCGAAGAGTTTTGGTTCGCGTAGCGGGGAGCTTTTATTTGCGGGCTGCTGCGAAAGGAAAAATTGAGTTGGGCGCAGGTGGGGGGAGGCCGGGGGTGGTTAAGCCGACAAACGGGGTCGGGCCAGCTGAAGAGTGGGGCATGACACAGTGCGGCTGTCTTAACCTGGCGGATGAAGCCATCATTCGTACTGTATTTATCCGACCCGGACAAGCCTCGTTCGCACCGAAATTTTCAGCTGCACCGTGCTGGGCACTGGGACCCCGCGATGCTGCTTGCGCCCCTCCGAAGCAGGTGCAGCCAGTATCAAGGTCGTGAAGAAGGTGCGCCTCGATAGGCAACGACCCAACCGTTCATGCAGGGGGAAAAGTTTGGGAAGAATATTCGCCAAGTTTAGAAGACTATTGGTGTTCTATATATGACTCACTACCCGAAAATACTCGCCTGCGAATTTTCATAGATGATTTTGAGGTTGGTTTAAAAACTCCTCCACGCAGTCCATTCACTATTTGTTCCCGCTGACATACGCTTGGAAGTGTAAGATTTGAAGTGCGCTCAATGAGAAACGGAAATTGAGATGGGCATCCCTCACTTGATCCACCACCTCGCTCCATATGGGGTTCTCGCTCCTGTGGACGGCGACAGAGTTGTGATCGACGGCCCTGCACTGGCGTATCACGTCTACCACCTTTGCACCAGGAGTAGCACCGGCCTTCCTTCCTACCAACTGCTCAGTGACACTACCATCGCTTGGCTGGACAAGCTCACGAGTCACAACATCTCCATGTACCATGCCTTAGCCAATGCACCATCGTATCTTTGAAGACTTACGCGTTGCAGAGCTGCGATCTACTTCGACGGCTTCCTCCCGCCATCAAAGATTCCTGTCCGACTGGACAGAATACTGAGGACTTCAACACAACTCAAGCTCTTTCACTCAACATTCCCCAATGCTTGTTCAGCCAAGCAGGTCTCAGCCACACACCACAGGCAGCCTCCTCTCTTTCCGACAGACGCACCAAAGAGAGAACAGCCCCTGACCCCGCCCCCGCCATTCCTGGTCGCTGCCGTGGTCGACAAGCTCAGCCAAACTGACAAGTATGCGGACTTGGTGCGTCTGGTACCGGGCGAGGCGGACGCTTACTGTGCAGACGATGTCCTGAAGAACGGAGGAACCATCATAACCTCCGACTCTGACCTCACAATACACGACCTCAACGAAGGGGCTGTTGTCTTTTTCAAGGATCTCCACATAGGCTCTGCAGATGGAAAGGATGGCCTCCTTGGGTTGAAGTTCTGTCCCTCGGACGTGGAGAAGCGTTTGAAGCTACCAGAGGGACAAGGCATGCGGCGGTTTGGATACGAACTTTCCAAGTCCAGCAGGCCAAAGTTCTCGCAAGTCCTCGAGAGCTGCAAGGGAGATGTTGCTGATCCGGAAGACTTCCACAGCTTCTGTAGGCCATATGAAGCTCTGGATACAACGGATTGGAGCGCAGTCCCCGTGCTTGGGAGCTTGAAGAATCCCAAGCTTGATGCCAGGCTGTCAGAGATCGTCCTCCAATTCGTGGGCTACTCAGGGGCCTCCGCTGCCTCATCTGAGGAGAAAGGTGCAGAAGGGTGCATGATGTGCCTTCCGCCACTCCTAGACTGTCCTGCTCGTGCAAGCGCATGGGATAGCAGCGCTTCTGTCCGGCAGTTGGCGTATAGTTTGGCTTCCCTGCTGAAACCAGGAGCGTCGCCCCCTGTCCGAGAGTACAGAAGAGTGTACAACGGGATGAATCAAGGGAAGAATGTCATCATTCTTCCTCGGACATCTATCAAAGACTACACCGACTTTCTTTATGACACTCTGAGCCAAGTCAAGAATAGTCTGGGAGAGGCGGAGTCACTTTGGCAGACTGTGGCTCTTCAACAGGTCCTGGCTTGCTCCAAGGTCGACGGCAAGTACGATGTATGCGTCGGAGCAGTCAAACAGGCTCTTTCAGTGGAGGCAGGCTCCGGCCTCATCCCATGGGACGTCGTTCACCTGTCAGCGCAGGTCCAGGCCATGCTCTACTCCCTCCGTCTCCTTTCTCAGGTCCTGGTCCTTCTGGATGTCGTGAAACCCGCAAAGGTGCCCAAAGGCCTTGACAGGCTCCGTGACCTTCTTGAATCCCTGCCGTCTTTGACGGAGTGGCCAACAGTAGACGGAACCCTGGCCTTGCTTGGCAAAGGGAACTTAGCTAAGCTTGCAGAAGCACTCGAGATACCCGAGAGTGATTTGCTTCCTGCGAAAGAGGCAAAGAACAGGAAGAAGAAGAGGAAGAAGATGGCCGAGACTGAGCCTCAAGCGTTACCGGAGAAGAAGAGGTCGTCCAACCCATTCGACGTTTTGGGCGATGAGTAGAATTAGAGCTACTCTTAGAAAATCAAGATAGTTGCATCCAGTTGGGACATGAATGTCAGCTTCGGCCGTCTGTATCTTGGGCATCTGGATACCTCCGCGATCATGCTTTTGTCTAGTTAGGTTCTCTGTAAACGGCTTATCACAAACCTGAAAACGAGTGGGTTTTGTTGGGTTGTTACTTCGCTATGCCCCCCCACCCCCCCCCCCCCCTCCCACCCCCATACACTGAGGCACTCTCATCTTGTCAATGGCGAACAGATCAACGTGGATCAGGCAAAGACAATCTAAAGCAAGATTGGCTTGCAATTTTCCCTCCATAATGTCCGGCATCCCTCCTCATATTCCTTCGCCTATTGTGTCTAGGCGCCGAATAGCGAAGACATGCAAGCAATTCTTTCAGAATCGTCATGGACCATAGACCGTGGCTTTGCGCGACTTGAAGTTGCCGCCCTACGTGTTGAGAATAGTGTCAAAACTCTCCCCATTGTCCCATAGAAGTTTTGCTTCAGGCCTAGTTGAAAAATATATATAAGCAACTCGGCTTTTCTTTTCTTTATAGATATAACTTAACCCATTTTCGCAACATAAAAAGATTCGGCACCCTGTCTTCCCACTGAAACAATTAACCAATCACTGGTGCCATCTCGCAGGTGTCATGTAAGCTTGGAGAACCTATTCCTAGGTATTTTGAGCTCCATTTATTTAGGACAATGAGTTCTCTATTGCAAACGCTGACGAGCCAACTTACTTTTCCTCGTCCTGCGCTCCAATACCTATGTTGTTTCTTCAGCAATACTAGAGCAAATTCAAAGACGACAGCAAGTTTTTGTGAAAGGAGACTTTCAATGAGAAAACTGCATCAGTCCCTTGTAACCCGTCTCACGTCACTGCTGATTGTGATAAAAGTTTCCGAGTCCAGCGTGCCCTCAATTGCTATACCATCGATGGACCGCAAACGAGCTGGTAGTTAATGACCCAAGAACTGAAACATGATGTAATCTACCTTTCTGGGAGTTCTTGCGTGAACCACAAAATCAAAGAAAAAAACAGGGTAATAGTGTGATGATAACAAGATGGAGCCAAATAGCAAGAACTACATAAGAAGCACACGTCAGGTCTCTAATACTTTGACCACTGAGGACCACCCCCTGAAATGTAGCTGGAAGCCACAGCAACTCCACTCACGCCGAAGCAAGAAGATCGCTGTTCCAGTGTGACGAAGGACAGATCCAGTGCTGTCTGGTGGAGTGGACTACAAATTAGAAACAGGAATTGAGATGACATGATACGATAACGCAATTGTACAGGAAGCCTTCGGAAACTTTGTCCACCGGGACAAAGAAGAGCCGCGAAGTTCATACCAGATAATCAGTCAATGTTCAAAATCATTTCAGCTTGCCATCGATCCTTGCCCACCGTCAGTCCCTCTCACGTATCCCCTTTGGAATAACGCTCAACTGCGTACGAAATTAAGTTAAGGAAACGCACTTACCGTGTGTACTTCTTCTAGTGGACAGCATCTGAGTGCTCGGCCGATCCCACACCACCACACCGACGCCATCTGGAAGCGATTTTGCTGCTCTTCCCCATCGTGTCTGATTCTCTATGATGTACAAGACCCTACCACGAAGCCGAATCGAGTTACTCAATACGCAGCAAATGGATAGCATAAAAGCTCGCTCGGGGGAGCGAGACCTGTTTCTCTCAGCAGCCAATGTCCGTCGTCTGCGTCTAGGATTTGACAGGCAAAGGCAATTTTTAGCAGGGTGCTCTCAAACCATTTCGGAAGTTGCAACCCCAGGCAGCGTCTCCCACTCCTCAGCGGTACGCCTGGTTTTGCTTAGTCTCTCCTCATGTCTCTTGCTTTCTGCATATTCAACTTTGATACGCAGGGTATTCCAGTACAGTTTCCGCACGGAAAGTGCGTGTTGGTCCACTGCGGCTACGCCTCTGCGGAGGTGACAATACCTCGAAAGAAGTTGCATACTACACTCTCCCGGCCTTTGTGGCGGCGAATGAAGAGTACGATTCCTAACAATCTGCCCTCTTCACATCCAACGAAGTAAGCACGGCGCCTACTTATACCAGAAGCTGGGCTCTAGATCTTGTAGGATCATCGGACTTCCGACGCATCATACCTTCGAGTCGCAGCCATCTTTCGCTCTCATGCCTTCTCAGACACATCCGTCCGATACGAGAACCCCTCAACCAGTGAGCCGGGAACGTAAATCGGCACTTTCAGATCGCCATCAACACCCGAATCTCACCTATAAAAGCCCAAGTCCCAGACGACTCCCTCTTCCACAGAAGCAGACACCCCATTAGTGCGTCCAGGGGCGATAGATTACAGCAACCTCTAATTCTGTGTCAACTAGCTCATCTCCGTCGAGTTCTCGATGCTCACCGGCAGCAGGCCCAATTCTAAGCCCCGAAATCTTCATCCGGCCATCGTCACACATCGCTTCTCAGCCCCTTACAAGTATTATTGACGAATAGACGGATAGCGCTGCCCATGTCAACTCTTGCAGACATCGCCTTGCTGCTGGCCACGGTAAGAACAAAACTTACAATCAGCGAGTATCACCGATCATCGAATGTTCTTCGCCGCCCCCCGGCCGCCCCCCATTGCCGGTGGTTCAAAATGAACAACAAGATTTGAGCCAGGCTTTTATAGGCAAGTAATACTTAATCAGCTGAAATTCAGGCCGCGAACTGTATATAACTTCAAACCCCCAGCCCAGATATGTTGCCCCTCCTCTCCCGCAGAAATCATAGTGTTGTTGGCCCCGGTTGTAGCTGTCACCAGGATTCAACCTATTCAACTGGGAAGGCCACCGGAAAGTTGTCGATCCTCACGAGCAGCAAGCTCGTCCGTCTACACCCAAATCGATCCATCATCGTTGGTCGCCTCTGCCTTCTCAAGAGCATTCAACACGAATAAGTAAGCAGCGTTGCCCCCCATAGCATTTCTTGCAGACGCTGGTTTGCCCTTCCTTGGTCGAGATGACGACACAGCTTGCAGGGAAAAGTTACCGTCTCGTAGCCATACCGTCCAACGCCCCCTTAAATTGTCGGTGGCTAGGAAAAGAGAAGAAAGCTGATCTGCGCCGAGCCTTTATATGCAAAGAGTATTTCCGTAACCTCCTTGAGATGTCCAGTCTCGCGTCCAACGCCTTCGAAGCACGCCGAAGCGAGACTAGAGTAGTTTCGTCATTGTTGTCTTCAAGTTTGGCTGTCCTTCTAGACAACAACTGGATCATATCACACATCACGACATCATCACCCATCAAAGTAACCAGAATCTCAAACAGCAAAGCCACTGTCTTTTCATCCTTTGTTTGTGTATTTTCTGAACTGCAATTACCAAAGGGACACCGTAGGCTTCTCCCCCGTCCCGATGTTTCCATCCCGTACACCTCCACCCCCAAGTTTAGTATCAGTCAGGTAGGTTGGTTTGTAGTAAAAGACCGCGTTTTTCCCCCCCCGGTTCTCCCAACCCCAGCCGCCGTCCGTCTTTCCGCCCCTCTCTCCGATTCGTCGTTGCGTATGTAAATATGGTTGTACTTAAAGTAGCCGGGAGACCTTGATCAAACAAGAGGTTCCATCAGCGTCGAAGAGCAAGGCGCGGGGGGTGGTTTCAGGCTCTGGAGTAGTGTTCGATTCCATGGTCGGGGAGAGCGTGATGTACGAAGCTTGCTCGTGTGGTTTTTGTAAAGAAGAAGAAAAAAGTTTGCGCAGAAAGAGTTCGCTCTCGCCTCCTCCCAACCCTAGTTGTTCGCGTGCGTTCCGGTGCTTACGTCGTTCCGGTGGAGCATCATAATCAAAGGTTTCGAAATTGTACACTGCTTATTCGGGCATGCGTACGTACAGTCGTCGGTGTGTTGCCTCCAGAAAGGTGGCGGCCAGTTGTGATAAAAGTGCAAGTTTATGCCGTTTGGCTAGCAGGGCTACGCCGAGACCAGGTCTCGCCTCCACGCCCGCGGTAGCCGCCGCGGCCGCGGCTAGGGGGCGGCGTGGAGGTGCTTGCCTCAGAGTACGAGGACTCACGGCCCTTGCCGCCTCGGCTGGGTCCGGATCCTCTTTGACCGCCTCGTCCACTCGAGCGTCGTGGGTTGCTGGCTGATCGGGAGAAGGGCAAAGGAATCGTCTTTGCTTCGCCCATGCCGGGGAGCTGAACGCGATAGACGCTGCCAACAGATGACATCTCGTGGGGGAACCACAGAGCTCGGATCGTCGGTTCAGCATCCGACACCCAGAAGCGCCTAGGCAAGGGCTTGGCCGGAGCAGAGGCAGGGTGCCACGCAGCATCGGGCGTCTTATGCGGGAGCTTGATCTGAGGCAGAGATCCCATTTCCTGCTCCTCAAAACATTCCTCCGCCATCGGCTTCGTTGTGAAAGACTTGATGTCGTCTGTAAGGTTTTGAATAACTGAGCGCGGCAGCGACACGGTTGCTGCGGGGTTGTAATACCCTGTATACTCGAGAGCGCTCTTACTAACAGGCTCGACACCGGGGGCTCTGGGCGGCGAGTTCGGCTTACGGCCGGTAAGAAGGTTGTTGATTCGATCCTGCCAGTTTTCGTGCTCTTGCTGTCGCGAGGCATTGTTCTGCTGGTAGGCACCGCGCGTGTAAACATTGGGTTCCTTGTAGCCGGCGGGGCTCGCCCAAGCAAATGATCCGCCGGACCTGGCTGCTGTAGGTTCAGCGACTGCCGAAGGCGGCAGCTTTACCACGTATCTCGGGCGGGGAAGGGAGACGTGGGGATGCGAAGCGTCGCCATCGAAAGCAGGATGGCCGTACACCTCCGGCGGCGGGGGCGAGGGCGAGTTGGGTCTGGATCGCTCAGCAGGATGGTTTGAGACGTCATTTCTGCTATCCTTGGGGGGGAAGAACCGGGATGGCCGTGCCTGAGATGCGGCTGGTCCAGTGGGAGGCAGAATGGAGCCGGCTGCAACATCGTGATGAACAACATGAGCAGGTTCACGCCTGCCCTCTCCGGAAGGTCTCCAAGTATCCTTGATTGCGGGTTGGGCCTGTTCAATAGTGAGACCTCGCTCGTTGAGCTGACGGTCACGCTCGAGACGCTGAGTTCTCCGCTCGTCGAGAAGTGATTTATCGCCATCCAAAACTGAGTTGGCCCATCTGTTCCGCATCTCGTTCAAGTCACGATTGGGTCCGGGAGCCGGGCGAGGCTGAGTTGTCGGAGGAGGCTGGTTCTGAACACGCTGTGCGCTGGGAGGCGCAATGGGGGCGGGGCCTTGCCTAGCTTGGGTCGGAGGCAGCTGGCCAGCTTGTGACTCAGGGAGGCGTCCAATGTCAGTGTTGAATGTGCCATTTCCTAGACCACGATCATTGTTAGGAGATCCCCATACGTTCTTCGCCTGCTGCCCAGCAGAACCCCAGGTCGGCAGGCGGTCGGGTTGCTTTGGAGTTTGCGCGTCCCACAGATTCGGCTGTCTTGCGTCATGTCCAGATCTTCGATGTTCGGGGTCGCCAGTCGTAGGTCTTTCGCCGTAAGGCTTTTCGCTGGCGCTCGTCACGGTTGTAGGTACGGTCGACGGGCCAGAGCTTGCCGCAGACTCTCTAGACTGCGATACGGTGTCTGAACTAGCGGAGCCGTCGCCTTGCTGAGCCGGGGGCTGAATGGTGGCACTTGCGCTCTCTGGAGAGTCCTTCTTGGCACTCTTGCGTTCCGGTGGCGGTCCCATGGCATCCAGCTTGGCCTTGATGCGCTCCTTCCTCGCAGCCTCCTCACGTGCCTCCTCTTCACGTCTTCGTTGCATTGCCAGCTCGCGCTTCTCGCGCATAATCTTCTTTTGCAATTCCAGATCCTCTTCGAGACGAGCCATTGGCGGCGGCTGAACCGGACGTCCCTCGGGTGGTCCAGCTGAGTGAAGGCTGGCGTAGTTGGTACCCGGGGAAGCGCGGGGCTGCCACTGCTGGTTCGAGTGCATCCGGGGGCCATGCTGAAGGCCTGAGGGGGAGAAGTTCCGCGGCGAGACGGGGCTATCGATCGAGCCTGTAATAGAACCTCTGCGCGCATTGAGCAGATCTTGAGGAGGCGGAGGCATTTCGTGCTTGCCAGGTCTCTGCATGTAGGAACCGCTTCCGCCACTGACGTTCGAGGATCCGCGGCGTCGACCAAAGGGGCCATCGGGCATCGTTGTCCTGCTAGTTTGGAAAGCCGCAGAAGGCTCAGGATGATCAGAGTGGGAGGGGCGTTGCAGAACGGGAGGCTGTCTGGCATCAGATCGGAACGATCCCCTTCGGTCATTGACTGGTTCATAACGACCAGACTGGGAGTTGAAAAGCTCCCGGTTTCCGCCACCAGGCCCTTCTCTCCACGCAGACCGATTGAAGTCGTCGGCGGCGATTTCTCTCGCATACGGCGGCGGCGTGTTGTTGCGGCCTGGCTGATCTCTGGGGGCGAATCGGTGTCCTGCTTGAGGCGGGGGCTCCGCGACGATGGGAGGCGCTTTTTCAACGGGTGGAAGAGGCGCCCATGGCGACTTGACGGGCGTTGGGGGAGCAGGTGGCTTTGCGACAAGCGTTGGTTTGTCGGCTGAACCGCCCTTGAGAATCAGACCCTTTCCAGAGGCAAGAACACCGGGTTTCATGGACGGGGACGGGGCGTTGCGTGGAGGCGCGGGCGACTTCGGTTTCTCGATCGGTTTCTCTTTTGGAGGAGCTGGCGCGGGCGCGGGCGCCGGAGTCGGTTCGGGAGGCGGAGCGGGAGTCTCATCAGGGTGCGGCAATGTTGTCTTGGTACCGTCGGTCCAGGTGATGGTCTCGGGCGCCCAGTCGTCATCATCGTCCTCAATGTCCGCCCAATTACCTTGCGCCTGTGCGCTTTCCGGGGCCAATCGATTCGCCATGTGGATGCCATACTTCTTAAGTTCCTCATCTGTGAATTTCTTGGGCTCCGGAGGCGGAGCAGCTGGGGATGAAGATTAGCAAAGACCAAAGCCTCCACGATTTCCCGACAGCCTTACGTCGATTTTTGTTCCATACTGCGCTGGGGTCCGGGCCGGATGCGTTGGTACCGTTGGCTGCCGAAAGTCGCGGAACGTTGCCAGTGCCGCTGCCCGACTTTGCAATAAGTCGGGGTCGCGACGAAAGGGTAGAGGTGCCAGAAGGGGAAGAGCTCAACAAACTTGCGGAGCTCTTGTCGGCGGGTTTCGAAGCGGTACTACCGGCGGCGGCGGCAGCGGCGCCTTTCGCGGCAAGGAAGGTCTTGTTGACAGACACAGCCTTAAAGGTCGCGGGTTTCTTGACGGTTGATAACGTCCTTCCGTGGCCCTTTTCTCCATCTCGAGCCCTCGATGCTTCCGTATCTGAGCCCCCACTCACGCTGACATCTGCTGAGATGGCCTCTTCGACACCGGTGATGTGCTTGTTCTCGAGGTCATCGAAGGCTGCGGGGCTGCCATTCAGTTTTGCGCGGTTTGGACCATCGTGGGCGCCGCTGTCGTTGGTCTGTTTGCGCAAGTTAGCCATCATGATGCGGCATGGGTGTTGGTTGGAGTTGGGAGGGGGGACGTGGGGACCTTCCGGCATCTCTGGCGTCGTGGTCTCCGTCCGCAACTCCATTGTGTCCGTCGCCGTCCTAGCTCTAGACGACGCCCCTCGGCGTTTTCAACCGGCAGCGCTGGGTGACTTTGAGGGGGAGCACTCACGAGCTTGGGTTCGGAGGAAGCATCGACGGGGGCGAGGGTGGCTTCAGTAGCCATCATACGTCGTGCTGCGCTGCGGAGGAGGAGCGAGGTTGGGGTGGGCGGTCGCTTGCCTCGAGTGGTCGGCGTTTCGGGGTAATAATCGAGCCTGAGGTGGTTGTCGAGGTTATCGTCGGCGCGGTACTCGTCGCGATCGAGGGAAGGGGAATCGTCGCGGATCGTCGTCCCGATTGTCGTGGGATTCTAGGTGGGAGGTAGAAAAAAGGGAGCACTGAGGCGAGGTGGTGTAAAGTGGCACCGATGCGGCTATGATGGTTGTGAGGTTGATTTTCCAGAGGAGCTGCACCTAATCAGGGAATAGCGTGCGCGTGCGGCAGGGGAGCACTGGGCGCTGAACCACCTACGGGCTGGTACAGGTAGTGGTCATAGGTTCCCATCGCACTCCCAAGGACGGCACTTTAGTGTACCTTAGGTACGTCCTGACAGTGCTCGTTTGGCTCCAAAGGCCGCTGTATCTTGTTTTTCTTTTATCTATTTCTTTTGTTTCTCGTAAATCTCTTGCCTAAATGAACCCTGTATTCTATTTCCTCACGCATCACCATCTGGGGGTATTTTATTGCAACATCGTAACCCAAAAGAAACCATGGGCACAGACACTGCTCGCAGGGACACAGCGCACTTCAAGCACTGGGCCGGGCTGAGGTGCCCTGCCTTGACTTTACCCATTAGGTGGCACGGTGGGTGGGTGGTGAGAATGAGGGGAGGCAGGTGAGGGAAAAAAGAGTGGAACCTGCTGGGGCCTCTCCGCCGACGTGGACACACCACCACCGACCCGACGGCTTCGTGAGGCTGTGACAGTGCGGCCAGATGACTCACTGTGCGCCACTAGTACTGTGCCGCCAGTCTCTTCCCTGCTCTTTCCTCACGAGAGGCAGGCACCAACCAACGCGGGATTCCCCGACATCGAATGCCTATTCTTGGACTTTTTGCATTGATCGGCCTGTCCCCCAGTCTGAGCATCGCAGAGGGCCGCGAGTGCGCACCCGCACTTCTCCGACTGACACTTGTTTTACAGACCTAGCTTACAAGGCTACTGACTGCTACCAAATGTTGGTCGACGACAGTTGTTACCTGGTACCTTAGGATTCTTGTGTCGCCACTGGGATGGATGCATGTGTATGGCGAGCTCAAACTCAATGCCCCAGTCCTCCCCTTTCCCAACTCTTCCCTTTTGCCCGTTGCATCCCGTCTTGCGAGTGGTGGTTGTCTGACTGGTCGGTCGATTGGTTTGTTGGGGGTGCAAAGACTTGACTGAGTATTACGCAACACTCACTCACTTTTCGATTAATCTTTCCATTAGCTGAAACAAACTCTCGGCACCTGTGGTCGCCTCTGCCACTCGCTCGACTTGTAGGTGGCCTTAGCCGAACCGAGAAATCCGGGGTCGCATCTGAGGGGTCACTGCATATCCGAACATAGATGAGCAGACGGCACATACTGCTTCTGAGAGCTCTTGAGACAGAGTGCGTATGTAACGAAGACATACAAAATAACTGAGTAGTGCGGGATGCCAAAGTGTAAATAAAAAAGGAAAACAGAGCTCACGAGTCGACTCGTAGCTGTCGGACGGTCGAGCTTCTCTCAACGTGAGATGTGATTCATTGAGGCCGTCAGACCATGTCATGAAATCTCAATTACACGAGTCGATGGATCTGACACCACTAGTGCTAAAAATGGACATAGACATAGCGAATGAACCGTACAGCTGGATATAAGTATACCTACCGCAGCAGCTACAATGCTGAGATTGGACTAGGCGCACTTAAGCTTGGTCATACTCGGTGGAAAGGCATAAAGGCAGATATAGACTTGTGGACAGTTGCCTGCGAGACTTTTGATCAATCTTCAGCAACGTAGCCCATGCATTGTAAGCTCTACATGAGGTCAATAAAGCTAGCGTTGGAACTTCACAAGTCGTCAGACAAAGCGTGACAAGACACAAGGGAATTTGCCGAGGAGGTTCCTCTCGGAGAAAATAGAGCTTCTAATTCTTGTATACACAGTCCCAATGCCATTACACAGCCTACGGGTTCAGGCTGGACCTACACATCCGATCGGGAGAGAGTAGCTTAGTGAGCATTGTTCTTGTGGTGGCCTGTCACGGTTCAAGAGACGTCAGCAAATCCCATCCGTTGAAACGTTTACACCTCGTATCTCTTTTCGTCCGAACTGCCCCGCGCCCGCAGGGATCCCTAAAAAAACACAAAGGCGAAAACTTACGGAGGTGGAAGTAGTAGTTCTGGGCGTAGCCGACGACGAGGAGGAAGCCGATGGCGTGGATGATGGCTGCGCGCGACCTGTCAGCAATGTCTCTTTACACATTCGTCGTCTCGGAGGAGCTCGCAACATACGCTTGGCAGAGGCGTTCTTGCCGTTGAAGTGCTTAGCGGCGTAGCGGCCGAGGATGCCAGAGGCCTTGGCCTCGGGAGCCGGGCCACGGGGGAGCTTCTCGTAGAAGTTGACGACGCGCTGCATGCGGACGGCGTTGGGGTCCGCACCAAGGGCCTGGATCGAACATTGCGCATGTTAGCCAACCATCCCCATCAATCAACAGACATCATCAAATCCGGCCAGCGTGAATAAGCTCTGCCCCCCGCCTCTTCCAACCGCATGTCGCAACTGCGTGCACCGCCTGCCGTCGTCTCACGATCCTGCCAAAGCTCCGAGGAGCCCCGTCCACCTCTTGACCCAGTTTCCGGCCGCATCCTGCACCATCCCGCCCGAACCTCCGACTTTCGCGGCGTTATCTTCGCACCACCTCGGCCATCCATCAAAACACGTCAGAATCGCAAGAGATATCGTACCTTGGGAGAGGCGACCTAGATGCATCCCAATTAGCCAAACTGCAGAGACACCCCGCCGTCCGAGAAGCTCTCGCCAAACGACACCGGGCGGGCGGAAAGGGATACCCGAGCTAGCGTACCTTGGGGGGGATAAGGGTCGAAAGACCGCGGCGGGTGACGAAGCTCATTTTCGCGAGGAGGGCGGAGGTATCTATCGGCTAGGGATGAGCAAGTCAATTGACGGCGCGGGAGGGTATCAATTGACCTTCGTTTCGACGTTGGGGGGGTTGAGATGGCTGCGAAATGCGGGTGGATTTGCCGAACGTGAGGTTTGAACGAAAAGCACTCGTTTCTCTTCGGGTCAAGGTTCTTGCGGCTAGCCAATCAGTGTGCGGGACATCGGGTGAAAGGTGGGTCACTGGGCGGCGGCAGCGGCAGCCAACCCAGGCAAGGCTGTTTGCCGAACGTCAACCACCATCACCAAATCGACTACAACCGTTTCCGAAGGAGTCGCCGATTTCGCCATCCCCCCGTCGCAATGGCTTCCCTCCGCGTCCAGGGCGCAGCCCGTCTGCTGCGCAGCGCCGCCCCGATGCGGGCCGCCCTCCCGCTGACTGCTCGCCGATTCGAGAGCTCCGTCGCCACAACTACCGCCGCCCCCCCCGCCGTGGCTCCCTCGACGCAAGAGAACGCGCCCGACTACACCATCCAGGCTGACAAGGCCACCTCGTGAGGATACCCGTACCGCCCGGGCGCCCAATTGGGAATACCCGGGACGTCGAGAACACACCAATGGCTAACCTACGAGCCTCCAACAGCACCTTCACCCCCGTCCCCAAGAAGATCCAGGACGCAAGCGAAGACGTTCCCTACCTTCAGGCCGCCGTCCTCTCCGGCGCTCCCATGGAGCTCCAGGCCCGAACCGTTCGGTACGCACGTATCCCAAACCACTCCACACACGAAGTTTTCCCCCAAAGACATCAGCACGGGACCCGAATGTTTACTAACAAATAATCACCAGCATCTACCAAGAGGCCAAGCCCGCGACGCAGTCTGGAGACTGGCAGGGCCACCACTGGCGCATGGACTGGGACATCCTCCCCAAGGGTCACAGATGGGAGAACCCCCTCATGGGCTGGCAGTCGTCCGGCGACATGATGCAGGGCACCAAGCTCAACTTCAAGAGCAAGGAGGACGCCATCCACTTCGCCGAGAAGCAGGGCTACGAGTACTTCGTGCAGGAGCCGCAGTCGAGGAGGATCCGCCCCAAGGCCTACGCCAACAACTTCCTCTACTCCCCCAAGAAGCTCAAGCACATCCGCACCAAATAGACGACCAAGCCAAAAAAGAAACTTGTACTGTACATAAGACGCCCTGCAAAGAAGCTTTTTTTAACACCTTCCAATGGTCTGTTCATTCTCATGGAACGCGCGTATTACGACTATGTGATGGAATATACATGAAATATTTCTTAGTAGTAGAGTTGAGTGTACAACGAGACTTTGTTGAAGCGCATTAGGAAGGGCCAATGTCAGCGGACTTTGGCGGTCCGCTATTGGTCCGTTCCGGGCCCGCCATGCGAGATGTGTATCCGAGCTTCGTTGAGCTCAAACCATGGTTGCTCGTAAAATGAGAGCTCCGCCTACAAACCAGCAAATGCTTTTTACGTTTCCAGCACGGCCTCGTGGTGGCATCAGTAGCAGTGCTTTAGACAGCAATCGCGCAGCAGAAATGACGCCATCCAAGCTCCTTCAAGTCAGACTTGTGAAGCTCTGGACTCTGTCTCGGCTTTTCACAATGCACCTAGACATGGAAAGTCGCGCAACAGGGGCACGAGATTCAGAGAAGAGCAATTAATAGTGACAATGCCATTTAAGCTTCTATTGTTTGTTCGGTGCACTGTTTATCCCGAGTATCATTATATCGTTCGAGGATACACCGATCCTCCATTTCCCAACGCCTTGCTACCTTGTCCCTAATGCCAATTATTCCGAGTCGTGAAACTCATCAAAAACACCATCGTAATATGAATCTTCGGACTCGTAATGTTCCAACGCGTCCTGGGTATCAGCCGAGTCGGAACGAGGTTCGTTCTGCTCCTGGCGTCCCGGCTCAATCTAGGAAACAGCCGAGTCTGAGCCCCTTTGAAGACGCAGGGTCATTTTCACTGCCTGCACCTAAGAGGAAAGTACCATGGGGTCGTGGATGTCAGCGTCGCCGTCCCCGTTGAGGCCAATGCTTATTCTGTCTGGTAGCGCCTTCTTCTCAGCCCGGGCAGTGTTTTCAGCCCAGGCACGCATCCGGATCAGGTTCCGAATCGAGGCCTCCCTACGCTCTGTCTCACGCTGCAGGATAGCCTTGTTGACGTCGTCTGCCACGCCGCGTCTCAAGTCAGGGTGCAGTATGGCGGCCAGCTGGGGCTCAAGATCGCTGTGAGGGAACACCAGGAGAGCCATTGTCTCCTCCAGATCCTTGAGGAATCGAGGATCCGTAGGCGCTCGAGGACCAAGGTGGTGCGTGGCAAAGGTCAAGGCGGGAGTGATATCTCCGCCGGGCGTCGCCGTACACGACCGGATCAGTTCGACGAGCTGGAGGCGCAGAAGCGCAAAGTGGAGGGTGGGATCCCTGTCCAGAATCTGGTCCATCTGTTAGTCGTTGCGACAGAAATATGATGCACGTTTAACAAGACGAAGTAGAAAAGGTAGCTCATTGAATAATGGTGTGCCTCATCAAAGGGCCCGAAGGCGCTATGAGTGGTGCATGTAAAACTCGGTTTCTAATCACAGCTCGGAGGGGAGACAGATTCAAGTAAAATCAACATACCTCAGAGTCAAAGTCGTTCAGGGCCTCGATGGCAGCCTGGATGCTGCCAGTGTGGATAGCTCTCTGAATCTGCTGGCGAATCTTCACCGTCTCATCGATCTGGTGTTCTTGCAGGTTGGCTTCCTTGCTGAACTTGTCGGCTGCCCTAGAGTAGCCCTCCATCGTGAGGTAGTCGAGGATCAGGGCGTTGATGTCGCTGGAGGTCCATGTTAGCATGAGCCTCTTTTTGCAAATCAAGTATGTGTTGCAAATGAAAGGTGAAGCAGCAGTGTCAGGGTAAAATTTTATATCGAGTTCTCCGCATGTTAATTGCTAGGAGAGATTCCCATTTGATAGTCGATCATCATGTGAGCTGGATGGGGGGAGGAGATTCGCGCGCGAGACGGACTAGCGTGGAGCTAGCGTGAAAGAGAACGGGCTTACCTCTTGGGCGACTTGACGTCCTGGACACGCCTTTCGAAGGCATGTTTCATGGGAGTAGCGGTCGACGCAGACGAAGTCTGAATGACATCTTAGCCCACAGCCCCCAGGGAAGGGAGGTAGCTCCAACGGACCATGATTCTCTCCAGGGTCTCCCGCACGAGGCGAGCAGCAGCTCTATTCCAGACTGCTATCGCTGTTGGGTCGTTGATGTCTGGCAATCCTGACATGCGATGTCGGGGATGAGGCGTCCGTGCAAGCCTAAATCATGAAGAAAAAAAATGTGAAGCGGAATCAGAACTTGGCCGTCGTCACATTGGGATGGCCGGTCGAGGCCCCGTGGTTTTGTTGTTGGAGCTTGAAAGAAGCTGCAAAGCGGAAGGAGAAAGGATTGGATGTGGGAGAAGGAGAAAACGTCAGAACAAAGAGAAAGAGGCTGGAGCGGAGCTTTATTTGGTTCCAGATTTTGCGGCTGCAGCGCACCAATTGCAGAATCAGCCGGTGGGGGAAGTGGGGCAGACTGGATTACATAAGTGAGATGGGCCACATGAGCACCGCTGCTGAAAGCGGGCTGGAAGGGCTGGCGACAGGGCAAGAAAAGCACAGGGCTGCAGATAAAGCTGCTTGAGATGGCGGCGACCTGAGGTGCATCGCGCCTCGGACAGAGCAGCAAACGCAGGAAAAATACAGGGTAAGCTCCACTACGGGCACAAGACAGGCAGGTACGAAAGCTAAATGGAACACTACGACTCTCCAGCGTTTGGGTGCGAAGCCTCAGTGCTCCTCTCTGGGCTACGTCTGGGCCCCTAGGTACCTAGGTAGGTCTAAGCGAAAGTCACCTCGCTGTAGGTATGGTAGGTTAGTATGTAGGTAGAAGTAGGTAGGTAAGGGAGTCTCCGTAGATCAGTGAGGAGGCTGCGAGCGTCTAGAACCGGTGTAAGGCGACCGCCGCCGATGTTTACCAGGTCGGTTTAGAGTAAAGAGGCACACGACACAGCCTCCCGTTTACAACTCCCCCTTTCCTGCCTTTTACATTCATCATTTCAGACTTTTCTTGACATCTTCCAACATAACACTATCAAATCGCAACTACAAAAAATATCATATGCTTTGCGGGCGTAGTAGCTCTGGTCAGCAACTGTCCCGACGCAACTTTGCCAGGACCTAGGTTACCTTACCTTACCTTTACAGCCAGGTGCTCCACACTGAAGGCTTGTCAAAGTCCAGCATCCCCTCAGCGCTTATCTTTGGAGACTGGACCCTTGAACTTTTGCCTCACCTCACCACCACTTCATTCCTCTCTTCCATTCTTATATCCTTCTCTTCCTTCATTCAACTGCGAGGAAGCAGAGACCTTCAAGACCGACCGGCAACCCCTGCAGCGTGCCCCTCACCCGTCGTCACTCCTGAGCTGCAGGAACTCGAGGTCCAAGCTGCAACTATCCGCCATCGCCTGTACCCCTCCACGTCGGCGAGCTCCGAAATGGCAGAGACAAACGGCACAGAGTCTCATGTGACGGTCCAGAAGCGAACGCACTACTCACCACCATGGGCAGACGTCAGCATCATTGGCATCGCCGGCAGCTCGGGCTCGGGCAAGTCCACGCTGTCCCACGCCATTGTTAGGAAGCTGAATCTGCCCTGGGTGGTGATTTTGTCCATGGTATGTGTGCAATTTTACCCCGCCAACCACCACCGCATCGCATCGCCCCTGACTTGTGATATTAGGACTCTTTCTACAACCCCCTCACTCCTGAGCAATCTAAAAAGGCATTTGCCAACGAATTTGACTTTGATTCACCAGAGGTGAGTTAGTTTCCGCGAGTGTGAAGAGCGGTTGTTGACGGCTATCACAGGCCATCGACTTTAATGTGCTTGTGGATTGCCTCCGAGATCTCAAAGCTGGGTAAGTGACAATGGTCATGAGATGACAATATCGAACATCAGAGGATCTACTGTCTACTGTCGATGAAATTTCTTACCGAATTTTGACTTACGCCTACCAGCAAGCGTGCAGAAATCCCCATCTACTCCTTTTCCAAGCACCAGCGTATGGAAAACACCACAACAATCTACTCCCCCCACGTAATCATCCTCGAGGGTATCTTTGCCCTTCACGACCCGCGCATCATTGACCTCCTGGATATGAGAGTAAATATGATCTCTCCAGATTTCGGTTACCGCCTTCTCACAGCTGTCTAGATATTCTGTGAGGCCGATGCTGATACTTGCCTGTCTCGAAGAGGTCAGTGCATAATAGCGATGAATACGTATGCAAGGATGCAGAAAGCTGACCTGAGTTTCTAGTCTTGAGAGATGTCAAGGAGCGTGGCCGTGATGTGGAGGGCATCATGAAGCAGTGGTTCACCTTCGTGAAGCCCAACTTTGAAAAGTTTGTCGAGCCGCAGCGAAAGGTGGCAGGTAAGGCCCCTCAGTGTTATGAAACTCTCTACCATCCGTGCTGACGATGCATAGACATTATTGTCCCAAGAGGAATTGAGAACCGAGTTGCGATGGGTGAGTAGACATGAGCGTTGTGAGTGAGCGTTGCTAAATCAACGAACAGCCATGGTCGTTCAGTACATTGAGCGAAAGTTGATTGAAAAATCGACCCACCACCGTGCAGCCCTGACACAGCTTGAGCTGGCTGCCGCCAGCGAGCCTCTGTCTGACAGGGTCGTAGTCTTGGAACAGACGCCGCAGCTGAGGGGCATGAGCACCATCATCCAGGACATTGACACCTCAGGCGAGGACTTCATCTTCTACTTCGACCGCTTGGCTTGTCTCCTGATCGAGCAGTGAGTGCATCATCCTCGACCTCTCGGGCAGCAAACTAATGATGCAGGGCGCTCAACAACGTGCACTTTGAGGAGAAGACGATCGCCACGCCACAGGGATATAAATACAACGGTCTTGTGGCCAAGGGCAATGTAAGTGCAGTGCTCGTTCTCCGAGGCGGAGCCGCATTTGAGACGGCCCTGAAGCGGGTCGTCCCCGACATGAGGACGGGCAGGGTCCTTATCCAGTCCAACGTGCGGACCGGAGAGCCTGAGTTGCACTACCTCAAGTTGCCCGATGACATTGATGAGCACGAGGCAGTCTTGCTCATTGACACGCAAATGGCCAGCGGAGGCGCGGCACTCATGGCGGTGCAGGTCCTCGTGGACCACGGCGTCGCGCAGGAGAAGATTGTGCTGGCTTGCTACGCCGCCGGAAGGCTGGGAGTCCACCGTCTGGCCAAGGTGTTTCCCGGCATCACGATTGTGCTCTGCAATATGCTTGCAGACATTGAGGATCGTTGGGTCGAGAAGAGATACTTCCGGTGCTAGCCTTGCCCTGCCCTGCCCTGCCTTGACCTTACCTCGACTTGCTCGGTGCTAAGGCACGCATGTAGAAGATGAGGCTGCGTCCTTTATCATGTGCTCCAGTAAATAATACCCTTACTCATGTAGCAACAGGAAGGGTCTAGCAGTAAAAGCCGCATATCCCATAGGGATGCCAAGATATCTGACAGAGCCTCCACCGGGATGTTGCGAATGCGACACAATGCAGCCTTTTTTTTCCAGACTGTCAGACGTGAAGAAAAGACGCAGTTTTCGTATGCAAGATCCGTCAATCCGTGTCTGGCAGCGGCATCGCTGGTTTATCAACGGACATCATTGGCCAGCGGCCCATCTTCAATTGGCCGAAGGAGGCACCGAAGAAGTGGACAAGCACTGCGAAAGGTGTGGGGTCTGCACGCTTGCCACGGCAGCCGGCATGGGTTTTTGACGCCGCTGACTGAGGTCTTTTGGCGTCGCCAGGGTCGCCATTATCAGATTTTGCAGGGAGGCAAGCTATCAGCTCGGCGGATCAGGGACGCGGCGCCGACACGGGCCCAGAACTTGGGACGAAAGTCCGAGAAGAGTTCGGTTGACGACGGCATGCTGTTTGCCTCTCGGAACGGGCGCGAGGCACATTTTCAGAATTTTGAAAAACGATGTCGTTGAAGAAGAGAATAGCCAGAGTCCCAAGGGCAAAGAGAGAGAGACGGGAAGAAGACTGATGAAGACGCTGGGTGCTGCTTAGAAGCTTCTGGCGGTAGGCGCCGTGCTGCATAATTGCATGCAATGGAAGGCAGGTTTTTTCGGGTTAACCGACCTATGACGACACTTTTGGCTGGAGTCGCCGGGAAAGGAGCTCCTCGGAGGTTCGAGGTTGACTACTACAGCACCTTCCATGTCGCCAGCGACCAGTGACAACACGCCCTGCGCATGCAATTGACCTAGTACGGGCAAGCATCATTACGCATACGTTATGTCCAGGGCAGCTGTCCCGCCAGTTCCATTAGGTCGCTCTTTTTTTCGTAGCCATTAAGGTACATTACACCTTGATTTTCTCATCCTGATCTCGAACCAAGAAAGCTTCCTCTCTCCAACGATTCTCCCTTGTCTGTCTACTGTTGCTGCACCTGACTTCCACGATCGACCCTCCCACAGAGCTGTCGTGCTCCCTTCGCTCGTTTCGACATGACATCTCCCTGTTGAATCATCAGGACATTCATTCCGCTCGAAACCAAAGATACACGATAATCAATAAATGCCTCCAACCACCTCGGCGCTGATGCGCATAACCCGCGCAAGCCGGCAGACCCCATCGCCAGCCAGTCTGCTCAAGGCCCTGCCGCCATGCAGACAGCCGCTTGCGGCGCTGCCGCAAAGGCGCGCCTTCATTAATGTCCCCCAACGATCTCGAACCCGAACACCCCTTACGAACTTCTTCAACGCCCACGGCCTGCCGAAGAGTCCCCTCGTCCGCGCTGCCTCTAGCTCTACCACAACCACGACCACGACTTCCAAACCGAAATCCCGGCTTCTATGGCTTGCCTACCGCGGCGCGGCTTGGCTCGGCGGCGGCATCATCTTCGTCGGCCTCGGCATTGTTGGCTTCTTCATCTACGACGCTTCTACCTACAAGGAACACCCGGACCAGTTCGAGATCCACGTCTCAGAGCTAGCACTGAACCCCAGACGCGGCGGGCCCAAGAATCTGCCCATTGCTGACGTACTTATCGACGACCTGGACACCGAGGGCATGAAGAGCACCAAGGACAAGCCGAAGCTGGTTATTCTGGGCGGCGGCTGGGGCGGCGTTGCCATGCTCAAAGAGCTGAACCCAGACGACTACCACGTAACTGTAATCTCGCCGACGAACTACTTCCTGTTTACGCCTATGCTGCCGTCTGCTACTGTTGGAACCCTGGAACTGCGATCTCTGGTTGAACCTGTCCGCCGAATTCTCGCTCGTGTGAACGGCCACTTCATTCGTGCTTGCGCAGAAGACGTCGAGTTCTCGCACAAGCTGATTGAGTGTTCGGACACTGACGAAGCTGGCAACACGAGACGTTTCTATGTTCCCTACGATAAGCTGGTAATTGCTGTTGGATCTACAACGAACCCGCACGGTGTGAAGGGACTCGAGAACGCGCACTTCCTCAAGGACATCAGCGACGCCCGTAAGGTCCGGAACCAGGTTATGCTCAACCTCGAGAAGGCCTGCCTACCTACCACATCCGATGACGAGCGCAAGCGTCTCCTTTCCTTCGTTGTCAGTGGAGGTGGCCCTACCGGTGTTGAATTCGCAGCCGAACTCTTCGACATGCTCAATGAGGACCTCACTCAGCACTTCCCGAAGCTCCTTCGCAACGAAATTTCCGTCCACTTGATCCAAAGCCGTAGCCACATTCTCAACACCTACGATGAAACGGTTTCGAAGTATGCCGAAGAGCACTTTGCCCGCGACCAGGTCGATGTGCTCACCAACTCGCGCGTCAAGGAGGTTCTCCCCGACAAGATCATTTTCACACAGAAGCAGCCCGACGGTTCGCTTGTCACCAAGGAACTGCCCATGGGCTTCTGCCTCTGGTCGACGGGTGTCGCCCAGACCGACCTCTGCAAGCGCCTGTCTGCAAAGCTCGGCCCGTCACAGACGAACCGTCACGCTCTGGAGACTGATACTCATCTCCGTCTCAATGGAACACCCCTGGGCGATGTCTACGCCATCGGCGACTGCTCAACTGTTCAGAACAACGTTGCCGACCATATCATGACCTTCCTTCGTGGCCTTGCCTTCAAGCGAGGCAAAGATCCCGAGACCCTCGAGCTCCACTTCACCGACTGGCGCGACGTTGCCAACGACGTTCGCAGACGCTTCCCCCAGGCCGTTGGCCATCTCAAGCGTCTTGACAAGCTCTTCGAACAGTTTGACAAGGATCAGTCCGGGACCCTCAACTTTGGCGAACTTAGAGAGCTCCTGAAGCAGATCGACTCAAAACTCACCTCGCTCCCCGCAACGGCGCAGCGCGCGCATCAGCAGGGACAGTACCTTGCCCACAAGTTCAACAAGATGGCTCGCACCTCGGAAGGCCTGAGGGCGAACCAGGTTTTCGACGGTGATATCGACGCAGTGGTTTATAGAGCATTTGAGTACCGCCATTTGGGAAGCTTGGCGTACATTGGTAACTCGGCCGTTTTTGATTGGGGACAGGGCTGGAGCTTTGCCGGTGGACTGTGGGCGGTTTACATGTGGCGATCCGTCTACTTTGCTCAGAGCGTCAGCCTGAGGACGCGTATTTTGCTTGCCATGGACTGGGCCAAGCGTGGCCTCTTTGGAAGAGGTAAGCTCTCTCATGTTTCCCTAATGATTGGACCTTTACTAACACACATCAGATTTAATGACCTACTAAAATCAAGACACGAGTGTTGTATGATTTTCTTTTGTGTTAGCATACCCTGGGGAGTACGAGGGCATAAGATGCATCCCCAAGAGATACCGAATCATGGGGATAAAAGAGTTAGAAAGGGGCGTAGACGGTCTCTGAATTCCATTTTGTCGTTAAAGATCCAACCTGTGCTTGGCCAATTGAGTGAAAGTGAATGCCCGGCGCTTTTGTATTACCACTTTTATGATGCCTTCTATCGTATATACCCCCTTTAAATCTTGAAATCCTTGTATGACCACTTTTCTGTGACTTTCGACCTGGCCTGCTTCTTGAACGGAAGATGTCTCCGCACCTCAACCTTGCCGCGCAGCAACATACTACGATACCTATCCTTCAGCAGATTTCCTTCGGGCTTCAGCAACCTCAGCGAATCCTGCAGCTCGTCCGGCAACACCAGCTCCAGGTCCTTCTCCGGCAGCTTGTACTTGCCGAGCTGCCGTCTCCTCAGCGGGGCGTCGTCGTCAATGTCCTCGTCGTCGTCGTCCGCGTCGCTGCCCTCGCCCACCTCGCGCGCGAGCTCCAGCGCGCTCTTGGCCGCGTCCCGCTCGGCGAGCTCCGTGGCGATCTGCTTGATGCGCTCCGCCTGCGCGGCCTTCTTCTTCATCGCGAGCTGGTGCTTCGCCTCGCGCTCGGCCTCCTTGCGGCGCTTGATGCGGTTGCGCTGCTGCGGCGTCTTGCGCTGCGGGCGCTTCTGCGACGGCTTGTCGTCGTCGTTCTCGACGCCCGACTCGAACCCCTCCCACGCCGAGTCCTCGTCCCACTCGGACAGCTGCGCGCGGCGGTCGGCGGCGTCAGCCTCGGCGGCGGAGCGCGCGATGGCCTCGCGCTTGAGGCGCTCGGCCTCCTCGGCGGCGAGGCGGGCTTCTTCGGCGGCGACGGCCTTGGCGGACTCGGCCTCGAGGCGGTCGGCGTAGTCGTCGAAGGTGGGGTTGTAAGAGTAGCCGCCCGAGGGCTTGACGACGGCGGGGAGCGGCTTGCCGGAGGCCGTGAGGGAGATGGGCTTGTGCTTGAGCGTCTTGGGGGGCTTGGCCTTGACGACGGGGGGCACGAAGTTGTCCTTGTCGGCGGTCGCGGGCTCGGCGGCGGGTGCGGGGGCGGCGCCCCAGAGGTCGTAGGTGGCATCTTGAACGGTGATGGAGGACTCGTGCTGGCCGTCGGCGACCTTGCGGAGGCGGGCGAGCTCCTTGTGGGAGACCCAGTCGGTGGTGCGTTGGCGCTTGACAAGGAGGAGGCCGTCGGAGGTTTTCGAGGGGGAGGAGGAGCGCTTCTTGCGGCCGGAGACGGCGGGGACGGCGGAGCGGGCGGCGATGATTTCGTCGGACTTGAGCGTCTTTTTCGTCTTGGGCTTCGGGAGGGCCTTGCCGACCGTGTCGAGGGCGAAGAGGTCTGCCGAGTCCTTCTCTGCGACGACACCACTGTGGCATGGATTAGCGACTGGTGCTGGGCTGTAGTTATGAGGCAGAAATGGGTAAATAGCTCACCCGGTGATGATCTGCTTGTTCAACTCATCGAGACCGTCCTCTACATCGGTCACGTCGACGTTCTTCCTCCACGCCTTCTTTCCCTTCCTCGAGGGCTGCTTGCGTTGCTGCGGCGCTTCGCCGTCGCCCGAGAGGGGCTTGAGAACGGGCATCTTGGAGGGTTATTCAACGGGACTGGGGATGTTTTGCGTTTCGTTGGGTATCTCTCGTTGATTGAGATGTTGTCGTGAAAAATCGTCGACCAGCGCACCCTGCAGCTTGAACAAACGTCTGCTTCGCCTTCAATCTGGACCGCAGGGACTTTCTCTTCACCGGCGGGGCCTAGATCCCAGCATCCCAGCGACCAGAAATTTTTCGTTATCGATATGGAGGTTGCATTATCGGATTATCAGCACGTGATTGGACTAGTACGGCGGGGACCCGCTTCTTATCGGTCCCTCAATGGATGACGGGGACCCTGCTAAGCTGCAATGCGCCGCCCAGAATGAGAAAGTTGACCTCCTTTTACCGTCGAGTTGCTCAATTTCCAGCTTTGCGACCAACTCTACGAGTTCCTCCCATCTCCGAAAGGCCTCCCTGGACTCCTTATTCCCCCAGCGTCCCTCCTTTCCCCCCTCTTCCTCTTTCTCTCCCTTGCATCCAAAACTCACCTCCTCCCGGGCGAACCTATCCGTTAGTGTCGACCGTGTTCCCTCCACCGATACTACGTCGAGCTTCCCTTTGATCATCGCGTATACTTGGCAACCATGGCGTCCGGCGCAGGCGGGTCTTACAACAACCCACTCAAGAAGTTCAAGTACGATGCGCCAAACATGACGGGTCAATTTGGGGATATCAATGCTGACGGCTAGGACAACAGGCTTGTCTTCTTGGGCGAGCAGAGTGGTACGTTTTGGCCCTGGACGAGCCTACCCAGCTCTTTCTTTGATGCATGGCCCTCCTCGCTAACACCGTCTTTGTTGCAGTCGGCAAAACCTCACTCATCACGCGGTTCATGTACGACTCCTTCGACAACATGTACCAAGCGACCATTGGCATCGACTTCCTTTCCAAGGCAAGATTCCCCACGACATCAGGGTGTGTGGAGGGGGCGTTATTAACTCGAACTACAGACCATGTACCTTGAGGACCGGACGGTGAGGTTACAGCTCTGGGATACCGCCGGCCAAGAACGATTCCGCAGTTTGATTCCCTCGTACATTCGCGACTCCAGCGTGGCGGTTGTGGTCTACGACATCTCAAGTATGTGACGAATGAAGTCAGGGAGTGTCGCGAGATGGGGAACCGACGGCTAACGACCAACGGTTGTAGATGCGAAATCCTTCCAGAACACCAAGAAGTGGATCGACGACGTGCGCGCCGAGCGAGGAAACGACGTCATCATTGTGCTCGTGGGCAACAAGACGGATTTGAACGACAAGAGAGAGGTCACGACGCAGCAGGGAGAGGAGGAGGCCAAGAAGAACAACCTCATGTTCGTAGAGACTAGTGCGAAGTTGGGCCACAACGTCAAGACGCTGTTCAAGAGAATAGCGCAGGCGTTGCCCGGCATGGAGGGCACAGATGCTGCCCAGCAGGCCTCAAGCCAAAGTGAGTGCTTTTCTTCCGATCTCTCCCCCACGAGCGGCTTACTAACACGAATCCCCAGTGATTGATGTGAAGACGACCCCTGCCGCATCCTCGCAAGAGGGATGCGCGTGCTAGATGATGTTCTTATTCGAAAAGAAAGCAAACGAGACTGGAGTAGCCCCCAAAAAGATGAAAAGACGAGCGACCCGTGGCGGACCGGACGACGCGGGGCTGAATTGCCGTTACATTACGACACGACTGGCGGGGCGGGACATCTTAAGCATAGCGTGCAATGAGGATTTTCAGCATCAGTTACAGTTTGTATAATAACGGGCTATAATCCACGGTCGTTAGTACATACCTACATTTAATGGCTCCTTTTATTCCTCTTCACCATTTATTTGGGCCTTTGCGAATTGAGCAACACCTATGTGTATGGTATAGGTGGTGAAGGTAGCAGCTTAGCTAGCATGATATGCTGGACTAGCTCAGTGCATGACCTGCAAACACTCCTAAACGAAATAAGCTTGGAGATTGATGTGTGGTTCACCGCCCGAAATGACACGAGACTACCTAATCAGCCTAGGCTCTGGCGATACTCGGACTCCGTAGGACCGCTGTGGACTGTCACCGAGTGCCAGGGTCCGTCAAGGCCCAATCGACTGGTCGAGAGTGATCCGGTGTCCATCGCTGGTGGGGTCGTGGAAATCGATTTGCACTCGCCCGCTGCGCTGCGCGGCGGCCGGCGGGTTGCTGCTCAAATCCGCGTACAGAAAGCGAAGGGGCGCTCGGACACACGCCCCGGGGAGTGCCATCATGACGGAGCAGGTGGGGCCCCATCATGTCATCGAAGGGGGAACGCAGGTGCAGGGTCTTTCCACCCTTTTTTTCTCGGAGCACCATGTCATCCGGCGCAGCCGCTTTGGTTAAATGTGACGAGCCTTTTGCAACGCTTTTCGCAAAGCTTCCCAAACATTACCAGAGCTCCTGGACCCCTTCTTCTGACGCAACCCTTCTTTTCCCCTTCCGCCTCCGGGTCTCCCCTCCTTCAACAATCCACCTTACCTACGCGGTTATCGATTCAACAAGGAAAAGAGAAAAAAAAATCAAAACGAAATGGCGCTTTCAAGATTCAGGTTGCGGGTTCCGCGCCCAAAGGTTGGTCACATCATCGCTAACCGCCGCGTGCATCTGCCATCGAGGCCCATGATTACTGACGCAAAAGTCACGCGACACAGACATTCCTGGGCTGCATCAGCCTGCAAACCGGCACCGAGATCATCTCGCTGATCCTGCTATTCAACCGCCTCACCGGCCTGTACGGCCTCCTCGCGATCCTCACCGGCTACGAGATCTCCGCGACGCAGCTGTCGATGTACATGTACTCGGTCGGCGTCATCGTCTGCCTGGCCATGTTCCTGCCTCACATCCGCAAGAACAGTCCCTTTGAAGCGCTCGGGCTCGCGTGGCTGTACATCATCGACACCATCCTCAACATTGCTTACACGACCTTCTTCGCCGTCGGCTGGTACCTCCACAGCACCGCGCTCGACAAGCACCCGGGCAGCGCGGGCGTGCCGGCTGCCGCGGAGATCGCGGAGGAGGCGCTGGCGAACGGCGCGCCTGTCGTGCCGGACGTGCCCAAGACGACGAAGCACATCGGCCCGCAGGAGTCGTGGATGAGCCTGGGGCTGATCATCACCGTGACGTTGCTGAGGGTCTACTTCGCGGTCGTCGTCATGTCGTTTGCGCAGAGCGTGCTGCAGCGGTTCACCGAGATGGGCTGGGAAGAGGAGGGACGCAAGAAGGGCCCCGATGGACCGTTCAGCCCCGGCGAGCCCGATGGTGAGGGCTACCGTGGTCGCATCGGCAGAGTGATGCTTGCCCTTGGACGCAGCTACTGGCTTGACGAGAAGGCACAGGAGGAGTGGGCGAGTGCGATGAGCTCCAAGTTTAGGCACGCAGGTGCTTAAGCTTAAATTTTCCGAAGCATATTAAGCGGAAGCGATTCCGAGATAGAAAAAGGTGGATTCGCGGATTTATCTTTTGGCGGTGGGCGGGCGAGAACCAATGTGGGTTCTGCTGGGTATCGGTGTCGGCGGGAACGGTGACGGCTTCGTCGGCGGCAACTGTGTTGACGCAGACCCGCCCCGCCGGCTGGCGGTACGGCTATTGTGCGGCATTCTCAGCGGGCAGCGATGACGGAGGCGAAAAAAAACGGCGGTCCACGATGGCGCCATCGCGGAGTGTCATCATTCGGCGAGATGGAGAATATGTAATGTGGACGGTTGTGGATCACGGAGGATGACACTTTTTTTTCTCTTCTCCTCCTTCGGGGTTTAGATTATGATTTGAACAAGAGTGGTCAAATGGCCATCGGCGTATGGACGATTGGGTAAGATGATTTCTCGGGCTGGCGATTGGGAGTGGGACTTTTGGGTCGATTGATGACTGGGTAGAGATGGCAACCAAAGCCCGATCACGGGAACAGCATACCAGATGGGATGACCTATACACACGGCCTCGACACATACATAGTAATACACGTACGTTAATTTATCAGGATTGGTGGAGGGAAGGCGTATCGTAGTGCAGCATGGGGATTCGGGGAGGCTGCATTTGCCCATCTGGCTGGCGACCTCGGCCGGGACTGCTTGGAGAAAATCTGCTGCTAATCCAGGGCTCACCATTTGTAATCCGAAAGATTCCCCGGGGGGAGGAGGCATGGATGGGGGGGACGCGAGACGGGGTTCCACGACGGGATATGGAGCGCTGCACTAGCACGGCCAGGTACCCTCTTATTGAGGCGTCGTGTGTTGGTTGTGACTCGCCTCCTTGCTGTGTAAGACGCAACGCAGAGGTTCTCTGCTAGTAGAGAGTCACACAGTCTACAGAGCAGAGACGCAGCAGCGGCTGGCGTGAGGCGGCTGCTGCGAGGAAGGGTGACCGACAACGGCGTTTTTCGGCATTCGGCCATTGGTTCCTGGTGTAAGTGCAGGTGCTAGCAGTCTAGAGACTTGAATACTTTTTTTTTCATGCCTGTAATACAGGTCCCTCGCTTTTTGGAGAAGCACGGGAGGTTGCTCATCTTACGTCAAAGTATTAGTGAGTTCCCCGGCCACTGTGACCTTGTAGATGAGAAGGTTGGGGTAAAAGCTAGCGGTTCATGGTCATGTCTGGTTGTACGAATAGCAGTCTTGGAGATGCAGAATTGGTCATCATGTTCATCCCGAAGTCCAGCGTGAGGGACAGCGTGTGGAGGAAACAGGAGGCACATCTTCCCAGCTGGCAGCTGAAGAAAGTTGCCTTTGTAATCCATTCCCCGTCTTCCCCAAGGTACCAAATAGGCAAGCAATGCCGCACACGGTACTTGTTTGATACTGACTGAGGGTGTCAGTGTCATGCCCTCCCCCCGTTTTCCCAATGCATGGCCACCCGCCCACCCGGCCGGCGCCCCCATGGCCAGCCCATTGCTCTCCCCAAAAATGGGAAAAGCGCACCCAAGCAACCCAAGCAATCCGCGGCGCCAGGTTTCGACAGTGCGGCAGGACAACCAGCGAATGGACTGGGGGAGACGCTGCGCTAGCCGATCACGCAATCGACCCTGATGTCGACAAAATTCATTGTTTTCTGCGGGGCAAATTTTGTCGGTGGGAACTGCGCGCCGCAGAGACAGCCGGCAGCCAGCAACAGCTCTCTCTTTCCCATTGAATTAAAACCAAAAGCAGCACGGTTTCGGAGCTGGTTCGCTGTTCCTCCCTTGCTCTTTTTTCCCTTACATATCGTCACTTTTTTTTCCCTAAAGACCCTCCCATCTTGTTGGTTGTTGTTGTGGTTGTTGTTGTTGCTGCAGCTGCTGTTCTTTCTTGAAGTTCGCCTGTCTCTTACACACAGCAACACCGGCGAAGAGGAATCCAAGGAACGAAGCAGAGGGAAACGCATAGGGGCCAGAACGCAGCCTTCTTCCCTCGAACTCCTCCGAAATATCTCCCCATACCCATATACCCAGACAAGCCGACGCAATGGCACCGACAAGAGGCCAGATTGAGACGCCTGGAGAGGCCGGTAAGTTTTGGTCCTGTTCCTGACACCCGGCCGGTTTTACTGGCTGCAAGCCCGTCCTCCTTCAGCGCTCTGCCCACTGTAATTCCAGCAAGTCTACAGCGGGACCGGGTTGCGACCAATCACAGCCGTGCTATTTGTCGCAATCCTGCACCCAGCAGCCCGCTAGCAGTGGGCGGCCCAGGAAGAGCAGGACGGGCGGCGATGAAGATGGAAGTCGACGATGGTGAGAGACAGAAGCTGATACGATGCGCAACCAGTCGCGAGAATCGCCTACCTTTCCAGCGATGTCGTCGTCTCCGTCCAGCCTTCACTGGCTAAGGACTCCGAGTTCTCTTCCCACCTGAAGCGCTACGTCGCTCGCGGCGACAAGAGCCTCGTCGCAAAGAACGCCGTGCCAGAGGTGAGCAACACCAGAAGAACCCCCCGCCCTCGTTGCCATTGAGTCTGTGGAAACTGACAGTTGCTTCTCTCGTCGACAGGTCCAGCACGTCAGGCACAACGCCGACCCCCTCCTCTCCGTCTTCACTCCCACCCGCGCCGGCAAGCTCGTCGCCGTCACGACATCCTCCACCGTCCTCCTCCCGGCCATCGCACACCTCTACAAGCTGGCCAACTACCCCGTCGTCCTCCACGTCGCCCTCCAGCCCGCCGGCTTCCCCGACTTCTCCAGCATCACAGCCATCCGCAATTCGGGATGGACGTTCCTGCAGTCAGAGTCTCTGCAGGAGGCCCAGGATATGGCCCTGACGGCCCACGCCCTGGCGCTGCGCTCCGGCAAGGGCGTGATTCACTTCTTCGCCTCTGCCTCCAGCGACGAGGACGCCGCCATTGAGGCCGAAGACCCCGACTTCGTGCGAGAGATTCTCGACGTTGATGCTGCCAGGCGGTTCCAGCAGACCAACGGCACGGAAGCGGCTGTCGGCATCTACGCCGATGACGGCCGACTGCCGGTCGCGTCAGACCGTCCCGACGTGCCGCCGACCGGCTCCTCCACTCTGGGTGGTCTGAGCTCTTCCGAACTCGCTTCGTCCGTGCACTCCAAGCTGGCGGACTCGTCCCGCGCCTCGGTCCAGTCTTCCGCCGAGCACAGCGTCACCGAAAGCCCCCCGTCCGTCGTCTCCTCCAACGCCACCACCATTGAGTCGGCCCTGCCCGTCGTCTCCTCCGAGGACATCCTCAAGTACGCCAACGGCATCTGGGCCCAGATCCACCGCGCCACCGGCCGCGAGTACAAGGCCTTCTTCTACGCCGGCCCTTCCAACGCCGAGAACTGCCTGTTCGTCTTCGGCTCCGGCGCCTACTTCTTTGGCGATGTCATCGACCAGGCCCGCCGCGGCGGCGACTTCTCCAAGGTCGGCATCATCACCCCGAGACTGTACCGCCCGTGGTTGAGCTCTGCCCTCGTCGACACCCTGCCCAAGTCCGTCAAGCGCATTGCCGTTCTCGAGCAGATCCACCGCAAGACCACGAAATGGGGCCCCGTCCTCATTGACGTTCTCACGAGCGTGAAGAGCGGCTTCGGTGGCGTCCAGACCGTCGTCGGCTACCAGCTGGGCTACATCGACCCCAAGACCGTCATCCAGGCCCTGCGCGGCGTCCTCCAGAACCTGAACCTCGAGACCCCCGTCCAGAACCTCGAGGTCGGCCGCAAGGAGGTGCCCCAGGAGGCTCTCGAGTACGGCCTCGAGAAGCCCAAGGTCGAGACCTCATACACCAAGATCCTCGACCAGCTGTTCGGCCAGCGCGCCTACGTCGCCAACGCGCTCAAGTCCAGCAACGCCGGCATCAACGCCTCCATCCAGGCCAGCCCCGAGTTCGGCTTCGGTTCCCTGCTGGCCCGCAAGGAGCGCCGCGGCCGCTTCGTCAACGAGGTTAAGGAGGCTGCCAGCAGCAACCAGTTCGTGACCGAGTCTCCCAAGAGCTGGCTCGCCCGCTGGGCTGCCAACGCCGACGATGCCAAGAAGGCCAGCGAGATCGCCGACGACCTGATCCCCCGCCTCGAGACCGACGGCTCCTCCATTGCACGCAACCTGCTTTCCAGCAAGCGCCTCTTCCGCAAGGAGTCTCTGTGGCTTGTGGGCTCTGATGCCTGGGCTTACGATCTCGGCAACTCTGGTGTGCACCACGTCCTGGCCTCGGGCGAGAACGTCAACATGCTCATCATCGACTCGACTCCCTACTCGGAGCGTGCCGCTGCTGATGCCAACCGCCGCAAGAAGGACATTGGTCTGTACGCCATGAACTTTGGCAACGCCTACGTCGCCTCCACCGCCGTCTACGGTTCCTACACTCAGGTCCTGCAGGCCATGCTCGAGGCTGACCAGTACGATGGTCCCTCCGTCATCTTGGCCTACCTCCCGTACAACGGAGAGGCTGACTCGCCCCTGACTGTCCTCCAGGAGACCAAGAAGGCCATTGACGTCGGCTACTGGCCCCTGTACCGCTGGAACCCCGCCAACGAGGCCAAGGGCGAGCCCCTCTTCTCTCTCGACTCTGAGCGCATCAAGAGCGAGCTCAAGGCCTTCCTCGACCGCGACAACCAGCTGACCCAGATCATGAAGAAGGACCCCGTCTTCGCCGCCAACCTGTCCCAGGACTTCGGCACCGAGGTCAGGGCCCAGCAGAAGCGCAAGGCCAAGGACGCCTACAACCAGCTGCTCGAGGGTCTCTTCGGCGCTCCTCTGACCGTCCTGTATGCCTCTGACAACGGCAACGCCGGCACCGTCGCCAAGCGCCTCGGCAACCGCGGCAAGGCCCGTGGCCTGAAGACCACCGTCATGGTTATGGAGGACTACCCCATCGAGGACCTCCCCTCTGAGGAGAACATCATCTTCGTCTCCTCCACCGCTGGCCAGGGTGAGTTCCCCCAGAACGGTCGCCCCCTCTGGGATGCCCTGAAGGACAACACCGAGCTGGACCTCTCCAACGTCAACTACTCTGTCTTCGGTCTCGGTGACCGTCACTACTGGCCCCGCAAGGAGGACAAGATCTACTACAACAAGCCCGCCAAGGACTTGGACCGCGTCCTCTCCAACCTGGGCGGCAAGCGCCTCGCCGACACCGGTCTCGGTGACGACCAGGACCCCGACGGCTACCAGACCGGCTACAACGAGTGGGAGCCCAAGATCTGGGCCGCGCTCGGCGTCGACAACGTCGACGGCCTCCCCGAGGAGCCCGCGCCCCTGACCAACGAGGACATGAAGATCCAGTCCAACTACCTCCGCGGCACCATCGTCGAGGGTCTCAACGACACCTCCACCGGCGCCATCTCCGCCTCCGACCAGCAGCTGACCAAGTTCCACGGCACCTACATGCAGGACGACCGTGACGTGCGTGACGAGCGTAAGGCCATGGGTCTCGAGCCCGCGTACTCCTTCATGATCCGTTGCCGTCTGCCCGGTGGTATCTCCACGCCGCTGCAGTGGATCCAGATGGACGACATCGCCAACGAGCTCGGCAACGAGACCATGAAGCTCACCACCCGCCAGACCTTCCAGTTCCACGGCGTCGTGAAGGGCAAGCTCCGCCCCGCCATGCAGGCCATCAACCGCGCGCTCATGACCACCATCGCCGCCTGCGGCGACGTCAACCGCAACGTCATGTGCTCCTCCCTGCCGAACCAGTCCGCCTACCACCGCGAGGTCTGGGCCTACTCCAAGATCATCTCGGACCACCTCCTGCCCTCCACCTCGGCCTACCACGAGATCTGGCTCGCCGACGAGAACGACAAGAAGACACAGGTCGCCGGCGACGCCGTCCAGGACTTCGAGCCCCTCTACGGCCCCACGTACCTGCCCCGCAAGTTCAAGATCACCATCGCCATCCCGCCCCACAACGACACCGACGTCTACGCCCACGACATCGGCCTCATCGCCATCAAGGGCGCCGACGGCAAGCTCGCGGGCTTCAACCTCATCGCCGGCGGCGGCATGGGCGCCACGCACAACAACAAGAAGACGTACCCCCAGATCGGCCGCATGTTCGGCTTCGTCTCGACGGACCAGGTCCACATCGCCTGCGAGAAGATCATGCTCGTCCAGCGCGACTTCGGCGACCGCAAGAACCGCAAGCACGCGCGTCTCAAGTACACCATCGACGACATGGGCCTCGACGTCTTCCGCGGCAAGGTCGAGGAGCTCTGGGGCCACAAGTTCGAGCCCGAGCGCCCCTTCCACTTCCAGAGCAACGTCGACACGTTCGGCTGGCAGAAGGACGAGTTCGGCCTCAACCACTTCACGTTCTTCATCGAGAACGGCCGCATCGAGGACACGCCCGAGTTCCAGATGAAGACGGGCCTGCGCGAGATTGCCAAGGTGCACAAGGGCGAGTTCCGCCTGACGGGCAACCAGCACCTGATCCTCAGCAACGTGGCCGACGAAGACATGGACGGGCTCAAGGCGCTGATGAAGCAGTACAAGCTGGACAACGTGCAGTTCTCGGCGCTGCGGCTGTCGTCGTCGGCGTGCGTGGCGTTCCCGACGTGCGGCCTCGCGATGGCCGAGTCGGAGCGCTACCTGCCGGTGCTCATCAGCAAGCTCGAGGACTGCCTCGAGGAGAACGGGCTGCGCCAGGACTCGATCGTGATGCGCATGACGGGCTGCCCCAACGGCTGCGCGCGCCCGTGGCTGGCCGAGGTCGCCTTCGTCGGCAAGGCGTACGGCGCGTACAACATGTACCTCGGCGGCGGATACCACGGCCAGCGCCTGAACAAGCTGTACCGCCAGAGCATCAAGGAGGACGAGATCCTCGCCATCATGAAGCCGCTGCTGAAGAGGTACGCGCTCGAGAGGGAGCAGGGCGAGAGGTTTGGCGACTTCTGCGTGAGGGCTGGTGTTATTCGCGCGACGAAGGAGGGACGGGACTTCCACGAGGGCGTAAGTGATACTTGTTTCTCTGATTAACTTGACGATTTGCTAATAATGATGCGATAGGTCCCTGACGAGGATGAGGAGTAAATGATTTACAGATGAAAGAAGATGATGATTTTGGTGCGAGGCAGATGTGTCACGAAAGGGGGGAAAAGAAATCTTTGTAAAATGTTGTGTTTTTTTTATATCCGTCAAGCTTCAGCATTGGGGGCAGGCGTTTGCTAGTGCTATTTTTTATATATCATATATATCACGTTTGAATCTTGTTCAATCTTTGGGTGTCGTGGCAATGAATGCGAAGTGGATTGCGTGAATTCTGAGTCTCGACTGGACGGTTCGAAAGTGAGGGGGAAGACCCAGAGACGCATTTCTGCCTATATACGGACGCTTAGGCGAGACTTTTTGATGAACCAGGCAATGCGGTAAGTTTGATCTCTGGACACGGCTTAATTACACCAAAGCTGAGGTCGCTTAGCCCCCAAGGTCGATGCTATGTAGATGTGTGATCCTGGTCAAAAGATTGGCGACGACATCGGGTTCTGGCGGTTGATTCGAGGTGAATACCCCCAAAACGATCATGAGGGACAGGTTTGAGCAAGCGATGAGGCATCCTTGTTACTGGAAACTGCCAAATGGCATGCAAGCATCATAGAGGCTGAATTAGGTCCTGGCTTGTCGGCTTCAAGAATGGAAAGGCTCATTGTGGTTTCTCAGCTTGAGTAATGGTCTCAGGCGCTCATTATATACCCTAAGGGATCCCAAAGTTCCCTTGGTTGGTCAAAGGAAGGCATGTTTCCAATAGAGCAAGAGCAAGAGCCTGTGACTTCTTTGTGTTTTGCTTTGCGGCCTGCGACTGGTATTTAATGGATTTGGCATCTCAGACAAGGGAATCTTCTCGGTCACAATGCGCACAATGCTTGGCTCAGGAGCAGGAACTCAGGAAAACCGCGCTGACACCTCTTTGCAGAGATGGATGGTGTCACCAGCGCCGTCGTGTGCAATCCCACAATTCTCAAGGTTGGTATGCAGCTTAGATTCTTCAGCGGTTTATTTGATATGATACTCTCAAAACGATAGTGAGCCCTGGTAAGGATAAGCATGTAATGAGATCTGCTTCAGCTGTGACTTAATACTGTGAATTATTGACCAACCTAGTTCCCACTAGTCAGGTGCAAGAAAAGGATGAGAATGTTGATGATTGGGTTGAAGCTTAACTGTACGTTAGGCACCAGTTATATGCGCACATAATACCAGGGTGAATAGAGACCCGTGAACTGTGATTCATTAGTGCTATTTATCATACAGCTTGCTTTTTCGGTCTCATCTTGTCCAGTCTCACTACCTATCTATGAAAGTCTGGGGTGCCTTGGAAGAACGCCTCTAAAAGTCACAGCTATTGCATTCACCAGACATATGCAGTGATTAGTAGATGTGAACCTTCCTTGATAAGCAGTCCTTCCAGCTTGCGTTTCTTCTTTGAAGAATCCAAGCCGCAATTCATCCATTGTCTGCACGGTCCGATTGCTGGCGCAAATGTTGCGCGCCAGACGTATTTTATGGATGCTCCAGGTCTGCAGGCATCAAGGCACCTGGTCTTCTTTAGCCGGCGGTGGGCTACACAGAACTTGAGCTCTCTGTCTCTCTCTGATGGTTTATTCGTGCAGATTTTGTGAGAGTCATAATTCAGAGGTGGCGGACGAGGCTGTAAGTAGTATTACTCCGAAAATCTTTCCCTTCTATCCTCTTGACTTCCACTGGACTACAGTATGAAGCGTACGGGGTCAATCAGAGAAGACCGACACTCGATTCGCCTAAACCATCAAAATTTCGTGTTTATGAGGAGTTAGAGAAACATGAGGGAAAATTAGGGTCTTTTTATACTATAAACCAGCCGCAGTCCTCATGTTCTAGGATCCCACAAGACTCGCAACACTGTCCATCACAAATCTACATCTTCCTGATATTGAGGACACAATGCTTACGAGTTAAGACCTTGATATTCATACCATCCGCGAAGTTGGTTCATCAATTAGATCACAATTGTATTAGGCACTTTGTCTGTGACTATTAAAGCTGGCGAGTTTCAAACTAAAATTTCGGGGCCACAGATGAGCCACTTCTAGCTCTTTGGTCACTACAAATCTTCATGATTAGGATGGAAAAAATTGCCAGAGATTCCAACTCATTTCATGCGTCATATGTTAAAGACCCGACCTTCAAGGTGCCTGAAAATCGTGCTCCGTTCCTCATATTTGGAGTTTGCTGAGTATTCTCTCTCTACCTTACCTTATATCTCAGTATCCTGTACGTCACCCAACTCAGGGACGAATGCTCTGATCTGGCATGCGGGTTTGACAACCGAACATCTCACGAAGTTTTGAAAGAGAACTATTTGAGCTTGCGGTCTTTGGTTCAGTGTTATTATACCAATCCCCGCAGCCGAATGTACTGAGCTGCTTTACATGCTCGATTCTGTAATTTCCATGAATAGACTCCAGCAGCATCTCCTCCAACTCCTGGACGTTGCTCCGTGTATCACCCGAGCATAATGTCTACGAATCCAGCGGCTTTCTTCCCACCAGAGTATATCTGCGAGCTGCAGTCAGCCAGAAAGTAAAGCAAACGCACCAATGCCCCTGAAGACACACAAAACAATAAGAAAGTTACAGCGTTCTTACATGGTCAGGTAGGAGTGGATTCTTGGGTCCCTCATATTCTTGCGCACGTCAATGAGAAAGACATCCACCTCCTCCTTCGTGTATCCGTGAGCGCGCGTCAGCGGTCCCATAGCCAGAGCTTCTGCAGCGGCCACAAAGTTGTGGTAGTTCCACTCCCCAATCTTCTTGTAGTGAGGGTCTTTGGGCCAGGGGTTCGACGGCCACTTGAAGCGCTGAAGCGCAAAATCCTGAAAGCCGACCTCCTTCATCATGTCCTCCATCAGAGGCACGTCGATGAATTGCCGACCAAACTTGACGCACGCTTCTCGGACAAGGGAGCTGAACTTGGCCAGGGGTTTCTCTGGGGAAAGGGTACCGTCGTCGGAGGCGAAGAGGAAGTCGTTCTCTTGGAGCTCGAAGTAGCCGCCTGGCTTGGTAAAGCTACATGGAGCGGTTAGAGGTTTTTGGACTGTCTCCAGCGTGCTGCGAAGCAGAAGAAATGTGACTGAAGCCCATATGGACTTTCTGCATGAGATGATGTAGAACTCACTCATAGGCCTTCTTGAATAGCTTCTTCCAGTCGGCGATGGACCCATTGAGAAAGCGGAGGTGGATGTAGTCGAACTTCTGTGAGTACAGCCAATCTTCCTCGACGTCGTCGACCTCAAACTTCAGATTGGGAGGAACACTTTGGATTGAAGTCAGTTTTCTCACCGTTTCAGAGGCGCATACACTGCAAAAGACGACGTAAGGCGGACGTACTCTCGTGGCTGGATAGGAGAAAGGTCCACACCAAGCACCTGAAGGTTGCGACGGTTAGGCAAATTACTAGTGGAAATGTAGTTTCCCGACGTGACTCACCTCAGCGTCGGGATGCTCTTCAGCGTATTCGATGGCCCACAAGCCAGTTCCGGTTCCCAGATCAAGAACTCGGCCTACTTTGGCGTCTGGGTCGCATGGAGGCGCGAAACCCAACTTGTTGTGGAATGTGAGAAAGCAGATCTCGTTTTGCATGTCTGAAACTTGACTTAGCGAGGTGGAATCCGAGGTGCATCAGCTCACAGAGAACATACCAAGCCTCTCGTTCTCTTCAGCATCATTGGGCCAGGCATATTCTGGTTATCAAACATTGGTAAGAGATTTTCGAAGCCAGGACTCAGCCGTATCGTATGGACCTACTGCCATCTTTGTATGTGTGATACGACCGCCCATTCTCGATGCGGTTTTCTAAGATCGAGGTTCTCAAACTGGTGACCTCCGAATAGAGGGACTTTTCCGTTCCAGTCAGTTGGGCCAAGGGGATGAATACCCAGAGCTGAACTTACCTGAAGGTCCGCCTTGCTATCATCGTTTCTGATCTGCCGTTGGTTAGTTATGGGACGGGCTACTCAGGCGTTCTCACGCACCTCGTCGTCGGGGACAAGCTCAGCATCTTGATGTGGGTTCGCCATGGCTTACTGCTCTGTCTTGAGGCTCTTTCCAAAGTGGGTGAAAGATTGAAGATGTTTCTGCAGAACGTGTGACTGAAGAAACAACCAAGCTTTTTTGAGGGCGGTAGGGTCGGCAGACAATCGGCTGTTGCCCCTCATCTTGGCCTGCACGACCTGACGTGAAGAACCAACAAGCGAACATGCATCATGCATCGACGGCGAAGTTGCCTTATTGCGACCGAATGTGGGGCACATGTGAGCTCAAGAGGAAGGAGAAGATGATCATTATATGAATCCAGATTATCCCTGGCGATTGGAGGCTCGCGTAGTCGGGATATGGGGTGCCGGTGAAGTGTGCCGATTTCCAACACGTGCAGGAGATCCGCAGTCGAATGGAGTCCAATTCTGATGCGCACCGATGCCATCGGAAGTGAGGCATTCTTCAGATACAACTTCATCAAGTGCGGCTCAATCTTTAGATCCAAGGTTAGGTATATGATTTCAGCGCTTGCAAGTAGGAGTAGCCTTAGAGATCAATACTAGAGAGTTGAAAAATAGCTAAAAAGAAAAAAAAGGAAATAACAATGGGCGGCCACCGGAGATATGTAGAGCCACCTAAAGAACTCGAACCACTGAGCTTTGCCGAAACCAGGCATACAATCCACCGCTAGGCTATCTTGCGACGGTGGTCGCACCCATTGTTGCGGATTCTGGAAGGTGAGTTGGCTATGAGGGAAGGAACTCTCCAGAGACAGCAAGTGCGGTGAACTCGGCTGCGCCTTCCAGCTTCATACCTAGTAGTATTGAAATCATTCTTTGGCAATAATCAATCCAACAAAGCTGGCCTCGATACTCAAATCTCTATCAAAGTAAACTCTCAACATTCAATATAAGAAAGGTGCAGGTGATACATTACGAGCATGCTGGGGTGAACGGACCAGTACATGTTCTTGAAGACCATGCCCCTCAGTGCCCGCGGTCTACTTTGCGTGACGACTGCAATAGGTGGACCGTGGCGCCCATATCAAGACGAAAAGATAATGAGATTGACATGAACAGCGGCTTCCAGATGCAATATACACCGCGCGACAGTAGTACCCATCGATACACAGTCTCCAGTAACGTGAAGGTTGTCCGGAAACAATATCCCAACAGTTCCAACCAACCCAAATCGTGCTCTGCTATCTCAGCACCCACCAGTGTAATATCAAACCGTGCAAGAGAAGCATCGACGATAACATACTGTACTGAGAGTTGCGTTTCAAGAGGATTACGAACCAATTGTGAAAAGATGAAGTCTAAACATGACTGATCAGGGCGGAGCTTGAGAAAGTTGCCCGGACACAGACCCGGCAAATCGGTGTCCGATGATCTCCGAGTTACACCATCACAATCGGGGGCCGGTTGCGAGCGGCTTACATATCAAGAGCCACGCTCTTTGTCCGAATCTCTGCGACCGTCAAATTCATTACGACCAAGGAATCCGGCAGAAAGAGATTTATAATCTTCGCTCCCAGATAAACCGTACTCTCGGACCAGAAATAATATAGAGACGGCGACCTCTCGACTACGAAAGCAACTTTTCCATCCCATCCATCAGTGCGAATTGATCACATCAACCCAGCTTCCAGCCGTCTTTTAAGATCAACATCAGAACGCCCATGAACCATGGCGAAGGATTTGCACGACAACGTGTCTCGCGTCAAGAGATTCAATGCCATTGGTACAACTCTTTTTGTTGGCCTGCGCGCAGCAGACGTTTTGCTTCAGCATGCTCTTCTTCAGCGCGGCTGGGCCAAGAATTTGATTGAACTAATTGGCGGAACTTCGTTGAAGTCGAACATCGTCCTCAACCCAGCGACTTCGCAAATACATCCTTACTACGGCATCGTCACGTTCATGGCTTTTGGTAGCAGCTTCAAGCAGATCTACACCTCTCTCGCCATGTCGGAACAAGACATGCCACCATCATCGGCAGTAATCATCGCGCTTTTCAACACGATCTTCAACTCGCTCAACACCTGCCTGTCTGTCTGGACCGCGACATCTGCGCTGTCCAGCGCCACAACTCTATCGGAGGTACTGGGGTCTCCGGCAGTCGCGACCGGTCTCGCATTTTACCTGATTGGCATTTTGACAGAGGCGGCCTCGGAAACGCAACGCATGATTTTCAAGAAGAACCCCGCCAACAAAGGGAAGCCATACGCCGGTGGCTTGTTTTCTCTTGCAAGGCATATTAACTACGGTGGCTACACCATCTGGCGTACGGCCTATGCCTTCACCTGTGGCGGCTGGGCCGTTGCCATTCCGGTGTTTACCTTCTTCTTCTACGATTTTGCCACTCGAGGTGTCCCAGTGCTCGATAAGTACCTTTCGGAGAGAGTAAGTCCCTACCTTAGTCTTCATAAGACTTCAACACATTACTCACCTTCTTTACTTAGTATGGTGATTCGTGGAAGACTATCAAAGCCAACGTCCCTTATTGTTTGATCCCCGGCGTTTATTAGGCCTTTGACTCGCTCAATATCAGGCGCGATGGAGATAGAAATGCGGCTATCGGGGCGACTTCATGCAGGAAAGATTAGGGGAGGGGGGACTTCTTGATGAATTGAAGTACTCAACTCTTACTCAATGTGTGTTGCGCTTCAATCTTGACACTCATGGTGACTGAGACTCTTCACCCCAAAGCAACTAGCCCGGTCAGTGCATACAGGGGAATACCACCGATCTAACGCAAAATTTAAATGGAACTCGCTGGCCAATCTTTTGTTTCCGTAAGAATCCAAATAAACTGGGCGGGAAACCAAACGGAAAGGGTTGCAAGAAGCCCCAGGGTTGAATCATCGAAAGACTTGAAAAGAGTAGGAGTTTCTACAAGCTCTTGCGTGGAGGGTACTTCCAACAACGCACCTGGTCTGTTTCGGTTGGATAAACACTGCAGCTAGTCCTATTCCTCACCAACGCTAACTGTCTCTGTGCTGAGTGCAAGCTGCAACATGAGGGCACAGCAGGTTCTCCGGAAAGCAAATAGAACTTCCGTCAATCAGCTAGCCAATTACGCGTCATTTCTGGCACAAAGTTTGATTGAATCCTGGATGCAAGTGTTCCGACGGGACGCTCTTCCGGCGGCTGCCCTGCTTCAGGGCCGAGTTCCGTTCTTTACGCCTCTGTGAAGCATTGAGCTGTGGCCTTGAAATAAACAGGAACCCATAAAATCCAAGCAAGAGACTGAAATGTAAATGATTGAACATCTCCCTCAATATCAAATCATTAAAATTTGACGAGATGTTGACATTTGGGTTGACTCTTACCTTGCTCTTTTGCACTAGCGTTGCTGGTCAGGTTGATCCATCACCGTCGATTGTCATCGATGCTGGTACAATCATCGGTACAACAACGTCATTGCCATCTACGACGGCTGTTGTGCATAAGTTTCTCGGTATACCTTTCGCGCAGGCGCCTGTCGAAGAGAATCGATTTCTCCCTCCAAAAGCACTGCTGAAGCATGATGAAAGCCCGCTGCATGCTACAGCGTGGGGGAGCAAGTGCATTGCTGTCACTGGAAGTAAGTGGCATAATACAATTCGTGAATCGTGAGCTGACAAGATCAGGTAGTGATGGGCCTCCTGAAAGCGAAGACTGTTTGTTCTTGAACGTGTACACACCAGCTGGAGCGGGATGTCACAGCTCGGGTCGGCCGGTTCTTGTGTGGATCCATGGCGGATGGTTGCGGGAGGGCACAGCCAGCCAGCCCATGTTTGACGGATCCAGATTCGCCGCCGAACAGGGCATAGTTGTTGTGACTTTCAACTATCGTCTCAATGGTGCGTTGAATGATTCCGTTCTCGAGGTAGCTTGCTAACCATGAGATACAGTATTTGGCTTCCCAAATTCTCCTCAACTAACCCTGGAAGAAGAAAATCTCGGCTTTTTGGATCAGCGAATGGCCCTCCAATGGGTCCAAGAGAACATAAATGCGTTCGGCGGAGATCCATCGAAAGTCACGATAGCCGGAGAGTCCTCGGGCGGATCTTCAGTTGACCGTCTCGTCACTACCATTCACTCCAATCCTCCATTCCGCGCGGCGGCATGTTCGAGCGGCCAGGCTACAGTAAGCGCAATTGGTCGGGAGTCTGGCCCACTTTCATGGGCTGCCCTTGTGTCTCTTCTTGGATGCACCGGCGAAGACCAGATTGAGTGCGTGCGTGCAGTCGACGGCAAGACCATCCGAGACTTGATCGTTGCGAACGGTTTGGACTTCAGCCCGGTGAACGACAATATCACCCAAAAGGAGCTTCCATACCTTCCAATTCGAGCCTCTGGAGGCGTTGCCCCGGTTCCGCTGTTGATCGGCTCGACAGGTCAGGAGGGAACTTACTTGGCTCCTGCTTATGGCCTGAATCTTTCGGGTGTCACTGAAGAGATGCTTACGCAAGTCATTGGCGTATTCACTGGCAACGACTCAGATCTCATATCCGCTATTATGCAGATTGTTGCCGTCAAACAACAAATGACGGGCATTTCGCTGTTTGGTGCTGCTGCTCAAGTCTATACTGAAGTGGTCTATCAATGCGTGAGTCTTGATCCTTTTGCTCATTAGTTCTCTCATCTGTTACTAACCAAGACCCCTTTGAAGCCCGCCCTTCTTGTCTCTCGTGTTTCATCTCAGAGCAATATTCCGACCTGGAGGTATTTTTACAATGCCTCGTTTCCGAATCTTGCTGCCGCGGGCTACACTTCTGATGAGCTGGGCGCATCCCATGGAATAGACACGGCTATGATCTGGGGTACTTACCCTCAAGAGGGTGCCACAGATTACCAAAGAGAACTCAGTCGGTATTTGCAAAAGCTGTGGGCAGGATTTATCAAGGACCCTTCAGGCAAAGGCCCCGGCTGGGAAAGGGTGGACGCAGATGGTAACAACATTGCATGCATTGGGTGCACGGGAGAAGTTGGCGAGCTGAATCTCATCGCATCTGCCACTGTCGATGGATGGTGTCCAACGTACGAGCCGTTCTTCGGTAGAGTCAAGACACCATTCGTCAAGGCTTAGGCGACAGGGTTCATTTCGTTGATGGGTCCGGAACCACGATTCGTCGAACCATCGTCGCGCATGGCTTTGTTGGAACCGTGACCTTCAACCAACATAACCCCTGGTAGAGATGCCCGGCAGGTAGCATCCGGCCACCAACACCAACACACGCATGGTAATGGAGCCTCGTAAGAGAAATTAAGGCCAATTCTATCACTTTTCATTGATACGCGCGCTGCTTCCTATTTTGGCAAATGCAGTATCCACGGACAACACTGCAAATGGCTTGTTCACCGCGAACGTGCATGACTCTCCCCGGCCAAGAAGAGGGGTAGAGAGATAAGTCCACCTTTCGTGGGAAGCAAAACAATCGTCTTGTGCAGAACTCCGTTGTGGTCTCTTTCCCCTTCATCTTCATCACAACTATTGACGTCGATTGACCATGTGCAGCGACAATAGGTCTTCGCCTGCGGCCGACGCCGCCCCGGCTCCTTTCCAAGCCAACAACCCTATCCAAATTGTCCCTGATGAGGTAATTCAGACATCTCAAACTGGTATCACATGTTGTACATCTTACTGATAAAAGTATACCTCAGTCCACACCCGACGACGTGTCAGCAATTGGAGAGGTAGGCGACTCGTCTGGTTCTGAAGCATTATGTGCTCACATTCGCCTCCCAGAGCATCTCATCTTCCAGCGCTAGCGTATCTAGCTCGATCCTTGAGTACCGTTACGAAAACGGTCGGACTTACCACAAGTACAAGGATGGCAGTAAGTATGGCTGAAAAGCCGTCGGAACGGTTGGTTAATGAGATCAGAATACATGTTACCCAACGACGAGCTTGAAAACGATCGACTTGGTAAGAATAGGCCCATGATGCGCGTCTATCTTCGCAGAGACTGTGGTAGGCTGATTAATATACAGACTTGCAACACAACCTGTTCCTGTTGACATTCGATAACACGCTTGGGCTTGCTCCCCCCTGCCAAAAGGATTCCTCGGTGAAGCGTGTCCTCGACGTTGGTACCGGCACTGGTATTTGGGCTATTGACTTCGGGGAAGATCACCCGGATGCTGAGGTACTTACATGTTTGTCCTTAGCTTCAATTTTTGCAGTGACTCATTGGTATGCTAGGTCCTCGGCATGGATCTTTCGCACTCAATGCCCGAATAGTGAGTCGATAGTCAATCGAACCTGAATCGGCCACTGTGCTGGCCGTGCCGCTGACTTTTTCCAGCGTTCCCCCGAACGTCAAGTTCGAGATTGACGACTTGGAAGAGGAGTGGATTTATTCGCGACCGTTCGATTACATCCATAGTCGGATGATGAATTCCTCAATTAGTGACTGGAAGGTGTATCTTCAGAAGGCATTCAAGTAAGTTCCTTGGACAAGACGACCGTTAAAAAGCTCTGAGTAAGGATTCGACTAAAACCCAACTTAGCCATCTCTCCCCTGGCGGCTATTTCGAGCTACAAGAGCCTGATCTTATCCCGCATTCCGATGATGGCACTCTCAAGCCGGAACATGCGCTGTCGAAGTGTATTGACCTGATGCTTGAGGCTGCTGTCATTTTTGAGCGCCCTTGGAAAGAGATTTCTACGCTTGCTAGAACCATGGAAGAGGTTGGGTTCGTTGACGTGAAGATGCATGTTTTCAAGTGGCCTTCAAATGGGTGGCCTAAGGATCCTAAGTATAAGGAGTTAGGACTCTGGAACAACGAGAACCTCTGCTCCGGCTTCGAAGGACTGTGCATGGCACCTTTTACTCGAGCCCACGGCTGGACGAGAGAGGAAGTTCTTGTGTTAATGGCAGAAGTGCGGAAGGACTTCAGAGACAGATCTATTCACGCCTACTGGCCTATGTAAGTGTCACGACACTACCCACGTTCGACTCGCTAACGGAGTATTAGCTACTCTTTGTATGGAAGAAAGCCAACGGAGGGGGAGACCGAGAAGTAGCCATACGATCACTTGGTGTTACACGTGGAACTTCCCCGGTAAACAGCGATGTTTGTCGGGCAGTGTTTTGTAACAAATACACAATGGAGTTTAGCATAGCCTCATCTCTGAACCTGAATGGAAAGTTTTCTCACATGTCAGGGTTTAGGTGATTTTTCTTCAACATAAGGTAGTTTTGAGGCTGGTACTTATTTGGCCGTCGGTCAGCCCCGTACTCGTTGGAATAGCTTTCTAAAGCTGACTTATGACCGGCTGATGTACCCGACCGAAATTTTAACCAACCTCCAACAGATATGGAATCCATGACTGGGTCGCATGTGGGATGATCTCGGTTTCATCCTTGTAACATGGTACGCGCGTAGCTTCCTGTTCTGAACAATGCAGTCTCCACTGACATCGCTTGAAATGGCTTGCTTGTCACCAACGTGCATGACTATCACCCATGGCCAAGAAGAGGGGTAAGAAGTCTGATCACATTTCAAGGGACAACAAAACGTGGCTGTTTTCGAACCTCCTTGCTAAGCGCAATATCAATGTCTCCATTGCATTCGAGGTCGCTTTCTTGGAAAATGTGTGGTGATAACAACGAAGCAACTCCTGCTGCGCAGACGCCTCCTGTTCAGGCCAACAACCCCATCGATCTCGTTCCCGATGAGGTGTGTTGCTGGAAGCATTTCAAGTGTATCAAATGGTTCTGACGGCAAACGTTAGGTAGTCGATGACGGTGCCTCCGAGCACGCAGGAGTAAGCGTTTGCAATGCCTGATTTCGAGCATTTGGTTAACGAGGGGTAGAGTATCGCATCTTCGAGCGCCAGTGTAGCCAGCTCGGTCTTCGAATTTCGAGTGGAGAATGGTCGAACTTACCACAAGTACAAAGATGGAAGTAAGTTTCTTCCAGACCATAGAAAGCCTGTCATTATCAGCCATATCTTACCGATGCAGAGTACAACATTCCCAACGATGAGTCAGAGCAAGACAGACTAGGTAAACCAACGAGAAACTCTTCTCCTTCAAACAAGACGCTCAAACTCAACTGGACAGATCTCCAACACAACCTATTTCTGTTGACGCTTGATAACAAACTTGGGCTTGCACCCCCGAACGAGCCAGACTCAAGTGTCCAACGTGTGCTCGATATTGGGACAGGAACGGGGATCTGGGCTGTTGAATTCGGAGAGGACCATCCTGATGCCGAGGTAACGAATTCCCGCACGTTTTTCAATCAAAACTGATGATAAGATCAGGTACTTGGCATGGATCTTTCCCCATCGATGCCTGAATTGTATGTGCCGCAGAAGCCAACCGGAGGAATATGAATTCTAATATTCTGCAGCGTCCCACCCAACGTCAAGTTCGAGATCGACGATTTGGACGAAGAATGGACCTATTCTCGTCCGTTCGACTATATCCACAGTCGAACGATGAACTCTTCTATCAACGACTGGTCACTGTACCTCAAAAAAGTTTTCAAGTGAGTCTTGACTACCCCAAGTTTCTGATTATCGATGCTGCTATGAGTTATATCAACATACTGATAGCTTCAGTCACCTTACGCCAGGCGCATACTTCGAGCTTCAGGAGGCCGACCTCTTTCCCACGTCAGACGATGGGACCTTGAAGGATGACTCCCCGTTGATGAAGTGCACAGATCTGATGTACGAAGCTTCTGTGAAGTTTGGACGCCCATTTCAGCAGATCCCGCCTCTGATTAGAATGATGGAAGATACTGGTTTTGTTGATGTCAAGTTGAATAGGTTCAAGTGGCCGACAAATTCCTGGCCTAAGGACCCTAGATATAAAGAGCTAGGGATATGGGCCAACGAAAATTTGACTAGTGGTCTCGAGGGGTTCTGTATGGCCCCTTTCACAAGAGCCCACGATTGGACGAGAGAAGAGGTCCTAGTATTCTTGGCCGACGTCCGTAAGAACATGAACGATAGGTCTATCCACGCATACTGGCCCCTGTAAGTTGATGCATTTGTTTAATATAAGTAGTAAATGCTAACCGCGTTCTAGCTGGTCGGTCTATGGCAGAAAGCCAACAGAAGAAGAGGCCGGGGCGACGGAGAGCTAGTGTGAGGTTCTGTGTCGTTCTTTTCCATCCGTAAATCTTAAGTCACCAAGGTCGCGTGATTTAGCAAATCGGAAATTTGATTCTAGCTCCCTGCTTTGGTGGAAAATTCTTGGCAACGAATTTCATCCTCACTGCCAGAGTTCAATATCAAACTTTTTTGATTATTCTGCCTTTCAGAAAAAAAGTCATCAAGCTTTTGTGGAGCTCTTCTTCGACTCTGCCGTAAACACCTCGGTAAGTGAGGCCAAATCTAGAACAGGGGTCCATCGCTGTGCCACAATCAGCAGATTAGTTGTTTTAAGAAGCGAAGATTTCTGTACTCGCCAGGGGCTATCTATTTTCTTTCAAATAATCAACCTTCGGGAACAAACTATCACCTGCTTGCGGATGGAAGATGACTTTATCAACTGGCAAACTGGGAGAAACACACCTCAACAGCGCACACCTCCGGATAATGTCCACTTTCCACCTCTTTCCCTTGCTTCCCCTTGAAATGCGCCAACGCATATGGGAGTTGAGCATGGAACCAAGAGATCTTCCATACGGTCCCAAGCCTCGCCCTTATTTCAAAATTTCATGGCCAGCACCGGCGCCAATACCGCCTGCCTTACAGGCGTGCAACGAATCCCGGACATATCTTCAACGTCACTATGCAAAGGCATTCCAAACGCAGAAAGATCCAAAGAGATATGTTTGGGTCAATTTTGAGATCGACAGTATCTACATAGATCAGTATCATCTCGAAGATCTTGCTGCAACAGAAGAGGGCTCTTCCATTCGTCAGCTCGTTATCTCCGGCCAGTGCGTAGAGCATTTCTGGTACAACCATGAGCGCTGGCTACGCGAGATGAAGGGTTTACAGAATGTCACTATTCTTTACCATGAGACAGCGCCAGAAGAAAAGGAGGACTGGTGCAGCGACTGGGATGAGCAGATGCGGTATTGGTATTCCGGCGATTTCATGGAAGAAGTCGTTCAGTTCGACGCCAAGGTAGTGCATCCGCTGTGCCCGCCTTTCGAACTCAACCGACACAACTACGAGGAGGCCAGAGAGATGGTTTTGAAAATACGGCAGGCTGAGTTAATTAGAAGCTATAAAGGGAATCCCGGAAACTAGTTATTCTCCCAATCTCAATAGAGCTACTGCAGCCTGAGCCCGAGATCCTTCTTCCCTTCTAACTTTGAGCGAACCTCGAGCGCACCGCAGGTATATATGGACTTAGGGCTGCTCTACGTTCAATCATTGGACAGAGCCGATGCACCTTGATAAAAAGAAAATAATCAGATAGACGACTCTTATTGAATACTAGATCTCGAGCGGAAAACCCAGATTGACACCAAGCTTCTCCGTCATTGTTCCTTCCACTATCTTCATACTCCACTGATAGGTATCAAGAGAAAACCCGGAAGCTCCTTACTGCCAGGCAAAAACAACTCAAGGGGAATTTGCGATATTGCATGTCTTTGCTCGATTCATAATGACCATTGTTCCGGATATTTTCGCCATTGGTGATGGCGAGACCCGTCGGCGTGTTCTAAGCATCACAGGCTACGATACCAATAGAGGTGATTAAGCCCAATACTGGCGTGTTTGAGCCGAATGCTGAAGATTATTACGAGGAGTTATCAGAGTGACAGCAAACTTCAATATTTGTGAAGCTCGCACCTGGAAGCTTCAATAAACACTTTCACGGAGTAGGACAAGAATCCGAACTGTTCGTATTGTTATCCAGCCTTGAAGACAATCTCGTATGCAATCATTTCCTGTCCGTTCCCGCGCAGTATTCTCGCATTTAAAGGGCACATTCACGATGACCTCGCACAATCTGCTCGGTCTTCGCTGTTTCCACCTTATCCGTGCGTTTCCGGTCGAGGCAAGGCGACTTCTCACTTGCAGTAGGTTGTCTCGCCTGTAATACGACAACTCCAACCCACGCTTACCATACGAAGCCGATGACCTCGGAGTCTCGCATCCATTCGCATTCAGCCCTACAACTAACCAGACTGGTGTAAATGGGCAGAAGTTCTGTTCAAGCTTTGACAAGCTGCAATCGCATTCGGCGCCACTATCCGACATTAACGGATCTTGACCTAGGCTCGGTCTTGGTAGACGCGCTTGTTCCAGGTCTGTGTTTCGCACTGACTCGACTCGTCCCATCTAAGGTCTGCAAAAGCTCACCTATCGTATCTGTTTATCACGAGCTACGGAAGTACCCGATGAACCTTATTCGTGTACGGCAAAGCTTTTTGAAGTCGCGGAGGCGACCGCTGCAGCGATGGCGTCTCGGGACAGGCTGCAGGCATCGGGGACGCGGCCGGGCTGACGACTCGCCTCAAACCAGCTGCCTGACAACTTCTTGACATCTGTAACGTCTACTAGTGGTCCCAATTCCATCTCTTGTCGGCAAAGTCAGATTTTGATTGGCAGACGAACGTAGTTGAATCGATGTATCACCGGTGCCGTTAGCCGCCCGAACTACGTCTCAGTAGCTCCCCGATCGTACAAGGTCCCCGACGAAGTGACTCAAGTGACGATGCTGTTGAAATATATTTACTGAATAACCAAGATGATATCCATTCAATCCATACACACTGTGACTTCTAAAATCGACCTTTGATCCAGCCACTTTCTTTCTTTGCGAGTGTAGCCATGGCTCTGAAGGACACATCCGCAGGAGCGGCAATCTACGTCCCCGTTATTCTTCGTTACGTCTATGATCCTCTCGTACTAGGCTTCTATTGCCCATGTGCATGGCAAATATCATCGAAAAGACTAAGGGGCTTTTTCAACGGCCACATCACCAGCGCCGGTGCTCGCTCAAGATCTCGATTTCTCCAGCAACAAAGCAATCTCTCGAAGTCGGGCTCCTCACCATGCCGAATACTCGACATTGGAGTGGGAACCGGATACTTTATCAAACACGCGCCAATTCCAGAGGGCACTCAAGTAACCCTGGTGGACCTGAACCCCTCGGCTCTGCACGCCGCCTCATTACGCACGCTCGAGATGCACCCACATGTCACCTGCAAAACATCGATAGGGGACTTCTTAGATCCTTTAGCCCGGGGACTCTCGTGTGAAGACTTCAATGGTGCCAAATTCGACGCGATCTCAGTCATGATGCTGATTCACTGCGTGCCGGGTCCACCGGCCAGGAAGGCGGAGGCATTGATACGATTGAAGAGTCTTTTGACTCCCGACGGCAAGCTCTTCGGCGTCACAATTCTGGGGAAGGGTGTCAAGCACAACTCGATGGGGAAGGCCCTTATGTTCTGGCACAATCTATTTGGGGTTTTTGGGAACACAGAGGATGACATGGAGAGCTTTGTCGGGCCGCTCAGGGAGGCTTTCGAAGACGTCAGGTGGGAGGTACACGGAACTATGTTACTGTTTGAAGCGAGTAGACCGAGATGTTGATAAGATAATACACGTGGTTGTCAGTTGAAGATGAAGAGCGAGTCGTGTGCAGCCCTCCCCGACATCGAAGTACACAAGCCGACTAGTACGACTCATTTTACTTTGGCACTTCGCATTCGGTTCGCAAATCTAGATTCCTCTAGTGACGTGACGTGGATTAGAGTTGCGATGTGCCTGACACCGCTAGAATTTCGCGGAGATTGCTAAGTTGCCTCGTGGCGCGGAAGTTTCATGTTGGCTTTGATCAGACGAACTATACTATGGCGAACCTAGCTCAAGAATAGACGCGATTGGTTGTCAATAAAAATAAGAAGCAACTTTCCTCGGGTTCAAGCAATCATCCGAGCTTTACGATACTGTCATTGCCTGTAGAAAGCACAGCTGCACGACGTTCGAGAATGATCGCGTCCACCAAGATTAACCGCGTTCAATGACAAAAGCTTCTCGGACTTTCACTGTACCTCAGACACGAAGCGCTCAAGCTCGAAAGCCAAGCGAATGTCAACAGCGTATTATTAATCCACAAGTTGAACGGAGTAGCAAGAAAAGCAGAACATTCACGAGCGCGACTACTGTAGTAAAGAGGCGAGTTCCCAGCAGATTGAAGGAAAAGTTTTCTGATTTATACTATGTACTCGAAAGATATTGCGTAAGATTTTCCTAATCAGTACCCCCTTTTTACTAGGGTGTTAGGACTATGGAAACTTCCTCAAAATATGTATCCAATGGAATGAAAGCCAACGTGGGCGGAAAGTAAAGTTCAGCGCTCACTCCCATATGCAACTTCTCATTCTACAAGTCAAAGTTCCAGCCACCAGTGTAGTTAGAAAAGAACCCTTCAGGATCGTACTTGGCCTTGATCTCCTGCAACTTGCTATAGGTGGTGAAGGTCTTCAGGGGATCTTGGTCGTAATGCGCATCATTGATGAACAGCGGCAGGTCGTCGGCAAAGGGCACACTCTCAACCATCTTCTTGAAGCTAGCCTCGAGCTCGGCGGTCTGGCCGCTGGTGAGGAACGGGCTGGACTGCAGAAGGAAGCAAAGCCACAGCCAAGGTCCGTCGGGCATCTGCATCGCATTGCCGCCGTTCTGGCTCTTCGATGCGTCGGTAAGACTCTTAGGGATGGGTTGGTAGTCAATCGACAAGAGCGTGTACTTGCCCTTGTTGTCAGCGCCCCATTTTGTCCAGGCCTCGTGGGCGGAGCGATAGGCGTTGTCGACCACGGCGTTTCCGGTCTCGCTCCCAGGGAATGGGATCCGGTACACGCCGTTGCGGAACTGGTTCTTGCCCTTGGACAGCTCGGCGCCGTGGGGCAGGGGCATGTTGATCACCTCCTTGTACGTCTTGGTACCCAGGGTGTTGAGCAGGTGGGGAATTGAGGTGAAGTTGGCAAAGGCTTTCTCTGCGCCGGCCTGGTCACCGTCGTAGACCATGAACAAAATGGCAAAGTCGTCGAGGTTCAAGTCTCCGAGAGCGGGAGTGCCCAGCTTCTCGTACGTTCCGATGATCGCGGCCTTGGGATCCTCGTTGTACAAGGTGAAGTTGGCGATGGCGTTCATGACGTTCTGAGTCTGGTTGAACAGGTAAATGACGTTGCCGGCATAGAGATTTCCGATTGGGCGTGTCTGGATCTTGTACTTGGTCACGACGCCATAGGCATTGCCGCCGCCTCCGCGCATCGCAAAGAAGAGGTCCTCGTTTTCGCTGGGCGAGGCAGTCACGATGTCGCCGCTCGGCAGCACAACCTCCAGTTCCCGAAAAGAATCAACGGCCAGGCCGTACTGGCTCGAGAGGTAGCTCAAGCCACCCCCGAGAGCCAGTCCTGAACCAACACCACTCAGACGGGCTCCAACAACCGTCCTGTTGTACTTCGCGAAGTAGTCGTAGATGTCGCCAAACTTGCCACCGGGCTGGTATGTTCCAAGCGTCGTCGTTTCGTCGTAAGTTCGTTCATTCATCTCGGTGAGGTCGATCAAGACGCCTTTGTCCACGCTGGAGAAGAAGGTGTTGGGGTTGTGACCCTCCGTCTTGATAGCGAAGCGCGACCCGGCAGCGCGTACCGACTTGAGGATGGCTGCCACATCCTGGGCGGTGGTTGGAAACACCACGCAAGAAGGGTTGTAGCCGCTCTGAGCCGTGTTGAAGTACTCATTCTTGCTCTGGATGTAGTCGATCTTGATGCTCGTAGCAACCTTGGTAGTTCCCAGCTGGGTCGTCAGATCGGTGCAGGCCGTGGAGCCAGCATCTCGCGCAGCCAGTAATGCGCTGGCTGTGTTAGCGAGACCAAGGGTGAGGGCGGCTAAGACTGCGCGCATCTTTGCTGTAAGAACAAAATGAAGGGAAGCGAGAATGCGACTGTTCCTGACACCGCGAAAAAGAGTGACTGCAAATTGACGCTCAAGAACGAAAAGGGTCAAGAACCTCTCAAGAGGATTCACAAGGCTGGCTGTTTCTAAGCGTTCCACTGTGGCCGGCGCCCTCCTTAACCGTTTTTGTACTCCGAGCCACCATCGGCGGTCCATCTTCGTCGGCGACCCCCACAATCACGGGCGTCGCTCGGCCAGTTCATCATTTCCCGCGATATGAGGATCGTCGCAAGGATGGTGACCCCGTTTTCGCATCCTCAAATACGAAAACGAGCAGAAAGAAAGGAACATGCAGCCTCGGGACGAATAAAGAATTATAATCACTGCTATTCCACCAAGTCAGATATTCACCACCTTACTCGGATTCGTTACTCAAGCGGCAATGGCCAATCGCATCATTGGAATCGCGCAGAGGAGTGTCACCGACATGAACATTACCCCGCAAGATGTCTTTCAAAGCCCAGAACATGAAGAGACATACCGGTTAGTTGCCGGCTGATGTTGCATTCCTCGGTTGTCGAACCACTTGCGTGAATTGAACTGAGGAACAGTCTCCTGATATCAGAAGAGCGTCTTACAGACACCCTCTAGATGGCACATGCACTTTTGCCTCGGTCAGTCATCATGATGTCCCTGCTGCCCCTTGTGATATTCGTTGTTTATTCGTGATAGCTTCCTTTGCACCGAGTTGCAAATTAATTCCCAAAAAGTATCCGTCTATCCGTTGATTGCCCTTCCTCTATCAGTTTTCAATCTAAGCCCAAAAGCAATATCAAACCAAGCCTGTGTCCTTTTCTAACCTCTATAGTGCCCTTTCTTGAGTGTTTCCAATTTTCCAGCTGCAGTTGTGTCAACGTCGTGACCGCTTCGTGTAATTATCTTGCCATGTCCTTGTTTTCCTGTCGTGATTTCGTCCACTGTTCGTCGCGAGTCTTAGATCAAGTGCCCCATTGCGTGCCTAATCCGATCAGACCACGCTTGTTTTCGTAATCGTGACCACTGTCTCCCCCTTCTTGGCGGCGGTTGTTACTTTCTTCTCCGTGTATCTCTTCTCGATTGCCTCCAGACTGTGGCCCCGTGTTTCCACCATGTAGAACGCTACAACGACTGTGCAGAACAACGAACAGCCCGCAAAGAGGAAGTATGCGCCGAAAGAGGAAACCGAGAGCAGTACCGGAGTGATCAGCGCTACAACATAATTGGCGAACTGTTGGCCGGTGTCAGCAGCTTTTCACATGAAATAACTCATGGCAGTCTGCTAGAGAGATCGGCCGAGACTCACCCAATTGGCGCTCTGAGCCAAGCTCGATGCGCTGCTTCTGGTCTTCCTAGGCAGGCTCTCGACCAAGAAGGTGCGGAAGGAGAGCGCCCAGGTAAAGCTGTAGACGATGGCGAATAGGTAGATGGATACGATGACAACCCACTTGCCAGCTCCTCGGTCTGCATGAACTTCGTCGGCGGCGTACAACGAGCCCATGAGGACCATCAGAGCAGTGATTAGCACACCGCCCAGGAGACTGGAGGTCTTGCGTCCCCAGCTGTCAGCGAAGAACGTAGCGGGCACAGTCGTGGCCAAGATGACCAGCGCAGACACGCCGGATGCCAGAAACGTCGCCTTCTCGCCGTCCAACCCCGCCTGCGTGAACATGATTGGCGCGTAGTACAGTATTCCGTCAATTCCGCTCCACTGTTGGAATCCCATAAGGAACAAACCGAACAACGTCCTGCCCCTATACGGGGCGGAGAAGGCTTCGCGGAAGCCGGCGAATGCTTGCCTCAAGACTTCAGAGACCGGGGCGTTGGGATCATGTTCTTGGTCGTCAGATGAAAGCTCCAGTATCTCTTCGCCTTCTTTTTCATTCAACCCGAGCTTCTCGACAACGCGACGGGCCTCGTCTTGCCTGCCCTTGCTCATCAACCACCTTGGAGAAGGAGGAACGATGAAGTAACTTCCGGAGAACAGGAATCCCAAGAACGAGGCAACAGCCAGCGGAAGACGCCACGCCGCAGATGACATTCCCAGCGTCGCCGTACCATAACACCTGGCAATGACATGTCAGTATTTCCAACATGAGGACGTGCTGGGGCAGTATACATGAAGTATCCAGTCACGATTCCCGTGACGATGGCAAACTGCGGCAAGGCAGTCATGATGCCGCGGATGCGAGCAGGCGAGATCTCGGAGACTTGAACGTAGACATTGCTCAAGAACATGCCCTCCCCAATGCCCTTGATTAGCCGCCCAAGAATGAAAACACCCAGGATAGGAGACGCGCACTCAATGCCGGTGCCGCATCCGTAGATGAAAGCCCCGAGAGCGAAGAGGCGGACGTGGCCGAACCGGTCGGCCATGACGCCGGAGACTAGCGCCGACAGGGCGCCGGGGATGAGGACGGACGAGACGATGACTCCGTGCATGGTGGGGGAGAAGTCTCCGAAAGTTTCACGGAAGGAGGGCATGGTCGTTACGGGGCCTATGCTGCCCGTGTCGAGGCTAACTCATGGAAAGTTTTCATCAGCAACGCCGGCATAGTTGTTGACGGTGAGAAGGGCAAGTACACACCCGAACAGCATGGCGACACATGATGAAATGATGCTGGCTCTCACGTAGAGAGGAGCCGATAAGAATTTCATGTCAAAAACGGTACTTGAGATATGTTGGATGTGATTCTCAACGGGCACGAAGCATCAATGTTTTCTCTTTGACACCGCAAGATGACTTTTTTTCTTTGCGGTTAGCATTGGCAAAGTCAATGCCAAAAGCCGGTGGGTGAAAATTGGGTTTGAGCCCAACGCCGCCCGCCACAGCGCTTCGCAATGCCCGATTCATCGAAACCCACTTGTAGAGTTTTGCCTTATCGTGGATTTCGGGCCCGTGGAGGTCCACATCTCATGCCGATAGGGTCCATTGGCGTTTGTAAAAGTTGCCTCTTTCGGAAACTTTGGCGGAATGGCGCATGTGAGTAATGATTTGTCTCAAAGATAAGCTGCATTACAATGGGCCTAGAACGCCGTGATCGTCGAGTCAAATGGCGTATGATAAAGGTGTGGATTGGTTCTGTCTTCGTTAGTAGCGGGCTGACGCCGCCAAGATCTCACATGCTCTCAACCATTTACGTAGACTCGTTTGAAGAGGCACGGGGTTACACGAAATGGAAGGGTCTTGAGATGAGACCCTCGCGGGAAAAATTGACGGAAAGCAACACCAAGTCTCTATTAATATCTACAGGCCACCACACCACGCTTCAGTTTCAATGAGACCCCGCTCATTTCCGTCGTGCCTTGAACGTTTTCAAAGGGTTTACTTTCCTAGTTCCGACCTTCTTGCCACGTCCAAACTTGCCCTTCTTATTCCTCAATTTGCCGCCAACCTTTCTGAATGGTACCATACCGACCTCGTTTGAAGTGAGCGAGTCTTTGCCCTCCTTGGGAAGCAAGTATTCGGGTATATGCTTAAGATGGGGCTGCTGTCTTGCTGTCCTCAGCTCTCCGTCGTGACGTAGGTGCTGCAGTTCTGTAGGGTTCTCCTCGAAGTATCTGTAGAACTCAGTCAGTCGTGTCTCACAGAAACAAAGGCTGCACCGATAGTATGTGCTTAGAAAGACTTACCTCTTCAGCTTCTCACTCTTCAAGAGCTCCTGCTTCAACTCCCTCATACGCGCCTCTCTCACAGCCACCTTCGTGACTGCTCTCAACGCATCGTCCAGACGGTATCGGAACGCATCCAGATGCTCCTTCTTGAAGTTGTATGGCTTCACCTCCTTGCCCTGCTTCGCTTGCTGTCTCTTGATCTTGGCTAGTACCTTCTCGTCGTTCTCCGCGGTCTCGATGCTGGTGGGCATGTGCTTGCGGTACAGCTCCTTGGGTACGTAAAACGAAAGGGCCATGCCTGTCCTTCCAGCACGTGCTGTCCGACCAATTCGGTGTGTGTATGACGATGCTGACGTTGGCAAGTCAAAGTTGACAACGGCTGCCACATTCTTGAAGTCGATGCCTCGTGATACGCCAAACTCGACATCCCGCTTTGACGACTTCTTCTTGTTCTTCTTCTTAGACTCCTTCTTCTTCTCCTTCTCCTTCTCGCCCTCACCGTCTTCCTCCTCGGCGTCCTTCTCTTCGACGCCCATAGCGCTCTTCTCGTCGGACGCGATAATGATATCATAGACACCGCGGTTGAACTCCTCGAGCACGTGTGCTCTTGATGTAATGGGGAGCTCGGAGTTAAGGATACAGCTTCGGACCTGGAACTGTTCGAGGAAGAGCTTCAGGCGGTATGATCTGTCGACGTCGTTGACGAAAATGAGACACTTTCCCTTGACCAGCTTCAGCTTAAAAATAATGAAAGCCAATAAAAACTTCTCGTCCTCGGCGCAGCTCACAACGAACTGTGACAAGTTATCACCCTCCGTTTCCTCGTCGTCCAAGTCGAGGACGGTCGGTTTCCGGGCGAAAATTCCTTGCAGAGAGGTGACATCGGTTGACAAGGTAGCGCTCATCATCAGAAGCTGAACACCCTTGGGGAGCTTCCTTGCGATGTTCTCCAGATCCTCGTTATAGCCGTATGAGAGGATGAGGTCCGCCTCGTCGAGAACGAGATACGAGAGCTTTTCGAGGGACAAAGCATCGTTGAGAATATTCCTCCATGCGGTGGCAGGTGTGGAGATGACAATATCGGGGAAGTTAGACAGGAGGGAGCGTTGAACAGCATCGGAGATCTTGTCGACAAGCTTGACGGCGTGGATGTCCTTCGCGCAATAGGCTGAGAATTGCTCAATCGCTTTGAGAACTTGGTCGGCGAGTTCGCGTGTCGGGACTAGAATAACGGCAGTCGTGGCGGGAGAGGAGTCGGTCTGGAGGAGGGCTGGTTAGCAGCGGTCGCGAGGGCGTTGGTCTGCAGTCTCTTACCGTCTTGCGCTTCAGGATGCTAGACAGTACGGGCAAAACGTAAGCGGCGGTCTTTCCAGAGCCACAGGGAGCCTTAGCGACGACATCCTTGCCGTCAAGAGCGAGCGGAATGGCCTTCTGTTGGACTGGCGTCGGGTCCTTGAAGCTCTCCGCGGCGACACCCTGCACCAGTCGCGTGTCGAGGCCAAGATCGCTGAAAGTGAGTTCCTTCACGGCAGGCTGTGGCTCCTGAGTCTTGGCGCGCTTCTCCTCCTTCGGCGCGGAGTCGTCGGTCTCGGTATGCTTTCTCTTCATTGTGGGAGTGGCAGTGGTGACGGCGGTGGTAGCAGCGTTGTCGATGCGACGATGCAGACGGCGATTGAGTTGAGGCGACTGCACCTCAGCCAGAAAAAAAATCTGGAGGGGCGGGTCGAGACTTTTCTTATCTTATCGGCAAGCACAGACACTGGACGCACGGTTATGTAAGCCAGTACCCACTATCTCCGCCCCGGGGCCGGGGTCGGAGCCGGGACACGGACGACAGCGGCGGCGGACGTGCCGGACAATGGCAAGGGCGATGAGGGGCGACGATAAGAGAGATGGCAACAATTGCGATGATAGAGACGACAAGGTCATGATTTTACATTCAAGACAAGGCGGCAAGTATGTATGACCACAGGTAGAGGAAGCTTTGTTCAAGGGAGCTTAATTCAGACGAATTATAAAAGAAATTATTGTAAATCTACCGGAAAATATTTGGTTGCGAGTTGCGCTAATTCTAATCGATTTTATTTATTGCAAGCAACACGCTCTCTAATACGCATCATTTACAAGATCGCTCTCGTTTCCATGACTCCTTGGTCATGTGATACTGGTCGATAGGCCTAGATAAGAAGCTCTACAGCCACCTTCATCGACTATTTCATCCGCGCCCAGGAGTAAACAATGCCGCTAACAAATCCAATCGCTATCGCAGAAACGCTACCCACCGTTATAGGGGCTGAAAAGAAGATCAAGCCACTCAACGCAACTGGTAGCTTATTAAGGGCGCCTACCATCGAATATGTTGTCGAAGAGGTGACTCTGATGCACCATGCGGAGCTATACGAGATGGTGATAGCACCAAGGCCTGAGTAAATCATGCCGGCTATGATACTGTGTCGCGACGAATCGGGAAAGTTCTTTGCCAGGTTGGCAGCAGACCAGTCTTCCACCATAAGGGAGCAGGAAAGCAGGACGGGAATTGTCAATAAGTTGTTGTAAAACATGGCTGATAGAGTCAGTAAGAAAGATCCATAAAGTAAACCAGATGAACGTACTGTCCCAATCGCTAAAGTTCATCTTCTTGATGATCTTGCGCATTGACAGGAGATATGCGGCGCTGCACACAATATTGATGCCCATCCAGGTATATCCGACATCAAGATTTAATGACAGGCTTGAGACGCCTTTACTCAAAGACGCGTTGGCGGCGCTCTGTATGTCGGCCCATGCTGCAACGATCGAGCTCAGGACCATTAGGCAAAATGACAGGAAGGCCAGTGGGGTGACCTTGCCTCCGAACAACAGTACTTCGCCATACGCAATGACGATAGTGGTGAGATTTTTGAAAATGGTGTAAACCGGGACGGACAGAAATTGGAGCGCTTTGTTGCCGGTGTATATCATGCTCACGAGAAGCAGAGAGATTGGAAACCCTGCATGAGACACAGGAGTCAGCATGTGGGGAAGCAATGAATAAAGAATGACGACGTACACTGTTTGGCTTTTGTGTAATTAATGGGAGCCAGATTCCGAATCATTCGCAGTCTTTTGGCGAAAATAATCGCAGTAGTCGAGACGATAGCTTGGACGGCAAGATAGAAGAATGTCAGGTTCCACGAGCTCCCTGACACAACATATTTGTTGACGACTGTCATGCTGATAGAGGACAAACAGTACGCAACAATGGATAAGGCAGCGCTGTTTTCGATTTGCCTGGTCGTGGTTGAAGCGCCATTGTAGTCGCTCGCAAGCAGACCAGAAGCGGCCTTATCAGATGGTTTCGCGTCGCGGCCATCGTAAGCGTCATCCGGGATGTTGATGACATGGTCCCCCTTTTCGGGATTAGACATCGCGAAGAGTAGACGAAGGCTCTCGATAAGATGAAAAAAACGAAGAGCACGGGAATTCTGTGAATAAATTGTGTTTGAATTTTCCGTTCCTATGTGCCGCTGAGAAGGTTATTTGGAGAAGAGCGATAGCGAGAAGAGGGGTTTGCGACGTGTGCTTGATTGTGGCTGTGTTCAGTCTGCAGTCAGCCATCTCATTTCCCCAATACGAATTTCTGACCACACTTGGGGAGGCTGTGTAGCTTGTGCCGCAATGTCACTAGTGTCTCACTTTTATCAATCCATGTCTTCGGTTCATCTCAAAACATCCTTCTTTTCAGATAAGTCAGAGAGAAAAGTACAGCAGTTCCTAGGTTTGAAGCCTTGCCGATTGTTCTTGTCAAGTCTCTCTGTGAACTTGAGCGCGTGAGGTTAATGCGGCTGCTGATATCTCGGATCATTTAAGCTTCAGAGCACTTGATAATAAGTCCGGCCACGTATGGAAAAGAAAACATATTGATTCATAGTTTTTCCAAATGAACCAAAAGCAATTGTCACAGCGGTGAACGTATCGAAGGAAGAACTCCTCTGCGCACTACGAACTTCATTTTCATTGGTATTAAGTATATTCTAAGTCTACATTCTAAACTGCAAAACCCATCATCAGCTGATCAGGGACAGAACAGTGTTGCGCAAGAGCTATAAGTTTGCGTTTGACAGCCTGTGATCTGGATCCTTGCTTGAAACCTCTTACTGCGGCTTTCCAATCACGTTCTTCTTCCAACCGTTGTAATTGACGATCTTGGTGTCCGAGAGGAGCTTCCAGTCCTTCTTGCAATCGACTTGAAAGTCCAGAGCTCTGTCGTTGACAAGGTCTGTCGGGATGAGCAGCTGCTTAGCCCCCTTAGCAAACTTGACGGCGTCGTTGGTTTTGTCAATCTTGGACATTCGAAGAGCGCGGTTGAATGCTTCGTCATCGACCTTCTTATTGTTGACAGTCTGCGTGGACGCCCAATCGTACTGCGCACCGATTTTCCACCAGGTGTTCTGGGGAATCCACGCTTTGATGGTGTTGTCAACGGCGATTCTGTTGGCAGTAATAAGACAATGCCTACACAAGAGATACTAATTAGACGTGAAGCCTTATTTGCGATGTAACGAATGCTTACCAGTCACCAGGGTTTCCTTCCCACTGCCCAGGTCCAGGAGTGATGTAGACACCTTTGCCGATTTGGGCTCCGCCAGTGGTCAATGCCGGCTTGTAAACGATTCTGTGATTCTGGTTGTAAATCTTTGCTTGGTCCTGATTCACTCGTTAGCTTGCAACTCACTGAGGTCACCACTTCATGGGACACCTACCGGATGGACGGTCCTGTAACCAATTGTAATGCGGTCTCCTTGAAGCGTTGATTTCGGCTTCCCTCCCAATCCACAGCAGCCTTGGCGAGGTTCTATGGGCGCTGAGACAACGCTGCTAACGAGAACCGCAGCCGAAAACAAAGTAAAAATGTTGGGAAGAATCATGATGAGGGCTCTATTGGATGATTTGGCGAGAAGTGAAGTTGTGTGATGATTCTGTTTGATGCATGAGTGGATGATGCTCTCTTCTTCGACTAACAGAGCTTCGAATGTCGGATTTATAGCTCTTTCAAAAACACCATCATTTTTTGGGATCTATGTTGAACTGTTCGTACGTTAGTGCCAAGAGAGGTCCTGAGCGATGCTATCCTGCTCGGTATTAAGCTCGCTGCGCAACGCACGATGTCGGTGGGCCTTGGAGGATATCCGCACCGCCAAGATATGGGCCTTTTCTAAAGTTAGAAGACACTTCGAGGTACGAAAATCATTGCCAGCTGAAACTAAAGAACCGTAGCGATCATGATTCGGGTATAATGCGATCTATTTTGCGAAGATACTCTGTTCTTCAGACCGTCAAGGTCAAAACCGGTGACAATGAGGCCATAAGAGCTTAGTTTGACAGTGTCCAGATGTCCTTGGCTGGCCACCCTCGAAATTCTCGCGAGAATTTCACCTCCCACTTCAGCCGATGGCACCCATAATTATTTATTGCGCTTTGGTCGGATATTCCCGTTCAAGATGCCGGTTACCATTCTTTCAACAAGGCCTTGAGCTTCAATCTTGCGCAAATAGATGAGCGCGTCGTCAAAGATGAAGACTGAAGAATGTTCTGCGTAATGCTCAGCCGATGTCGCGTCCTCTCCCTTGCCACAAGCTCCCAAGACTGTAAGGTCTTCTGTGAAGGCTCAAAAGGCCAAGTAGACTCAATTGTGAGTTTTGTCTCGTTACGGAGGACTTCGTAACGAAGCAAGAATCCCTTGCCCACAGCGCCATGCCAAATCTCCATGGTGTGCAATCGTGGCATACGCCACGCTGCCCTACTTGCCGCCAACAGTAATTCGTTCGTTTCCATGGAACCCGTCCGTCTTGTCGGAATTTGAGAAGTAAGTGAGAGACTTCTGAGCCTACCCCACAACCTCATCCCGACCGGCAAAGCAGAAATTCTGGTTTCGGAATAGAACGGTCGAAAGAAGTCACTCGCTTCTACCGCGTGGGATATGACAAGTGTTTGCAGATCAAAGCTGGCCCTAAGTGCAAACCACCCCAGTTGCGCATTCCTTGGCTTAGGTTTTCGGCCATGCAACCAAGATTCCTGAGCCTCCCATATGGACACTGCGAAGACCTTTGGCGGTAAGTTCGCCAACAGAGCTCCGCATGCTTGATTTCTCTCTGCTTGACCCTCACCATCGATGCTTCGCCACGGCATGTATCTCACACGCCTCAAGCCGTCCAGTCGCTGCAAAACTTTCTGTATCGCAGAGGATGACAGAGACCGGAACATGTGGCGATTCATTGAAAATCCTGAGATGACTGGAACGTGCGGTAGCGATATCTCTCCGTTCCGACTACAAAAGTCGAGTAAACTTCCAATGAGGCGTTGTTTTGAGCCGAAATGCGAAAAGACTCTCGATCGTTGTTGGTGGGCGACAACGCTATGACTCTGGGCATTTCGACTGGACTGATCGTCGATTTGCGCATTACGAAAAGAATTCTGAGTGTCACTGGGCGAGCTAGCACACATCTCAAGCCAGATGCCGTGGCCGGTCGGTAAAGTCCAAGAAGACATCACCGAGAAGAGAGATACCAGTCCTTCGGTGAACCTGGCGTTGTTTTTAAGGATAGTGGTTTCGTCTTCTTTCTTATCACATCCATCACAGGTGTAATTTCTCAAAGAAATGTGGAATGTGATCTTTCTACACGCTGATACCCGGCTGTCGCTCATATAGGACTGAAAGGTGATGATTTCGAAGGGAGAGTACGGGAGATTGATACTTCGGAATGTAACTCAAAAAAGGCTTTCCAGTCTAGACAGACACTGGCGTAGTTGGAAAGTCGGCCAGTCCCGTGGCCAGCTTGGGAAACCAGGAATTCCAGAATGATGAGCCGGATCTCGGCGGGCAGCGTCTGCCATTGGAAGCTAGTGTTACCGCTCATTCGAACTTGGTTAGTCGATTCCTCTGTTAGGTTTTGCCCGCTGCTTGGGTAAGGAGAAGCATGTTCTTTCGATATCTATTTGTTCGTAAGTTGGAATTAGTCGAAGATGTGATTCAAGGCAAGGCAGGTTCGTGGGGTGTGAACGGGATTGTTCGTGTTCTGATTTGCCCCTTGGTATTGTCCTATTCAATGGCTATTGAGATATAATTGTGGTGAAAATTAAGTTTTCAAAACAAAGTGTGTCAATGGAGTCGGCTGATTGAAGTAGATACCTGTCTGTACCAGTACCTGTTTGTACTAGGACCCCTCTGGTGTGTGTGTCAGGGGACCTTTCCGGTCAACATTTGAGACGACTATTTTCAGTGATAATGTACAGGATTCTGGATTCATCTAGGTCTGGCGATGAAGTCACTTATAGAGAAAAAACTCCTTTTCTTGCGAGGTGCTGAAGCCGGAAGTTTTCAAACCCAAAAGAGGTCTAAGACAGAAGAATACATTGAACATGACTTTCGTTGGAAACTACAGTATGTGCGCTGCCTGCATCTGCAGGTCCTGAGTGCAGAATCTCAAGGTAACCTATCTCCGTTACGCGGTGCAAAAGATGTGGATTAAACGTGCTTCAACTCCAGGAGCAGTCTAGGAATTTATTTATTACCAAATGCCGTTTTATCGTTTGAAGCTGGAATCGACTACCCAGTTGGAATGAGTTGGGCAGTCTCACTGGTAGCACGCATTTGAAGGAGTTTCTTAACTATCAGACTATGTAGTTTGCACTTAGATACTAACAGTTGGCTTTACTGCTTAAGCGCAAGCTCTGGATAGCTCGGCAAGGGCCAGCCTCCCTTCTCCTCGCTGGAGAACTTGGTCGCTATTTCAGGGACGCGCAGTAGGCAGAGGATCCAGACAATCCAGTGCAGGATGAGAACGCCCCAATACGTGTCTGGCATGGTCAGCCTGATCATCGGCAGGCTGAGCTTCTGACATTCATCGATGAAGGGGCGCAGAATCTTGTCGTAGTTCTCAAAAGCGAGCGGAAGATCATCTGGATGCCGACTTATCTCCCCTGCTAAGACGTATGCTCCCACGAAGCTGCTAGTTGTGCCCATGGCACTGAAGGGCGAGGGACAATGTGCCGCATCGCCAAGAAGAACAACGCGGCCCTTGGACCATGTCTTGGTCTGGACCTGGACAACTTCCTGGCTGTAGAAGTTCTCGGTTGTCTTCATGCCCTTCATGAAGCGATCCGTCTGCCAACCAGCGTTTCGAAACTTGTGCGCCCAGAACTCCTTCTGCTGCTCCACTGATCCCCTGTGAATGAGTGACGCCTCATTCGAATGGTCTTTGATGAAAAAGTAGACTTGCGTTTCCGTCGGGTTGTGAGTCCTACGAAAGACCATGCGTCCTTCTGCTGGATGGTACACTCTGCCGATATTGTCGTCGCCGTCCTCGCGCGGAATGAACCAGTATGATGCATGCAAACCCAGATGGCGGTAAGGGTCCGGGGCGTCCGTTGGCTGTGTGGCTTTTCGAATCCTTGAACCCTGACCATCGGCCCCGACGAGTATGTCGAAAGTATCGGACGAACCATCAGAGAAGTGGGCGATAACCTCTTTCTCATCCTGCTCGAAACTCTCGACAGTCTTCCCGAAAATGTATTCGACATTGTCCTTTGTCGCGTCGTAAAGAATGCGGACAAGATCACCTCGCATAATCTCATACTCAGATGTCCCACTTTGAGCACCTTTGCCGGACGTGTTGGCCATAAGAGTGCCGACAGCTTTGCCAGTGGAATCAACTATAGCCATGCCGGCCTCGTCGACTCGGTTCGCTCTAACGGTGTCGAGAAGTCCCATGCGCTTGAGGACCTCGATACCTTGCTCGCGGAAGTCGATTTGTGCTCCGGTCGCTCTCAGTGCCGGGTAACGCTCAACGATGGTAACACGATGGCCTAGCCGTGCAAGCCAAAATGCCAATGCTGGCCCAGCGCAGCCACCACCGCAGATGAGAACTTTGAGGCGGGTCATGACGATGAAAATCAGCCGTTGTTGAGACTGCTAGACGGGAATATGATCCTGGGTGGGCTGCCTGATGTGTCTGACACGCATTCAAGGGCGCTTTTAAATGGCCAAAGTAGCTCCTTTATAATCATGAGGTCTCTTTAAGACTCTAGACATAAGCATTTGTGCTCCCGCTAGTCCTCAGCCACCCATCTCATGCGGCAGATCAATCGCCGTTTCCGGCCAAGGGAAACACGGTGTGTACGTAAGCCAGCCCTAGAAGCACGACTTCTTTGCAGCTTTGATATCTGTATATATGACATTTGGAAGGTCCTTTCACAGTTGGGCAGTAAGCTCGGGACATTACTGGTAATGGCGGTTAAGATGAATACTCCATCTGTTAGCAGCTTGACAGTTATTGCAGGGATGACATGATCCTTGCAGCTGAGGACCCCCGAGACTTGCATGCCTACTTACGGCTAGCAGGCGCAGAGCAAACCTGTGCTGCTATTGTCGTCAGATTCCGTTGCTTATCGACTGGCGGTACTTGACTTCAGATGAGTATCGTCGAGAACGTTAGGCGAGCCCTTTGGTCTGATTCGAAGTCTCCCGAGTTACTCAGGCTGCCCCTGAGTAATCCACAGAGCGACATGTTATGAGCGGGCAGGCAATCTTAGATAGTCTCTTTTCAATATCGCCCCCCTGTATATCCATCTCGCTCCTTGTCTCAAGGGTCCAAATGCTCAGCTGAGCCTGGCCCTGCTCCTTGTTGGGGCTTTCTGAAGCGCATGACCTTTCAAGCGACATGCGGCGCAGAGCTTTCCTCGACAACCCGATCGGCTATCATACGCATTTTCTTCTGTGCACACCCGTATGATTCTTTTCACCTGGCTATCACCGACTCATCGTAGAACCTGTCATTGCCTTGGATGAGTGAACCTGTGTGGCCGAAGGAACATGGGCGATTCGAACGATGTCGCGCACCTGGACCGCGCGTCTGTTGAGCTGAGATTTAAGAAGACGAAGATCAGGAAGCCGAAGAGGAAAGACGGAGGGCGATTGGATGAAATGGCTCAATGGTTGCTTGAACATCAGACCGGTATGTAAGAAAGTGCTGAATATGTCTCTAGTTGCAGATATTATCTCCCAATGCCGCACCCTAAGCCATGCAATGCTGACATCCGTCCCATGAACAGGCCTTGAGTTTCACACCGTCTGGCCCCTTCTTCTTGCGTACATCTTTGTTCCTACGGCCCGTCCGTTCACGTCGAAGTTCTTTGAGCTTTCTTACTAAAACCCAAACACAGGCAAATATGGCGCCGGCCATAACGATCTCTGCTTCGTCGCTCTCTGTGTGGTGCTCTGCATCGGTATCCGCGCGTCCTTGATACACCATGTCCTCTCACCCCTTGGCAAGCACTGGGGTATCAAGAAGAAGAAAGATGAGACGCGATTCGCGGAACAAGGCTGGATGCTGACCTACTATGTGGTTTTCTGGCCTCTTGGAATGGTAATTCTGACACCGAGCATCAACCGACCACAAAACTCATGAAACTGACTGGCTCTTAGTACCTCTACTGCAAATCACCTTATTACCTCAATATGAAGGAGTTGTGGTCCAACTGGCCTCAGAGAGAGCTCGATGGGCTTATGAAGATATACATACTGGCTCAATGGGCGTACTGGGCCCAGCAGGTCATTTCCGTCAATATTGAGGAAAAGCGTAAGGACTACGTGGAAATGCTGGTCCACCATGCAATCACGCTGTCTCTCATCGCCGCAAGCTACGCATATCATCAGACACGAGTCGGCCATTTGATCTTGGTACTGATGGATGTGATTGAGTTGATCTTCCCTGTGAGTTTAGTCATACGAAAACGCTGCAGAGGATTCTTGCTAACAATACAACAGCTGGCGAAGTGTCTCAAGTACATCGGCTTCAAAAAGGTCTGCGACGTGGTCTTCGGGGTTTTCTTGTTTGTCTGGGTCTTCACCCGGCACGTTTTCTACCTCATGGTATGTTGGAGTGTCTACTACGACCTACCCAAAGCCGTAGAGATGCCGTGTTTCCGGGGCGCACCTGGCGAAATCGAGAGCCCATTTCCTGCACCAACATGGTCGCATCTTCTGGAGCCACTTAAAGACCCAACAGGAACTGTGTGCTTTACTGACGGCGTCCGCCGAGGCTTCTTGACGTTTCTGCTGGTCCTCGAGGTGGTCATTTGCGCGTGGTCTTTCTTCATCATCCGGGTCACGGTGCGCGTTCTCAAGGGCGCCTCGGCTGAAGACGTCAGGAGTGACATGGAGGAGGCTGAGGAAACGGAGATCGAGTACGAGGTGGTGGAGGCTGTTGAGAAGGAAGTGGGCGTTGAATCCATCGATCTTAAAGCATGGGAGCGTCGCAACGCCAAAAAGGATACGGGCTCGAAAGCGACTAGCGTCAGGCTTCGCAGCCACAGTGACCGGAAGGACTTCCTGAACAGGATTGGTTGCGAGAAGCAGATTGATTGAGAAACATGAACGGGATACCAGCTAACGACTCTTGTGGACACTTCATCCGGGGAGATTGTTGTTCGAAAAAGTAAGGTATCACGACTAAAGAGGTTCTTGCAACCACCACAAGAGTCCAAGATGAGTCGTCAACGCGACTACCGACGAGATTTTGTCTTGCATTCACGAGCCATCTCAACGTTTTTTTACTACATCTGCAGCACAGATCAGCTCCTACTCCAATTTCAACATGCACGATTGACGCAAGGGGAATGAGACATCTTTACCGCACGCTTTTCTCGTCGTTTGCAACCCTATCAACCACTAAATTTGGCGGAGGGAACAAAGTTGCATCAAATCTGTCAAAGCAGTACTACGCGGGGCTGGGAATCTCTTCCGCCTCGGCCAAGAAGAATTTTAACGACGCTTTGTTCATATTTGGACCCATACTTTAGTAGCAGAAGCCGATCTAGGCTGCTAGATGTTGACTTTAAGTCTCAACCCCGTAGACCGGCTCACAGTGATCTTGAGTTGGAAAGGTAACAACGTCTGCTGGCAATGAAAAGTCTTAGAAGGGGCTTAATGGGGCAATTTTGACTTGGTACATAACTCTGGATATGACGACACAAATACGTTGACCCTTAATGTTCACGTCGGGCTTATTTGAATGAAGATGTGCAGCTTATAAATCCAATGACCACTCTACAACTACAGTCCGCCCTGGGTCCACATTCAAGCCGCTTGAAAAGAGGTGTTGCGAAGGAATCGAAAGACATGACCGAAGCCTAGACACCATATTCTTCGGAGATGGAACAGTTTCTCAGCCATACATAATAGCAGGGCAAGATTTCTAAGCTCCGCTTGGAATGCAAATGGACTATAAACATTTCGTAGGTGTTGTGTTCATTGGGAGGACTAAGAATGGATGCACTCGATTAAACGGTGCTGATGAGCGAGCACATCTGCCAAAATGACGTGGACAGAGTAATTCATAGCTGCAAACATGTCTCTTGGTCTTGGATGTACCTACCTAGGTATGTAGTCAATTTCAGGACAAGGACGGCTGACACCAAACAGGTAGCAGCAAATATTCTCCTATCTTTCGTCGTCTACCCGTTATCGATGTAATTCCCCATGCTTTCTGTCATCTCTGTACTCTGAATTTCTTGTTGGCTTATTTCGCGGAGAGGACTGGGCTGACCAACCAGAACAGAATTCGGCCGAGTCTGGTGCCATGCAGTCATCAACGAATGCCAACCACAGCAATTGACTTAGGTACACCCGGCTTGGTAAGCACTAGTGATCTGTCTGCTTCCACCTGGCCTCAACTTTGGATTATATGCCTGAAGCTCTATTTAAGGTAATTCGCAGCCCCAACTGGTATTTGGTTAGAACCCCCCCTTCTGGCACCTGTGGACGTGGACCTCATAGATAGCAATCTACCAAGCTACAAGACTACGCACAATTCAAGAGGCTCTACATCGAAGAAACTCTACGTCGCAGCTACAAATTCTTTCATGATGGCGTATTGCGATTTTTGTGCAAAGCTCACTGTTGAATATCTTTTCTACCAGGATATCAAATTCCACCACGATCTTAAATCCCTCAAGGAGAGCGCCGAAACAGGCTGTGATTTCTGTGGTCTTTGTTGGGTCAGTATTAAGGCCAAATGCATGCCTCAGTATCTTACTGAGCTCCTCAACGGAGAAAGACCAAGCTCACTTGATGGAGACCAGCCATGGTATCCCAGCATCTGGCTTCATGGTCAAATCGTACCTGTTGCATCGGATAGTGCAGATGGCGTTTGAATCACTTGCGGACGAAGTCGGACATCGGTCGACTTGGGTTTGTCAGAAACCAACCCTCCCGGATCCCCACTAAGCATCAAGCTATCGTCTTACGCGTGAGTGTGCAAGATTCGAGCCCCATTCAACAAACACTATGTAGAGTCTCATCAGGCTGATAGATGCAAGTATTGATGGATCTGCCGCTGCCTCGATATATCCCGAACGATGCATCGCTACAGACCCCGACCCCGACCTGTACATCTCGTTCACTCTTTCCCGGCTAAAAGACTGCCGCGAGAAACACGCTCGCTGTGCAAGACCACATTCACTACAGATGCCCACACGTGTTATTGAAGTTGGAACGGACCGTAAATCCAGGCTTCGGGTTACAAATGGTCTTTGCGAACCATATGTGGCGCTATCTTATTGCTGGGGACCCTCGACAGATACTGTCAAATTGACGCACGACACTTACGATGATTTCATCATCGAACTCCCGGAGCAGAGCCTAACAAAATCTCACCAAGATATTATTCAATTTACTCGGGCCCTTGGATTTAAATACTTGTGGGTTGATGCCCTCTGTATTATCCAGGGTGACGAAGACGACTGGGCTTTTGAGTCCAGGCGTATGGAACATGTCTACGGCAACGCGGCTCTGACAGTGGTGGCCGCACGCTCTCCGGACTCCCGTGAAGGCTTCATAAAGCCTCTAGCTGGGATGAAGCGGCAGCCATGTCCGATTCCCCTATCGCCTTCAAGTGAGGATGTTCTCTACATCGATCGGCCTACCAATTTATCCATTGGTCCTACGACCACCCGCGGCTGGTGTTATCAAGAAGAGTTTCTCTCCAAATACACCATTCAATTTGCCGAGGAGCAGATCGTATACAATTGTCGGACGTGGAGCTCTTGGGAAGACGGTACGACTAAAGTCTGGGGCTCGCCCGGCATGCCGTCCCCTCCAGTCTTCCCATCCACGGCCAAAGATGTGAACATACGGAGGGAGCAAACGCTTACCATGTGGTATGCACAGATCGATAGGTTCACACTGCGCACTTTATCCAATCCCCACGACGTTTTTGCCGCCATAGCCTCCATCGCCAAGCTCGCTGTTGGCGTTCTTGGCTCTCATTATGTTGCTGGACTGTGGGAAGATGATATTGCCAGAGGCCTTCTTTGGAAACCGCGTCATCACGTACAGCAAGGCTTTCGTATTCCTCCTGTGCGCCCTCAGCCTACGAGGCTGGCCCCTCCACCGGTCGTACGAGCACCGTCATGGTCATGGGCCTCAGTCGAAGGTCCAATACACCACCAACACACAGGCAGGAAATTCAAAGATTTTGAAAAGCCGGGGTTCATCAAGATTAAGCCCGATCTGGAAAACGATAGATGGACAGTCGATGCTTATTGCAATACGGCTACTCTGCACATGCCACACTGCGAGCTTAGTCTGATTGGACATGTTGCCAAAGCATCGGTTATGAACACACCGACGGCTGACTATGTTTCAAGCAAACAACGAAACTGGTGGAAGTACTGGTGGAAGAACAAGGCCAAACATTACGGGGTTCTGCTCGTTGACGCTGAAGAGACATGCGCAGATGACAGCACCTTGGCTGACAAAGTAATCGCCATCGGTATGTTTGATGTGCCCGACGAGGCAACCCAGGAGGTTTGGTGTCTGAATATCATAGAGAGGGAAGGTTTGATGTTAGTCAAGCAGGGAGAGAAGTGGCGGCGCATTGGTTGGTTTGCACTGGAAAGGGTATCATGGTTTGATGTCCGTCATGAAAGTCAGATTAGGCTGGTATGAAACCATGGCGGAATGCGTACTATCATGTACATTTTCATACTCCAGTTTTAATCAAGAGAAGTCTTGTGACTCTCTCAATAGCTTCAACAATCTTCGCGATCCACTCGATCGCACCTTTCATGTCTTCCGCCTCCATGCATTCCACGACCCCGGGGAAGATGACTCCATCGTATCCATACCAAAGTCCTGGAGCAAAGATCTGTTGAATTCAATGTCAGCGACCTGCTGTTTGATCTAGTAAGAATGGTACTTGCCATATGTCGATACCACTCCCTCCCTGGCAACCCTTCGCCTTTTGGCAGTAAGAAATGACGCTCAAGGTTGAGATACTTTGTATTTACGCCGCTATCGGGTTGCAAGCTCGTTGGAGAAGCTTTGGTGTTTGATCTCGTGTCCACTTCGAGAGCAGCAGCATGAAATCGACTGATCACTCTGTCAAGGGCCGAAAGGTCAAGCAAACTCCCGTATTTGGTCTCCAGTTGTTTTGAGTGGTGCGCAAGAACCTTTGGATACTCCACAGCCTCAAATAAGATGCTTCCAGTACCAGCGAGCCGAATAGTGAGAAGTCCCCATAGTTGAGCCATGGCAAGATGCTTCTTGAAGCCCACATCACCAAACTTCTCAACCCAGTAGAAGCTGTCATAGTTGGAGTGATAAGGGTAAACTCCTTGACCCTGGCGATTGAACAGTAGGTCGACGGAGGGAATGCCAAGATGGTTGAAGAAAACTGTGTAGTCGCTCCCGGTCCCCATGAGGTCAAGCACTGGGGTCGGACGCCCAGGGTCGGTCCGACGTTGATCACCAAGCCAGTCATCGTATACAGTCTTGCCTTCGTGGATTGGCGACCGGATCAATTGGGTAACGTCCCTAAGGACGCTGGCCAACAGGGGGCTACCTGTGACGCCGAGTACTTGGCCGCCATTTGTAGCCTCATCGACGTTAAGGTCTGGACAAGAGTCAGTCGTAATATCTGAGTGATTAACGGTTCCTAGACTTGCATGCGACGCAGTTCTTGCTTAATTCTTGTTGATGATGCTCACCCCATTCGGTGGAACCCACCAAGCCGTACTCTTCATTATCCCAATTTGCCAGTATTCTACATCCGTATTAGCTGCCAGATTCAGCAGAAATGGTGAGTTACTATTCCATTTTCTGAACACTTACATCTTGCGATACGGTTTCCAACCACTCTGACACAGCCCACCCAAAGCGCGGGCAACCTCGTTCATAGCGGCTGTCCCACTCACAGGGTCGATCGCACCGCAACACCAGGAATCGTGGTGGTTCCCTAGAACAATGCTTTCATCTGTCATTCCTCGGATGGTACCTATGACATTATAGATCGGAGCGTATTTGTAAGTCCCTATTCAATATAGATCAGTATTATTGATCCTTGCGGCTCCAGTGATTATGCATTGACAAATTGCTAGAAGCATCGTGAAGGGTCGGAGTAAACTCGAATGCGCATCAAGCGGGATGAACGTAAGGCTGACCATCTCAGACAGGAAAGGAAACTTACCATGGTTGGCTAATGAGACTCGCACTTTGCTTGGTCCAGTAAAGTAGTCGATGTCAGCAAGGCACCCTTTCCAATCACTCCCTTCGCCGCCCATGGAAAAGGGACTCAGACCCTGTCCGTTCAAGGCCTTCAAGAATGGAACAGCATCGGCATAGGATATGGGAAGGGATGGTATTTTCGGTGTGGCGTGTCCAGGATCTTGACGTTCGACATCATTTCCAGGCAAGCTTGGGTACCCAGGGGTCGTAGGGTCCCCAACAGCTATCGAGAAAAAGTCGACGCTTCCTCTCTGAATGGACTTGGGGTGCCTAGCTGGTCCATGTGGAAAAGACTTGTAGCCATTGGCCTCGGTGTACTGCCCGTCCTCTTGTGGATCGTTGTACAATACAACAGCAGCAGCGCCGTACTGCTCTGCTGCCCGAACCTTCAAGCCTCTGAAGACTTTGGCGTACTTGCAGATGACAATCTTCCCCTTGACTGAGATTCCCTTTGACTCAAGAAGCTCAAAGTCTCTCAACTCGCCAAAGTTTGCGTAAACTAACTCAGCGCAGGCCTCGCCATTGGCACTGAAGCCGTGAAATGCCGGGAGACCGTTCTTGGGTGATGACGTGGGATCTTCAGGAACCTCGTCTTCTGTCAATGAAGCTTCGAATGCTACTTCTCCGTCGGAGTCGAGGAGTTGCAGTCTTTGTGACACGGGAAAGTTTTGAAGCACATCGTATTGTTCCAGTTCCGTGGGAATGCCGTATGATCTCCAAAGATCTCGGATGCGTGTGGCGTGGGCCAGATCGCCGGCGAGATGGGGTTTTGCGCTGTATTCTTTGGACCAATGACGCAGGTTGGCTGTTGTAGGTGTCTCCAGCATTAGCTGTTCTGCCTCTTGTTGAGTCACCTTGATCTCCATGGTTGGTGTTCACGTTATGGGAAACGATAAATCCCCGCATGGGGAAACGCGACGTTCAAAGGTCGTCCATAGTCAGCTCTATATGTAAGGAATCTGCTTGTAGCAGTCTAATTCCTGCCCCACCAAACGCGGGGACCTCGGAGACCCAGTCAGAGATAAGAGAAACAGGTGCTCCGGTGACTTGGGACAGCTTGAAATGTGTACATAATGAGATGATGAATATTGGGAATTGTCTTGGTTCAATTTGTCTTCTGCATTTTAACCACATACATCTACGATCAACCGCATAAACATTTTGATGCAATCAATGTAGTCCACAATGTCGACCTTTTCGTCAGGCCGGGTGTTGTACTTTCCTCCGGGACCACAGACTATTCCCTCCATACCTAGAGTTTTGAAGAGATGCCCGGCGTCAGACCCGTAGAAACAAGTTGGCGCAAGAACACCAGTTGGTTGCTCTCGATTCCGAATTTCACGGTATGCCTTATTCAAAGACGTCACAATGCGCGACTTGGGTGAAACCTCGAACGCAGGCATCGTCGGCTCAAATCTTTGGCTGACCGTCGCCGACATCCCGGGATATTTCTCAATGATCTTTTCGACCAGTTCCCGGATGTCAGTCATTACGCCGTCTTGGGTTTGACCGGGAGCATATCTCGCGCTCCCGGCAAGCCTGCAAACGTCCGCAACTTGAGCCGGCCGCCATTCAACCAAGTCCTTGCCAAGAGCGCCATGAACAACGCCCACTGAACACCGGTTGCATTTCTCATGCTCGCTGCTCTTTGCCCCGCGGAACTTCATCTTGTCCATTTGCAAGATCAGCTCGCATCCAGCCAGAATGGCGTCGGAAGCCTCGTCTTTCGCGGACATGTGTCGCGTAACCCCGATGATTTCGATCTCAAAGACCAATGCTTCTGCATGCATGGTCACAGCTTTGATGTCTGAAGGCTCACAGTTGACGAAGTAGTCAGCCCCTTGCACCCGACCCTGATCAATCAGAGCCATGGTGCCGACGCCTCCTTGGAGCTCTCCCACAACATAGGTCAAGACCACGTCGCCTTTTGGTCGCCATCCGCTTTGAAGAAGCGCTTCAACGGCGCAAAAGTAGGCCGCACAGCCTGACTTCATGTTGCTGACTCCAATGCCGTAAATGAATTCTTCGTCGATTTTGCCTTCCCAGGGGTCCACCGTCCATCCTTCAGAGACAGGGTTCGTGTCCAGATGACCATTGAAAAGTAAGGTCTTGGGTGTTTGTGAACCTCCAGCAACTCCTTTTCCTTTCCAAATTCCAACAGCATTTTGTCTCCGGCCTTCGTCGAAAGGAAAGACATCTGCTTCCAGGCCGATGCTTTTCATCTGGTCGGCCATGAATCTTGTTGCCTCCAGTTCTCCATCAGTCTGAGAGTAACTCTTGATCTGGATGAGCCTGGAAAGAAGGTCGAGACAATGCTCTTGGTCGATCTCCGGCACTTGCATCTTGGTATTTCGTCGTAATTCTTGATGTTGCCCTAGGTCTCGTGGTGTTGTAACGGGTTGCACTTTTGCTAATCAACCAGCAATGGTTAGTCAACAGACTTTCGTCCAAAGCTTCGAACTGCTGTCTTTCTGTTCGTACGAACTGTAAGATTCGATGATGTTTGCGCATTACGAATCGCCGCGATAAGCCGGATATCGGTAACCGCCGAATCCACCGCAGATCGCTGTGGTTCCCCGAGGATAACTCTAACAACCCCGGACCTGGGGTTGGCTAGCGCGACTCTATTGGCGATGCTCTTATCAGGGAAAACAAAAGTCTGTAGGATCTTAGAGCTGGTCAATCCTTCTCTACTGTCCAATGAAGGTGTCAAGTAGCCTAGGCCCCCGGAAGTCGATGTGGGACTCGAACATTCAGTCATGGAAGGTCCACGCCGTAACTACTATTAGCTTTGATCTTGTAACAGGTTTTTTAATTGTATGCAGATCGGGGTGGGTTTCCGTCAACACAGTCTAGCTGTGATTGAGTACAGTCTTATCAAGCGAGACTGTATGCGAATCTGCCGACGTCGTCGGACCGGCTCCGATAACCCGGAAGAAGGATTAAATCCCTAGTTGCCACAAGATAAGCACCGCCAAAATGCTGACTCTAATTGATCTAATTGACGGAGTCTGCAGTTTATCTCCGCACACAGCACCACAATTGATACGCAGTTCGGCACCTATGATCCGAGTGCAAATGGGACTCGAATGATGCCGCATATCTACTACCGGGATCCTTGTTTGGGGAGAAAGGGAAACCGTTGAATATGTATGTGAACCAATTTTCGATCACGAGCAGCGAAAGGAAAGCGCACGACTCTGCGCCAGAACAATTTCTTGCCGACACGGCCACCAGCAACGATGAAGGACAATATCGAGGCGGCCCCAGAGGCACGAGACTCCGTTCTGGAGGAAAAGGGTGTTTTGAAGGATCAGAAGGCCGACGAGGGCTACGAAATTTTCGAAGAGGGCGTTTCGCAGTCGATTCCGCAGGATGTCGCCGATGCAGTACGACGCAAGATCGACATGCATCTGCTGGTGCTCATGTGCGCACTTTATGGCCTCAACTACGTCGACAAAGTCGCCATGGGATGGGCAGTTCTTTTCAACTTCAGAAAGGATCTTGGGCTTGTTGGTGACGAATACTCGTGGGCCAGTTCCATGTTCTACTTGTGAGTTCCTCGAAAGTCTAGGTTGCTAGAGGAGCCGCAGCTGACGTCTTTACCAGCGGCTATCTTGCTGCCCAGTATCCTGCCAACTATTTGCTGCAGCGTTGCAAGACTGTCCAGATTCTGTCTGGAGCAGTCATTGCTTGGGGAATCTTGATGCTCGCGTGAGTGAAGATCTGCACCTTGTTGCGAATCATCTCCGTTCTCTGCACTGCAGTTGACCTCATTATGCACATTATCTAATAAGGATCCAAGGCATCTGGGTTTGCGAAACTTCGCCGGACTCATGGTGGTGCGCTTCCTCCTCGGCGTCACGGAAAGTGTGGTCACCCCTGGATTCGTCTTGTACACCTCCATCTGGTACACCAGAAAGGAGCAAGTTCTCAGAACGATGCTGTGGGCCGCAATGCAGGGCGCCTTCTCCATCGTCTGCAGCTTGCTATCGTACGGCCTGGGCCACATCACAAACACGGCCCTCAAGCCGTGGATGTACATCTTCCTCGTTCTCGGGATCCTCAGCATTATTGTCGGAGTCCTCTGGCTTCTGTTCATGCCCGAGACGCCCAACAAAGCGCGCTTCCTTACTCATGAGGAGCAGGTCATCGCTGTCCAGCGCGTAGCCCAGAATATGACCGGTATCAAGGGCTATGAGTGGAAGTACTACCAAATGTGGCACGCCCTGATTGACGTCAAGACATGGCTCATCTTGGCGTTCGTTCTCTTCACCCAGCTTCCCAACGGCGGTCTGACGTCGTTCGGAAGTCTCGTTATTTCGGGCTTCGGTTTCGACTCTTTCAGGACTCTCTTGATCGGTCTTCCATCTTCCGTGGTTAGTGCTGGTAGCATGATCGTGTGGGGCACGATTTCCATCAAGTACGGAAACTTGCGAACTTGGGGCATGATCGTTCCTCTTCTTCCCGCGATCGCTGGCATTGCCGCAGTCTATGGAACTATGGACACGGGGGCGAACAAGTATGGCCGCGTGGTGGCTTACTGGCTGATCAACTCTTATGCAGTGACGGTAAGTCAGCTTGGAGCATGCGTTGACGGAAGGACTGTGCTAATTTGTCTGCAGTGGCCATTCATCCTCACGATCGTCGGACAGAATATCGCGGGGCACACGAAGCGTGCCTTCACCAACACGCTGCTTCTCATGGTCTTCGCTGCCGGAAACATCGCTGGACCGTTCTTCTTCCGCAGCCAGGACGCACCGAAGTATGTCCTGGCCATCGCCATCATTTTGGTGTGCTTCTGTGCGGCTCTCTTGACGGCTGTTGTTCTGAGGTTTTACATGACGTGGGAGAACAGACGGCGGGACAAGAAGTATGGAGGTGTCGATGGAGCTCAGCGTGTAGACGGAGTCAGACTCGGAATGCATGACAAGACCGATCTGGAGAACCCTGACTTCAGATATGTTCTCTGAATGATTGAAAGTGTCTGTCCACGGCTTCCGATCGCTACTATGAATATTTGAGAGCAAATTACTTCACTAAGACTTTCTATTGTTTTTGTGCAATCGCTTTCCGCATGGATTCTTTTCCAAAGCCTAAGCGGGCCCTGCACCTTCCCTCATGATCTGTGTCTGCCGCTTCTTCGCCTGCAGAGATGCATCCCTTGGATTTTTAGCTTCAAATATCTCGTCCAACTCTTCCAGCGTGAAGCCTTTAGTTTCAACGAAGAAGAAGTACATGAAGGCGATTTCGAAACTATCCCACGCCACAAAGAAGACGTAGAACCAGTAGCCAATCTGTTCAGATACGTCAGCATCTCACTCGATTACCCCCAATCATGAAAGGGTTAGGAAGACTCACGCTGGAGAGAGCAATCGGTCCAACAAACGTGTTGAGAAAACCGGCAGCGCCAGCCGTTAGCTTGAATGTGCCCATTGCCTTGGCTCGCATCTTGTTGCTGACCACTTCAGCCGGGTAGATGGGCTGCATGGGCGTGAAACCCGCGGAGAAGACGACGCCGAAGACGAAAATGAAGACGATGCTGACGGTGGATGCAGTTGTGTTGCCATAATCAGTGTAGCCGGCGGAGCAGCCAGCAACAATGGCCAAACAGACGGTCATGCCTGCGGTGGTGGTGATAAGCATCTTTCGGCGGCCGACAACGTCATGCAAACGAGATCCAGCGGTGGAGAAGACCCATCCAATGACGGAGTACACGATGTTCAAAATCAGCTTTGTGTTGGTATCGGTGATACCCACGCCGGAAAGCATGATCGGGAGATAATACGAGACTAAAAGAGGCCGGGTATCAGCTTTGATCATCTTCAAGGGTAAGGTTCATGGGCTTACTGATGTTATTTCCGCTGAATTGCCCAAACCATGAGAACGCAACGTTGAGCATCAGTCGGTACCGGCTGGAGCGAGTCTCGACAAGAACCCTCAGATCGAATAGGTCCCTCCATGATGGAACGTGTGCCGGGTCAACTGAGTTGATCATCTCTTTCATTTGCAAGTCGACGAGAGGGTGGTCGAGATCGCCATTGGTGTGGTAGGTCGCGATGATGTTCTTCGCTTCGTCATGGCGATCCTTCGCAACAAGCCTGCCCATGTTAGAAAAACCGCTGTATAAGGCGAAGGAAAGAGCAAGGATCGATACTTACCAACGCGGAGACTCCGGGAAGAATTTGATCAGCAGACAGACCAGTCCAGGACAGACCATCTGCAGCCAAAGCGGAATTCTCCAATCCAAGTCCCTCTTGTCGCCAAGGTGCAAGTGGCATGCGTAGACTGCTGACGTCGCCAAGATCGAGCCCTGTCATGTCGTACATTAGGGCCAACCATCTTTTGACTACCATCTCTTATGAAGAGTCTACGTACCACGTTGTAGAAGGTGTTGTACATGCCCGCGATCGTACCTCGGTACGCGGCAGGGGAGATCTCGACCAGATACAGAGGCGCTGAGGTATGGGCGCAGGTTGCTGCGAAAGACAAGATGAACCGACCGCCGATGAACATGGGAAGACTGGTGGCTAAGGAAGTCACGATGGTTCCAATGCAAACTCCCAAGCAGCCAAAGAAGATGTGCCATGTTCTGCCGTACCAGTCTGCCATCCAGATGAAGAGGGCGCCGCACATCTGGCCGACCTGTGATCAAACGTTAGACTACCTGCGTACTGGAAGACATCACCAATCATACGTACCTGGAAGATAGCAAAGACTATGCCCGTGCTTGTGTTGCCATTGGAAGGTAATCCGAAATACGCGGTGTAGTTGGGCAGTGCGTTGATGGAACCCATCAGAGAACTGTCAAAGCCTTCGAAAAGTTGTCAGTAATGTAGGTTTAAATTTCACGTAGCTCCACATACCGTTCATGGTTGAACAGAGGAACACCATTGAGGCCAGAAGATACAGCTTCATATATCCAGGTCCTCGAGGATCAGGTTTTTGCGTCGCCATGATGGCCGCGTATGTGTCGGCGCCCGTGTCCGCATCGTCAATATGCTTGAGGACAGCGTCGTCCTTTGCCCGATCTCGGTCCATCATGCTCAGCTACGAAATCGACCGCCGTTCTTCAATCCGTCAATTGACTTGAATAACGGAAGAAAAGATACAAACTTTTCCGAGGACGGGAAGCCAGACAACGGAAGTTGGAATCGAACGCAATTGCCCTCGACACTGGCGCATGGGTGCTTCAAAAGTTGGGACGCGACTCCTCTAAATAGGCCCAGGTGTTTGGAACCATCTCCGGCCAATTCCGCCCCCAGCTGGCTCCCTGTAAGAAGTTGGGGCCCCAGATTTGCATCCCCGGAGACTCTCCGGTGCGCGTGCGACTCAGTCCCACACGGGTTTATAAATCCTCGCTCTGTTTGAAGGGAACTACGGGGCTGTGGTCTATCGCACCACTTGGTTTCAGTCTAAACTAGCCGTTTTCTGGGTGGTGAGCCAACCATGCAGCTGTGGATATGGGCCTTTGCCATTCATTTGAGCTCCATTGAGATCATGTGGAACTTGAGCCTCCAAAGTGGCGAGTTGTTTGGTATGATTTTCTGAGAACTTGGCCTGTTGTTGCTGAGGTCGTATGCAGGCCTCCAGCCCTTATTCACCTTGCATCTGTTGCGATATGGCGACATGCATCATTTCTTTATTCTGTAGGTACCAGTTGAGTAGTCCGGTTTCTACATACAAATTACGACTACAGGTTTGAGAGTCTCCTTTCGAACATCCTTCACAGTTTAGGCCTCAATTCTCTTTCTACCTCCTCGAGGCCAGAACTTCCGCTGAATAGCTGTGCCTGTAGTCCATCTGTGTTGATCTGAGAGCCCCAGTGTTAGTGTGTTACTTTCAAACCCAATAGAAATACAACTCACATGTCTTGGATTAAGTTGATCAACACGCTCTACCCCGAGCAACCTCATTGCAGTGACTGTTTCATCTGCAAGAACTGCACAACACCTCGTCAGTATCTTTCATAAAAAAGGTCCTTGTTTACGAAGGGAACTCACTTTGCAATGCCCTCTCAACTCCCGCCTGACCTCCAACAGCCAAGCTATAAAGCGCGGCTCGGCCAATTCCGACACCCTTAGCCCCCAGAGCCAGAGCCTTGACAACGTCCGTTCCTCTCTTGACACCTCCGTCGATCAACACATCGATCTTGTCAAACACCTGCGGACAAAACTTGCGTATTTCCAGCAATACTTGAACCGGCGTCATCGTGGTGTCCAGCGCGCGTCCGCCGTGGTTGGAGATGATGATGCCCTTGACACTCGGGAACAGCGTAGCCGCATACGCATCTTCGTGCGTCTGGATCCCCTTCAGAACAATCGGGAGCGACGTGTGCTTGCTGAGCCACTCCAAGGTTTTCTTCCACGTCAGCCCCGACTCCGTGCCCCAAACCTGAGGCGGCGCTCCCCCCGCGACCTCGGCCATCTTGAACCGTTCGTCGGCCTCTCGTTTCCCGGGGAAGGGCGCGTCGAGGGTGAGCACGATGAACTTGATTTGCGGGATGGCGCGAATCTGAGCCAGCGTTCTCTCGGTGGCCTCAATGTCTTTCAGAACATACAGCTGCCAGGCGAAAGTCGCGTCTGGGCCTGCTTTGACGATTGCCGAGGGAGACATTGAGGCGTTCTTGCTGATGATCTGGAGCGCCTGGAATTTTGAGCAGGCTGCTGCGATACCTGCTTCGCCCACCGGATGTGCAAGTTTTGCCATGGCGGCGGGAGACACGTAGATTGGCATGCCGACTTTGTTGCCGAGGATAGTGGTTGATAATGAGCACCGTGTGCAGTCGACAAACACGCGCGGCCTCAGGAGGATGGACCTGAAGATGGTGCCGTTTCCGATTTTCGTCACTTCGTCGTCGGTGCCGGACGCGTAGTATGAGATGGCCTTTGGGCTCAGCTTTTTCATCGCATAGTGCTCCATCTCTGATATGCTGAGAATTTGTGATACTGGGGGGACTGCTGGTTCGAGCCCCTGAGATGCGGACTCTGATGATCCATTGGAAGAGCCTTCGCTACCTGAAGTCTTCTCCATCTGTTCCGCCGTAAAACTTCCGACAATCTGGTCTTTTTTGAGATACTCATCGATGATCTCAACGGGATGGAACGAATCAAAAGCGTCAGACGCATCTTTGCCCGCGTTCTTCAGGAGAATCGCCTTGCCGCCGGGATGGACGGCGAGGAACGCGGTGATCTGCCAGAACCAAGTCAGCAATCTCATTCTTGCTGGCGCTAAAATGTCCAGAAGTGTTATTAATTCCATGTTCTCACATCATACACTTTGCCGTGCAGTGCAATCCAGCAGTCGTCAACAGTCTGGTGCTTCTGCACTGCAGCAAGTTAGCAAGGTTTCAGAATCTGAGCGATCGCGGCCACATACCCTCAGCGAGACTAAACGTCCGATCCATTATGACGGGTTACTGAATTTGAACGGTCTCCTCATGCAGACCTTTCGCCATCCCACCAACAAGACGCAGGAATAAGCCACGATGTTCTTGGTGACACGGCTTTACCCCGTGACCAACCCGGTTCGTCTATTTGCCAGAACAGCACGATTCCCCGCCGCCTCGGTCCTCCACATGGTGCAATTTCCCCAATCCCTCGCAGGGATGCTGATACGGGCTTTTAAATCCCCAGCTGCCTCATCCGGATGCGGGGATGTGAGTCTCCTTACCCCAAGTGGGTCTGCTTCTCCGAATTGCACCACTGTCCAGGTGCAGGGGGTGCGTCCGGGGCCGAAGTCCTCGGCTCCTCATCGTGCCGACGACTCCCGTGTGAAGGCGACTGTGTCGTTCGAGAACGACAGGACTTTCCGATGAATCAGATGGTTTTGGCTGATATGGTTGGTGTTGAAGTTGAGATCAGTGCTTACTCCACTCTGATCTTACATGCAACACAAAGATGCGTCTCTTACAGCTTGACTTGATCATGCGATGGTCTTTCAGGCAACACTGAGAAGGTTGCTCGCTGATTCGGAAAGTCCCGACTCAGGTACTTTGATGTTTTTACCCAGAAGATATCAGTCTTGATAAGTCGGTCCAAGCACTTGACTCCAGGGGTCTTTGCTGCGCCGGCATGTCTCTTACCTATCTTGCTCCTGCAAGATTAACAAGAAGCCTGTAGCTTCAAGTCGGTTGGTCAAGTTCAACAACCTTAGTACTGCGACACAACCAAGTCAAGTTAGACGCAGCCATTCCGCACATACGCGAAAGCCATGCAGTCTGCCACTCATCTGTCCCAAGGCTTCCACAGAGTGATGTTTCGAAATCTGTAGCAACATAAGCTAGTGTCAAGTTTCCCAACTGTCCTTCCTCTCAGTATCAGCCAATTCTCTCGCCTTTAGATACCACATGCGGCTTCCGCAAGGGGAAGTAACTAGTCAACGTTCACAACGGGCGAGGTGGCGTAAGGCAACCGAGACAGCTCACGCGACCGGAATGTTGCCCACTCGACTCAGCCTTGCGAGGAGTCTCGAAGGCATTCAGGGAAGGTTTTGCGGCTCAGCTGGTTTTACCGTGACTTCGACCCAATCATTGCTCTCGAGAAATGGGTTTCAAGGCATATCTTATTGGCGGCCGCTTGCCGCTTGCCGCCCACGCACGACTTGCGGCCTGATTCCGCGCCAAAAATTGGAGTGGCTCCGAGTGGCTGGTTGTACCTCCCTCGGATGCCTGTCTGCTTGGGTCCTAGGCGGGTTTGTCTTATCTTCTTGATCTGGGCATTGGACGTTACTGGGGCATGGCATTTGAGTTGTCTTTGAGTTGGGCGTTGAGCCGCTCAGTCTAGAGACTACCCGCCGAGCCTAAGCCACGTATGAATGCGATGTTGTGCGAAACCCTGAAGAACTGCAAACATGAAATGGAGGGATCTATTTCCGAGACAAAATATCAGCCGCAGTCAACTTGGCGATGAGAGAAGTTATTTAGATAGTTGGGTTTCCCTCAATCTTTGCTGGCCCATGAACCCAGGTCTGCATCACTGTCTCGTTCCACTCTGGCCACTGCGCAGAACTACGTCGCATTAAGGGGCTATCCAACGCCTCGAAACTCCAGCTCACTTGCATCACGATGGAAGAATTTGGTGGTTACCACACCACTACACATGGCAACCCCTCTGGCGACGGCATCTCTCCAGTCCCAACACCTGCACCACGAGTGCGGTTCAGAAACGCCGCATTAGCTCCCAGAGACCTTTCATTGACTTGCGGTGTCGTGCGTGATCTTTACTCGAGTAAGAGTGTACCCATCCAAAGTAAATTCTAAACGTCAGCTACCAACCATCACACAGCCGCGAGCCCTTACATATGCCCATCGTCGGCTCCCTGTCAGACCTCCGGTTCGTGGTTCGGATGCGGGTCCTCCAGCAACCCAGTAACCGCATGCTACGATGGCACGGCGACTCAATGTCGGTCTGGCTCTTCGATAGGAATCGCAACTCGGTGTTGGTATGTATCACCAAGTCTCCTGCGCCCTTCTCTAGTTTGGATATGGCGTGCGATGATTGGGAATGGCCAGATGCTAATGCGGCAGGGAAATTTCCTTTTAGCACGGTGACCTATGGTGGTTATTCGCCACGATGTGTAACTTACAGCAAATGGGTGTCCTCCACATACGCGACATTGAAAGGTTGCTACAACGACGACTGGGCGGTTGGCACGTCAAGGACAGCGTTCGTAATGTCAAGTGTGGTCTCGCCGGTTCCGACACGTACTGTGACGGTTGTTGAATATGTTTCGAGGCCCTCAGACCCGACAACAACTTCTGCATCCGACTCTTCGCCATCCTCAGCCCTTGCCTCAACCACACCGGAGGCATCGTCCTCCGCTTCGAATGAGTCTCACAGCAACACCGGCGCCATCGTCGGCGGAGTCGTGGGCGGCGTCGCAGTCATTGCCCTCGCAGTGTGCGTCGTCGTCTGGCTCATCGTCCGTCGAAGAAGGGGAGCCCGCACAAACGAGCCACCTGCTCCAACGAACGCACCCGAAACCAGCCAGCCTGCGATCCAGCCATATGCCACCACATCTCCGGTCCAGCAACCTACAGGTCCCGACGGCCAGGCCAAAGGCTGGAACCAACAAAACGCCCAGCAGCGACCCGTCTCGATGTCTCCTGTCCCACAGTACACCCCAGTGTCGCACTTCAGTGGTGTGAGCGGGGAAGGCGCGCGGCATGAGGCCTCGGCTGTGAACGCGAGAGGGACAGGAAATAACGCGGCTGAGCTGGGTTGATGAAATGTCATTAGGAGCGGTCTCGCTCAGCTACGAAGTTGGCGACCGCCGGGGTGTAATTCTGCATGGTCCTTACGTACGGCTTTCTGTTGCGACGGAAACGCATGCCCGGTCTCGGATGGTGGGAACTTGCACGTGTGCACAATCCAAAGGACAGAGTCAACGCAGAAGTCAATTGAGGGTACTAGTGGGATTCCAACCACGAGAAGGTTTACAGCTCCAACGCGTAGAAGTGGAAGGCGGTGTCATGTGTGACTGGGGAGCTTCAGAAAGCATGATCATTCGCAGCTCTCAAGCTCCAGGTTATATTCGTTAGTAGGTGCCAGTAGTTACACTCATCATGTCAAGCTCATCCCAAATGCTCATCAACATCGCTCAAATACGCGATACAACCCCTTTAGATCAGCAACCTCCAACACAGCCGCCTTCATCATCGATGTTGTCGCAACTAACCGCGCCTTGAAGGCTGGAAAGAAGATATGCTCGACGGCCCAACGCACATTTCTCCGCCGCATTGCGATCTCCTCGTCCATGTTCGCCGTCTCCTCGTTGTCCTCGGCGCCTCCGATGGTTGGCGGCAGCTGCTCGGGCACGTAAAAGGTCGCAAGCTCCTTCAAAAAGAGCTCAAAGCACGGCTTCTCGTCATTCCAGTTGACGCATGGCCCAAGGCGGAGCAGGAAGCGGGGCAGCTTGACCATAGGCGGAGTGTAACCCTTGATCAAAAGGGGAATGCTGAGTAGCTCTCCCGCAGGGCTGACTTCGAGGGAAAAGTATTCGCCAATCATCTCACGCCGCTCAATAAGCTGTGCGGCGACCTTTTCGACGACCACATCCACGTCAAAGTCTTCTTCCTCTGACTCGACGTTGTTCTTCTCCATCTCGGCTCCAATACGAAGGACCTCTCGTAGGTCAAGCGGGGGAGTGAAGCGGATTGTGCCGAAGTTGCCAAAGTCGGTGAGGCCGACTTGATAGCAGTACTCGAAACAAGCGCGGCCATAGTCAATCAAGTACAGCTTCACGCCGCCCTGGATAGCTGCTAAGCGCCGCCGCTCGTCGACGACACCGACGAAAGTGTGGTTGGCAAATATTTCGGTGAGGTCATTGTGCATGTCTTCTCTGACCTCGGCACGAAGCTCTTTGACGCTAGTAAGCTTCATCTGAGCGAAAGGCTTATTCACAATCTCATACTGAATGTTTTCTGAGACGGACAACGCACTCTCACCGGCGGATGGCGGCGCTTTGGATGGTGTTGCAGCAACTGCTGCAGCAGGGAGCATGCTGGTAATTTTGCGCAAGCTTGTATCGGTACGGACGAGGTTGTTGGAGTTCCTTCGTGGCCGTTTGGAGCCTGGCGTTTGTTTGTCCGGGGTACTTGGGCTGCCTTCAGTTTCCTCCTGGTTCGATATGTGCATCAGCTGGCTACCTGGCAGCAGGCTCTGTGTCATGAAGGTGCGGCTTGTGTCCACCTCAGCGAGTTTCGACCGGATGTGTTCACAGATGGACTGGATGATGTCATCCTCGTTGAGGAAGTGCACTTCCCTTTTGGTGGGATGCACATTGACATCGACGCGGGAAGGGTCAATCTCCAGGCTGAGGTAGATGAAGGGGCGGCCTCCCTTTGGCAGAAATGTGGCGTACAACTGCTCAAGGGCCTTCTTGATATTGCTAGAGTCCACGGACCGGTGATTGATGAAGAGGAGTAGAGTAGTCTTCTTGATGTGATAGTTGGCATTTGTTGCCCAGCCGTTCGCTTTGAAACCCCAGCGGTCTTCAGAGGTGTCAAACTCCATCAACTCGTTGGCAACGCTTGATCCATAGATCTGGCGAATGCGATCGACCTCGGTGGCAAGTGCTTGTATGGAGATGCTTGTGCCCGACTCGCCATGCTTCTTACAGGAGAAGCCCACTCCCTTGCAGTGGATGGCGTAGCGGCCCACGACGTCAATGATTTTGTTGTACTCTTCGGCGGGGGATCTGAAAGCTCTTCTACGGGTCGGGACGTTGAAGAACAGGTCTTCGACACTGATCTGGGTGCCCTGGCGACCGGCGGTTGGCTTTGGGTCGGCGGGCTGACCGGGTTTGGCGGGCGCCAGCTTGCCATCGAGGTAATGAGCACGCCATGCGCAGTTGGAATCACTGGTTTTGGTGGTGACGGAGAGGTGTGCGATGTGGCTAATACTTGCTAGTGCCTCGCCTCGGAAGCCATATGTGGCGATGGAGGTGAGGTCCTCGAATGAGGTAATTTTGGAAGTGGTGTGACGCTCGCAGAGAATCTCCAGGTCGCCTTTCTGGACAGAGGTCAGAGCAAGCTTGAGGGTCAAAGATGCGGAGCTGAGCTTACTTGGATACCACAGCCGTTGTCGGTGATCTGCAGAAGTTTGAGGCCGCCCTCCTTGACAAGGACCTCTACTGAGGTGGCGCCTGCATCGACGGCATTCTCAATCAGCTCCTTCAGGGCATTGACGGGAGCGACGATGATCTCTCCAGCAGCGATTTTGTTGACGACGTTGGGGTCAAGGGCCTAGCAGCGGGGTTTAGAAAATGACACATCAAACGAGGCGCAAAAGTGCAGCTCACGCGAATGCGGCGGGGCGCACGAGACTCATCGGGATCTTCCTCCGCCTTTCGTTTCGTGCCGACAGGGGAATCGGTATCCATCACGTCGGAGATTTCCTCTCGATCTAGCGCGGGAGGTTGGGTCTTGTAGGTGCGGGCATTGAACTGAGACGGGGAGGTGTGGTGTGGTATTCTGGTGGTATTCGCGGTGGCGTCCAGTATTCGCAGCGATGGAAGTGAGGCGAGGACGGAATCCCCACGAGTGCTCCACGATTTGTAGATGGGCAATCTCCTGACTGTGTTTCCTTGCCTTGCACAAGTGCAATTACATGTCCACCTGTCTGTCGTAGGTCGGTGCAGTCGTGTCTTGCCTTCCTCGGCCACAGCTCCTGGAAGCGTGGCCGGGTGGGGCCTACGTCGCGTCTTCAGATGCGTCATCACGTGAGCAATTCCTTAATCAGCAAAACCACTTAAGGTTTGCTCCCTCAACCTGCCTGCTACTGCAGGGGCCATGCTGCCAATGCAGGCAAGAACCGGGCTACTTTCGTCCCAGCTTGACGTCCGTACGTATCCGTACTTTGTACGTCTTCCTCGCCGTGACATATGCAGCGCTCGCTCGTACGAATACCTACAAGTCTTCTATCCTTGGTCATTCCAAGCCACCGTTTGACCGACGCATCGTTGGAACCTTTGACGACGTCAGGCTTTTCCAAGACATCTCGTATCCATGACTCTGCCTCCCCCTCCGCGATTCATTCGACAGGCGCATAGTGCACCTCACAATGCTGCAGCCACAGAACTACGCCTCACACAACCAGATGCTCTTGGCCTTATGATGCAGCTCCTTGCGAGACATCTCGGTAATCCGCATTTCGCATGAAATTCGCGAACGGAGCTCTACGCCAGCAGCACGGCCTCTGGCCTCCCGAGGCTTCCTCTGAACCTGGGCTGCCGCCCATCTGATCTGCCACGGACGGCCCTCTTGTTCAAAGGTGACGGGACGCCCGCGTTGCAACACCACGACTTGCAACCTGCACTACCGAAATTGCTACAACTCTGATCACCAGTCGTCAACTAAAATACCCCCACCAGATCGTTCCTGACAATGTGCGAAGATGGCAAATCAGAAGCCACAGCAGAGGCCGGGGCGACCTCGTCTCGCGTCCACCCGCCGAGTACAAGGTGAGTCCCTGATGCAATCGGGTCCACCGCTGGGTGTCACGTCTGACAGCCGCCTTAGCGGACGCAGCGGACGGAGCTCAAGACTGCCCACGCCGGAATCTCACCTCCAGGACCCAGACGGCCGCCGTGTTGCTCGCACTTTTCTCGCCGATAGCTTGATAGACATGCGTCTGCCACCTCGAGCAAGCCCATCGTCTCCTCGACCAAGAAAGAAACGGGGCATCGACCAAGTCGTCAGTGGTAGCTTGCCTCCATCTCCAGACAAAATGTTTCTCGAGCTAGACGAGCAGCATGAAGAGGCTAAGAGGGCCAGACCTACTACCCCCGTCCCACACCGAGACCCCAAACCTGAAGAAGTCGTTGTCGAGGGCCAGGACAGCAAGAGGCAGAGAAGACTGCCTATTCGTGGCAGCAACCCTACGCCCGAGGCAGCACCGGCATCCGCAGCTCAAACGACTGACAGCGGCGGCAACGGCACGTCGAGCAGACGGCCCTACCAGTCAAGCTCGAGCCCAGAGCAGCAAAAGGGTTGAGATTGAGAAGCAAATTTCAGTTGCCGTCCACCCACCCACCCCATCTCATGATGCCATGCTTGCAGTAGCAGGACGACCTACCGTCCAACGTCCACCGGCAGCGCAACATCGCCCCTCTCTTATCAGACTCGACTAACAGGTGGTCTAACGGCAACCTTGGCCCCCAACAGGGCCGTCACCCTCGCGTGTCTGGCGGCCTGGCCTTCCTGGTGCGGGCTTCACCGTCCGCAGCAAGCCACACACTACTCCCCAACAAGACTCACCAGCGACGCAGCATCCAGAGAGACCCTCCCTCATCTCGTTCAACTCGCCAGGCGCTGAGCAAGACGACATGAAGCTGTTTGGGCAGTCGTATAGCGCATGTCGCTCGCTGCAGCAGGCCGGCAAACCCACGTGTGTGGTCGACGTCCAGCGGTCGGCACCGCCACCGTCCGGCGCCCCTCCCTCATTTCCCTTCCCCGGCAAACAGGCGGCCACAGGACGTGTTCGCCATGCGAGGTCCGTTTCGAAACAACCTTAACGCTCGACGCCTTTCCTGTTGGAGGTGCGACCCCCAACTGAATAACGTGCCACGGTGCCCAGTTCAGCAAGCATCGCCTCCCCCTCAGGGCATCCGGGCAGCTTAGCGCGCTGGAGTTGAACACACCAAAACGGCAGAAGCCCAGAAATAGCCAGCATCATGAAGATCTCTCGGCCGCGCCTCTTTTGTTTCAGGTCATTCTTCCAGCCATATTTTTTGCTCTTTTCTTTCTTTCTTTCTTTCTCAACCTTTTCCCCTCCTCTTCGTCTTCGTTTATTTTCTTCTTCCGCTTCGCATTATGCTCGCTCAATCAAGACTTGACTTCGTGTTTGCCGTCGGCCCATGCCCGAATAGCAAATAGACAATTACAGACCCCTGTCGCCTCTTGCCATTTCCAGCGTCTCGCATCCACCAGCTTTCCCAGTGTGTCTGTCAGCGTTTCAACTCTGGCATTCTGTCTCCGTTGCTCGGACGAATGCGAACATTACGGTATCTCGTCTTCCCGACCTCCCCCTATCCTCCTCATTCCAAGGCGCTGCAGTCTTCAGTTCTCTGCCCATCGACGTCAGTCATGAGACAGACAACCGTGGTTTGCAGGCCTCAATTACAGCTCCCTGATTCCTCATCTTTGCGACTTCAAGGGGGCACTACCGCATTCAGAAATGACAAGCGCCCGCCCTGCATGCACAATGACCGAACGAAAACTCTTCGGGCCACAAACTGGCTGTCCGGCTCCGTCTCGGAGATTTTTCACCACCGTAAAGGGCTCATCCCCTGCAGTCTTCATCCCATCCCCCTGGCTGGTTCCTCTGGAATGCCCCACGCCCGCCGCTAAAATCCGTTTTGTTTCGTTTCGTTTCCTCGTTCGTTTTCCGCTCCTTGCTCTCGGTTGGCTCTGGGGTAATAAACAGAGGAGACCGAGGTGAGAAACGGCTTGACCTACCTACGTACGAATACTAACGGTCCCCCAACTCCCCAAGAAGACGACGTTGCTCCCCCCTACCTCCCGCACACTGTCCCCCTGAACATCGCATCTTTCTCACATTCAATCTCATCTCATCTCGCAGTCCCGCTTCATTTCACGGCTTCTTGCTTTGTTGGGCATGGCTCCCACTTCACGGCTACCCAAGCAGAGGAACGATCTGCAGACGACGCTCTTCTCGCCCAAAAAAACGGAGAATGTGCCCATCAGCTTGCGCCATAATATACTACCGTTCTGGCCCATACACAGATGCGGAACTTCAAGAATCAGCCACGACGGAGGGAACACAGAAAGAACATGGGAAACACGAAATCCGCCAGGCAACATATTGAACCAATGGCATGACCAACACATCCCGAGCTTCACAGGAAACATCCACGGGTCTCCGAGGGGACATTCCCGAGCAGCCAGCCAGACAGCCGTCGTCGCTCAACCATCTCGCTCCCAGATCGCCCCATCTGCCTCTCTTCTCGCTTCCTTCTATTCAGATCATGGATCTTGCGTAAAATGGTTCGTCGGCAAACGCGAGCGGATATCAAGGCGTGAACCCGCTTCGAATGAGTCCAATACCAGACCCGGATTATACCATCCAATGCGGATGCAACTCTACACTAAGGGCTCGTCCAAGGGGCCACGCGAAATGACCACACACCACCCACGCCAGAGGAGGAGGGCTGGCCATGCCATGCACCACTTGCATTGGGCTGGCACGCACGTCGATGGAGTACATTAGACGCACGCATCCGCATCCGCCGGCCGCCCGGCTGGGCGCCTACTGAATGGATGAAGGGCTTTGACAGACTTGACAGCGGACTACGTGTGAGTGGCCAAAGCCTTTTCCCTCTCTCTTATGAACCAGGTGTTAAATTATCTACGGGCCTGCTCGCAGGAGAATCTTTCTCCTTTCGTCTCTCTCCTCTGCTTCTCCCTCTTATGTACCTCCACCCCCTTGGCTCTACTACGTTCATTCCTTTCCCTCACTTTCACTTTTCCCTTCACTTTTTCCGTCTCTGCGCAGCGTTGTTCCCACCCTCGCCTGCATTACTCCTCCGTCCTGGCCTAGCCCAGCCCAGTGCTGCGCGTATGGAGGCTACCCTTTCGAGGTAGTATGCTACATTACGGTCACATACTTCGACGGCGAGAAGGACATCAGCCTCCACTCGGGACCATGGAACATCCACGTACAGCAACAAGCTGTGGACACCGTCCGAAGCCCTCGGGATCATCAACCGGGCCTTGACGGTAGATGTCTCGCCGCATTGACCCCCCACTTCCGGTCCCCAGGGCTCCGCATTTCCCGGACCCTGCACACTGCGCAATTATTAAGGCCAACTTCAAAAAGCGCTCGCTCTCCCACCCCTCCTCTCGCCCGCCCACGGTCTGGCCGCATTAGACCCCTCTTTCGAGAATCGAACCGGAAGGACGAAAGTTTGTGGTTGTCGGACAAGGAGGATCTCAACTGTCGCCTCTCAAGTGTGGCCACATTCCGGGGCTTAGATGATGATGACGCCTCCCGTCCGCGCGTCGTTCATCCACTGGACGGACTTGTGTGCCTCTCAGGCCGCATCATCAACATCGACACGGGCCGTCCCCAGGAATTTTCTCTTCAGCCATTGCCAGCCAGCTTGCAGCGAGCGGCACCAAGCAGTATCGACCACGCGGGCCGAAACCAGGGACACGAACAGGAGGCGACCCGACCGCCTAGTTCGGATTCCCTTTCGCCTTCGACCACCCCTCCATGGGGTTCCGGCACTCGAACGATACGGACGACTAAGGCTAGGGTCGAACAGGGGACTCCTCTTGGACAGCAAGGAACATGCAAGACTTGGATGGGGAGCCAACACGCAATATCGGACACGAGAGCAAAATGCAAGACGGCCGGCAAAACGCACCGGGTGATCACCTCTGTTTTCAATACAGCAAACGACAAGGGGCTAGAACCCATGAGAAAGAAGACAACAACGCATGATGACCGCCCTAAATCATTCACTACCATTTATCACCCACTGCCGGAAAACAGGACAGCAGCCGGAATATTCCTACAACTCTTTCGACATCTTTCATGCAGATAACCAAACAGCCCCCAGAGAGGTTGAAAACAAGAACGAACGCCACCGACGGATGCGACACTGTCCTCCGCAAAGGACATTTGGGAAAAAGACAACAAGAGAACAGACAGTTATGTATGACGACCGCCGGGCTGAAAAAAGTGGTTGTACAGGTGGTATCTCATTTGACGGCTTGTGACCGCCGGGGAAAATGGAACGATGGTCTTGAAAGGTGAAGGAAGCGAAGCTTGGTACAAGTACAAGAGACGGACGCACGACGCCCATCCCGTATGGTTTTAAAGGTGGCCAAGAGGGACCAACGAAGAGGGAACTCGACCCGGACGAGACTCGATCGACACTGCGACGGAGGGGAGGCACCGGGCCGGAAAGAAGCGAATCATTATCGACAACGAACCGCTAGGGCGGAGGAAGAAGTCATCAATCATTGCGGACGGCGCTGCTGCGGGTCCGGTTGTTCAAGCAAGCCGCCGATGTCGACACGACCGGAGGACCGCTCGTCTCTTTGCCATGATGGTTCCGGTTGAGGAGGCTGATGCGGGCCAGCGCGGATCGGAGGGAGCTGGAAAGATGGTTGCGGCGGCCGGGTGGTCGGCGGTAACTCACTGCGGGGAATCTGGTAGGATGACGGCCCGACAGCGTAGTCGGGACGGCTAGGTGAGGCCGCGTATGATGGCATGCCAGGGCTGACGCCTGGACTCAGTCCAGATGCCATGTGCGGAGGCTGTCCCGGAGACGGCCGGGGTGCAAGTGTGCTCTCGCCAAACCGAGGCCGAGAAGGCTCAAACGTCGCAGATATCGGCGTATGTTGGGCATATGTCTGTGACTGTGGTGGCGGCGGCGGAGCTTGTTGCTGGTACGAGTACGGAATGTCTCTGGCGTGAGGTGAAGGTGAGGGATACGGATATCTGGGCGCAGCGTTCAGTAGGAGCACGATAAAGTATATCGACTCCCGCTTCGCAAGACCCATGCGGACCGAGAACGACCGGGGCTGGCCATCGCTCGATGCGAAGACGAAGAAGTCTTGACGATCAAGTTGGAACCGCGACAGCTCATCCGCCTCAAACCGCAACGACTCGAAGACACGCTCCTGCTCGTGCTGGCCGAAGATGGGTGGCAGGTACACTGGATCTTTCCTCGCCCGCTCGTCCTGCATCTGCCGTTGGTGGCTCTGAACCTTTTCTCGCTCCGAGGGCACGACGATGTCGAAGAGTTTTCGACCTCGAACGCTGACGATGCCGACAGCATCCGAAAATGTCTGCGAAACTCGTGCAATATCCAATTCCATTGTCAAATACACGACCGGCTCAGGCGCACCCGGCGCTGCGGACAGGGGAGGTGCGTAGAGGTTCGCATCAGCCGGCGAGGCCCGTTCGAGGTATCGAGGCGCAAGGGGTTCGCTTGGTTGAGACTTTAGAACGCGATAGGACTGACTACGTCGGATGGGGTCATCGTACCCTGAGATGGGACCGCCAGAAGAGTACAGACTCAACGGCCTCCTTGCTGCAGCTGCATCCTGCGGATGCGGATATGTCGAGGGCCCGTACCGGCCCTCTCGGTCATCCCTCAAGCGTGGGCGGCCACGCTTCTTGTGTTGCACGTCGACGCAGGCGTCTTCCTTGCCGTTGCTCGTGCATCGCGAGCAGGGTCGTTGAGCTAATTGTCGCGAACACGCAAGTCAGCAAACCGAACTGAGTAAGTACTCAAAAGCAAGACGACCGCTCCATGAAGAATGATCGCTGCAAGTGCAAGACAGAAGGACGCGCATGACGTCTTCCAAAATGCCCCAGACGCGAAGCGCTTGCTCGTGCCTGTAAACCCGCGTGGCTTAGACGTTTGCGCGGACGACGTTGTCCCCATCCGCCTGCTGCGTCGCATCCGACACGTCAATGACACGCTAGCTCAACCCACTTGGATCATCCCGCGAACCACAACAGACACAGCAGCGATCGGCTGGCGGAATCCACCCAAAAGAACTCCTGCTCAAGGGGAATCTCCTCCGCTTCTGTTTCAGACATGGCGCACGCGATAGCGTTCGATAGCAACCACACCAAAAACCTGCCGCCTTGCGATTGGCGAGTTCACCCAGATCCCAACCGTAATCAAGATTCGAGGGTTCGAGGGTCGCTCCCGGGGGGCCCGGTCTGTGACCCGCCAGTCTCCCAGCTGGCCGGGCCGAACTGCCGGCCGGGCGGCGCATCAGGAACCAAAAGCCTAGCCACCGTGGCCAGTCAGTCGGCTCCCAGATTCCTTGGCTGTTCGCTGCTGACGGTGCTGCTTGCTTGGGATGGGAGCTGAAGATAAACCGTCAAGGCGCTGATGCTGGTAGGTATGACGCCGACGACAAACGTTCCTCGTTCGTCCTAGAAACCCAAAACCACGGACACGCCGTGGACCAGACCAGACCAGACAACCTTCACGTTGACGGCGGCGCCATCCCATTGCCATGCAACCACCATCTCAACTTCCGTCCGAGTTTCTGCGAATGATCCGCCCGAACGGGATCGTCTTCCCCTCAGGATCAGTCTCAGGTCCGGGGGTTGATCCCTGCTCCGCGTCGAGTGTCGCACGCTCCGGCCAGCTGCTAGGTTAATGCCGCGTCTAAAATGACACCTGCAATCTCAACGACCGGTAATGATGTCAATTATCCTTCCCCCGGAGGACCCAAGAAGAGTGTGAGTCCCCTCCCAGCCGCATGCACGCACCCACCCACGCGGGTCGCGGTGCCGTGCCCTTGCAGCGGTTCCCATTGGTATCGCATATCTATCCCAAAACAAGAAGAGAATGAAGATGCGAAAATAGCAAAACGAGAACGAAGGAAAAATTAGTGCCCGCGGGCCGTACATACCGTCACATCTAAGAAATGTTAGCGTCGCCGTATCAAGACAATACCGGCCCGTTTCAGCGCCGTTGTGCGGAGGGGAGGAATAAGATCGCCTTACCGAAGATGGGCTCTCTTACATGGCACGCAGGCTGATGCCACATGGCCCTTTGTCTTTCGTTGCGTCTTGGGAGACGTGTAGGGGGCGTTCTCCTGGGGAGGCTGCTGCGGCATCGGTGCCGGGTAGTGTTGGTGTTGGGACGGAGGCGGCGGAGGGCCGGGCATTTGCATATACGGCGGCGGCCGTTGTTGCAATGCCTGGCTTGCCATGTGGGCGTATCCGGATGGCGGATTTCGCAAGTGGTCGTCAGGGCGGGGGTAGGAGTAGGCCATTCTGTCTGGCTGCTCGGTATGATAAGGTCGTGCTGGAGGCGGCGGGAGAGTCTGCGGCGGGGGATGTCCTCGGACGTCGCCCTGCTGTGTAGTCGGTGGTGGTGGCGGTCCTCCCCTGTAGGCATCTTGCGGGTTGATGGACGGATAGCTGCCATGCGGTTGTTGCCCTCGGTCACCAACCTCTTGGTTTGCTTTGGGCGGGAGTGGAGGAGACCCTGACATGGGCGGAGAAGGGTAGTCTCTGGGTTGAGCAGGAGTTTCGAACTCTGCTCTTGGAGAAGTTGCCCAAGTCAGGTCGAGGGCGAATCGCGCCAGATCGGATATGCCTCGGCGCTGGCCGAGCGAGTTAGACGACGTATCGCAATCGCTGCTGGTGGCTTGCATGGATGTTGTGATGCCGGCTTGAGCGAGCGTCCAGGTCGAGAGGCTCTCCGCGTCTTATTCCAGACGACGGCCCGTTTCCCCAGACTCTTTCAAGACAAGACCGGTTCTCTTGCCCAACGTTTCCAATCTTTTGCCTCCCGTGAAGTCGATGTCTCCCAAAAGGTAATCCGCGAGAATTGCTGATTAGTCCAGATGCTGCTGCTTGCCCTTCAATGCGTCGGAAGACAGTGTAGCTGCTGCTGTTATGCGCTTTGGCGTTCGGTGTGGTTGGCCCCGTTGTGTTCGGTTCAACTCGGCAACGAAGATGCACAGATGGCCGGTGGCTTGGGAGAAGCGATCTGTCTGCGGATAGGTTTTCCAAGAAGTCTCTGCCTTTCCAAATAAGATCGACGGCCCCGAGGTCGGTTCGTGATTCTCACAATCGAAGGTGGCAAGCTCAAGAGGGCTTTAAAAGGGTGCTGATGAGACCCGTGTGTGCGAGGCGCGCGAGAAGGCTAGGCCACGGAGAGGATGCCGAATCGACGGGTCCAGAGAACGACAGGCGAGCGATGGAGGGATGCAGCTGCTAGCTACTGCGGTGAGACGACGACGACGACGATGCTGCAGAGTGATACTCGCACAACAATGCTTCGGGCTCCAATGAAGCTACCATGCGGTGGTGATGGTGGTTCGTCGAGAAAGATGGGTGTTGCGGGCGGCTGCAGGATGTACCACGGCGGAACCTCAGGCACGGGATGCGGAGGCGGTGGTAGGTGAATATACTTGGGACCGGCGGCCAAGTGTCAGCCAGTTCAGTCGTCGATGATGGGAAGTTGGATGAATTGGTTGATGAGAGAGAAAGAGAGCGTGAGAGAGAGAGAGAGAGAGAAGGCAGGTGTAGAAAAGGGAGAGGGAAGAGACAAATTAAGTCTGTCCCGCTCCGAGATCTGAATTTGTCTCTCTTTTCTCGGTGGCCGGAGTGAAGAGTGAGCGTTATTTGTCGAGGGCTGGATGTTGGAGAAGGGGCCCCGTAGACTTTTTTTTTGGGAGCAGTCGATCGGTGGCTCCCGGTCGGTTTTTGTGCGACTGGAGACAGGCGTGCTGGGCCTGGGAAGGGGGGCAATTGAGATGAAGCTAGGGTGGTTCAGGGTTGATCTGGACGAGGGACAGGTAGCTCAGGGAACACCCTGGTCCACGTCTTTAGAGTGGCTGCTAATCAAGGGTAGAGGGCTATGCCATCACGATCCCCTGCCTGACGACAATTCTCCGCGCGTCTGTGTGTGTGAGAGCCAGAGAACAGCGAGGAGTGGTGTAAGGTGTAAGTAAGGGTGTGTGGTTTATGAACCGTGGCCTGGTCTGGTCGGCTCGACAGGACCAGGACTAGCCCGCGGTCTGTGGGCGGAGAGACAGCGGGTGGTAGTGTGAGTGGGAGCTCGAGCTGACCAGCCCGTGCCTGTGTAGTTAGATGGAGAGCAGCAGGCGTAGTCGCAATAGCCTGCAGCTCGATGGACGATGGTCAATCTGCAGATATCTGTCTGGTGGGAGGATGAGGGAGAGGCGCGGAGCGACAGACAGAGAGGCGTGTTCAACGCGGTCGTGGTAGGCGGTAGCGATGGTAGCGCTGGGTCTGAGTGTCCCTGGGTGAGATTAACCAGGCACGTATGAAGCCACAACGTAATAAGACAGTGGGGGAGACAAGAGTCAGTGAACGGGAGGGAAGTACATCATCAACGGGCAAGGTACGGGCTTGATGGAATAAGTAAAGTAAAGTAGGTAAGGTACGGCACGGTACATAGGTAGGTAGGTTAGGTTAGGTTGGGTTAGGTAGGTGGACGGGACGGAACCGCGGCCGTGGTGGCCAAGAAGCCAATCGCCAAAGACAACAGCGGGCAGAAAAATAAAATAAGGAAATCATAAAGACAGCTTCCTCCCCGTCTCCCCCTTTGGATGTGGTGGTGGTGGTGTATGTGCGTGCGTGTGTATGTGTGCCTGTCTGTCTGTACCTGTGCCTGCGTGTACAGTGAGTGGTTGCGACTTGCGAGCGAGCGAGAGAGCTCCCAGCAGCAGCAGCAATGTGCAGCGTGCAGCGCTCTAAATTTGACTGGGGAGGCGAAGGAGGGATGGTTCAGGTGGGAGTGGGCAGGGAGGGGTGCACGTTGTCTCGCATGTCGGAGCCGGTAGCAGATGGCAGATGGCTGTATGGATATGTGTGTATGTACTGCGTCTGCGTAGTGCGTAGTGAGTATACATGTAGCCGGGAGCCAGGAGGAGGGAAAGCCAGACTGACTGGTGGATGGATGGGAAAAGGACATCGCACACTGCAGAGTACTCCTGCACGGCGCCTGGGGTGAAATGGGATGGATGGGATGGGATGCAGTGGGATGGGATAGGATGGATAGAAGGATGGATGAATGATGAGTGAATGGATGACAGGCCAACACCTAGGGGTACTACTCTGCATCGCCGCACGCTCGCTGTACGGTGAGGAGTTGCCCGTTGAGTGGAAGGCAGCTAAGGTAGATACAGTTACGCATGCGCTAGAAAAGGCCAGAGAGAGAGGCCGGGCCAGGATCGATACAAGCCGCCGGAGTGAGTGGAGGGCCTGCGAAATTGATATGATGGAATCGTGGCAGAGAGTCCACGGTACGAAGAGTGTGTTAAATTGGGGGCTTGGGTGGGGGTTTGGATTTTTTTCCCCTCTTCTCCTTCCT